GGGGGGGGGGGGCGATGGTTCCTCGTGAATCGATGCTTCCTTTAATCAGGCTGCCCGGAGATCACGACAGCTCTCGACTTTGACTTCATTTTGCCCAGGGCGCGGACGTGGTCGACGGTGAAGTGGAGTCGAAATATATCAGCCGCCGGGCCGTGGAGAGCGTGATGCAGCAGCAGAAGAAGCAGCAGATGCAGCTGACGCGCAGCTTGAGCGCGGGTTCGGCGCCACAGGACGGCATCAGCATCCCCGAGCACATGAACGTGCCCCGAAGACGGGACTCCGGCAACTGGTCGGGCGACCGGAACAGCGCCTCCTCGAGCTCGTCGACTACCATGGACCACCCGTACCTTTACATCGTGAACAAAATGCAGAGGAACTCGGGCGTGCCTAAGAGCCCCACCAGCAAGTCCGGGGAACTTTCGAGCAGCAGCAGCGGCCACTACGACGCCGGCTACGACTCGTATTCCTTGTCCTCCACGGACAGTCTTCCGCTCCAGCAGGGTCTGAAGCACAACTTGCAGGTAAAGGAAGGCAGCCGGAGCGAACTTTCACTTGGCATTTAGCGGACGACGGGTATTCACGCGACTTCTCTGTCCCCGTTGCAGCTCGCTCAAATACCAGAGGGCTACCAGCCGTCTTCCGGCGACGACTGCGAACGACTGTGCAAGGAGACGGACGCGCTGCTGGACAAATCCCGCGCCGCCGAGGACGCCGGCGACCTCAGTACCGCCGTGGCGCTCTGCAGCGCGGCCAGCAGCAAGGCCCGGGCGGCGATGGACGCGCCGTACAACAACCCCCACACGATCACGATAGCGAGGATGAAGCACAACACCTGCGTGATGCGAACGAGGAGCCTGCACCGGAGGATGCTTCAGGAACAGGCGACCGTCAACGGCGACAAGGAAGGTGAGGGGTCAACGTCGATTGTCGGTGAGGAAAATCAGAAATATGCCGCTTTTCACATATTTATGTACGTTCTTTCTTCCAGAAGGAGCACCGGAGGGCAGACACTCCCGAGAGAACAGCAAGTCGGGCCAGCATTCGCGGCAGAGTTCGCGAGACAAGGGCAACCACTCCCGGCAGAACAGCCGGGAGCTGCTGGTGAACGCGGCGACGACGGTGGCGGACAAGCCCGCCACGAAGAGCATCGAGATCTACGCGACTCTGCCGAAGAAGAAGACTCTGCGCAGCAAGGCGACGGCGGTGAACGTGATCGAGGACGAGGAATACATGCTGTACGACCGGCCGACGCAGCGGACGGGTCTCTTCAGCCGGGCGAAGCGCTGCGAGGACGACAAGAAGGACAAGAAGCGCGCGAGGAGCGAGGAGAGGAACAAGAACGTCTCGAAGGACTTCTCGATTGCGCCGTCCCGTGCCTCGCCGTCGCCGAAGGGCGCGAAGCTGGAGAAGCCGAAGGAGAGCGCCGAGGTTGCCGTGAGGAGCAGCCAGCCGGGCAACGCCGAGCAGAAGCAGGGCAAGAAGCAGCACAAGATACGCAGGAAGTTGCTGATGGGTGGCCTGATCAAGAGGAAGAACAGGAGCATGCCGGACTTGCGCGAAGGGCAGGACGGCCAGGCGAGCGAGAACGCGGAGGGAGCCTCGAACACCTTGCCGAAGCAGTCGGTGGACGATTCCAGCGTCGGGCTGAAGGGCGTCAGTGACGTCAGCCAGTCGCTGAGCGGCTACCTCTCGGAGGGACACCTGGAGTTCGCCGGGAACGCCGGCCCCGGGAACACCGGGAACCCGAACCTCGAGCGGAGCCGTCTGATGAGGAAGAGCTTCCACGGCAGCGCCGGCAAGGTGTTGCACGTGGCGAAGGTGCCGCCGCCGCCTCCGCTGAGGACCACTTCTCAGCTTAGCAAGTCTAAGTGTTCGGGCGAAGTGCACAGCGAGCAGCAGTCCGACGCGTACCCTTTGCTGGCCGACGGTCAGTGCGCGGGATCGAATCAGGATCCGAACGGCGCCTATTGGGGCCACGTGAACAGCAACGGCCCTAACGGCGGGGCCGGCAGGAACTACGATTACTCGTCGGAGTCGCACTCGCTGCCGTTCCTACCGTCCTACAACGAGCAGAGCGCCGGGACGAGCTACAGCAACAAGCCCAGGATTCAGGACGACGTGGTGCAGTACGCGAACGGCATACTCTACGAGCCGACGTTCGTCGTCACCCGCGCCGACGTGCACAGCGAGCAGAGCCCGGCGAAGCCGCAGCTTGATCCCCTACCGCCCTACCCTGAAAACGTCTCGCACTCGAGGCAACCGAGCGAGGACTTCCCACCCCCGCCGTATCCGTCGATCCACTCGGTGTCGCACTCGAGGCAGGCCAGCGAGGACTTCCCGCCGCCGCCGCCGCCGATCGACGAGCCGACTCATCTCCCGGAGGCGTCCCATCACGTTCAGCAACGCCCGCAGCAGTTCGAGGCGCAGCAGATCACCGGCCTGCTGGCCCAGCTGCAGAGCAAGAGGGAGCAGATCCTGGCCGGTGAGCAGAGCGACGAAAAACGGCCGGAGGAGCAGGAGGAGGAGGAGAAGTCGTCCAGCGAGACGTGGCTGAGGGAGCTGCAAGCGAAGCAGGCGGAGAGGAAGATGAAGAGGCAGGGATCCTTGGATCAGGACGTACCGAAGGCGAGGACCCCGGCGATTCAAGGGCCGACCATCGCCCGGAGGACCAGCGACCTGATGATGAACAACTTGAGTCAGGGATACGAGCAGGGTCGCGACGTCACGGACTGCCCACGGGTCGTCTCCTCGGTGAAGGACATGGCCGCCAGGTTCGAGCAGATCAAACTGCAACCGGGCCCGAAGTTGGAGGCGGACGTGAAGGTTCAGCTGAAGCAGAACTGTGCGTCTCCGATGCTGCCGGATGTCCCGCCGGAGTCGTCGTCGTCGGCGGAGGAGGCGAAGTCGTCGTCCGAGAGCCAGCCGTCGAAGACGGAGCTCCCCCAGTCGAACCCGGAGCCGAACACCTTCGTCGCGAACAGCAGTTCCGGCGTTCAGCCGAGCGGCTTGAACGCGGCGATACTGTCGATGTCGCTGACGCTGCCGCACGAGAACGGCCTGCCGGTCGATTACCCGGAGGACGACATCAGCGAGGTGGCGATGCAGAACACCATTCAGAACACGACGATCCTGCCGAGCGAGGAGGACATCGCCCCGAGGAAGGTGAAGCGCCGGATAGGTAAGAAGAAGAGCGTCTCCTTCTGCGACCAGGTGGTGCTCGTCGCCACGGCGGAGGACGACGAGAAGGACTCGTACATACCCAACCCCATCCTGGAGAGGGTCCTGCGCTCCGCGATGAACAAGCCGGAGACCGCCCAGGTGCTGCGGGAGATCCGGAGCCTCCAAGAGGCGGAGATGAATCGCGAGAACACCGCGACGAAGTTCCAGCAACAGACTCTTCCCTTGAAGAGCGAAGCCGACAGCGTCCCGGCGACGCCCTTCCAGGACCAGCTCAGAAGCGTCAATCCGATCGCCGTTCCGGACGCCGTGAAGCCCGCGTTCGGCCGGCAGAACTCGAGCGACTCGGTCGGCTCGTTGATGGAGAAGAAGCCCTACGAGGGCAAAGACGTCGTCAGGGAGACGTACTCCGGCACGCCGGTGAACGCCCCGAAGCCCTCGTACTCGCCCCAGCAGATCAGGTACAACAACCAGAACGGCTACTCGCAGTTCGGCCAGCCGGTGTACCCGCAGACGCAGACGTCCCACCCGCGAAACCAGGCCATCCCCTTGTCGCAAGCGCAGAAACCGGCGAGTCCTTACCCCGCGCAGATGCACGGCCAGTACATCCAGAACGGCGGCATCCAGCAGGCGAAGGTGCTGCCGCAGAAGAACGGCTACCCGATCGGCTCGTATTATCAGCTGGAGCAGCAGCACAATCAGATAAACAAGCAGGCCCAGCCGAACGCCCTCGGGCAGAGGATCCCGACGCACAACGCCAGCCCGATAACCGTGCAGCAGCAGCAGCAGTTCTCCTATCCCCCCAACCAGTCGCCCAGCCCGTATCAGAGTCAATACTCGCAAAGTTCCTATCAGGGCCACCCCTACCAAGCCGTCCTCCCGCAGAGCAGAATCGGCCAGCCCTTACCGCAGTATCAGCCCCCGCCCAACCCCCCGGCCGCGTCTTACCAGCAAAACACGCAGAACTATCAACAGAGACTCGACGGGTATCAGCGGCCACCGCAGAAGGCGGACCAGTCGAACGTCCTCGTCACGTCCGGGCAAAATTACTCCAAGACCGTGCAAAACGGTCAGATACAGTCGAACGCGAAGTACCCCGCCTACCAGCACCCCCCGCTTCCCAAGCACTTCGCGATGTCCAGCGCGAAGGTGGTCCCGATGATGACGCAGCCGGCGCAGCCTCCCTTGCAGACGCCGGCGAGCGTCACGGCTGGCGTCAGGGCCTGCGTAACCCCGTGCAACCTCTGCCGGAAGAGGAACGTGCTCGAGCCGACGCTCTACTGCACCGACTGCGACTTTTACATGTCCCGCTTCCGGGCGGGCAACAAGGCGACCTGAACCGGTCTCTCCTCTCGTCGGACGGCTCGCCGGCCTCGCCGAACGCTTCGGCCTTCTTCCACGAACCAGCGGAGGAGGAGGAGTCTTCTTCCCTCGGCGAGTTAACTCGTTACCCTGCCAAGGTCGCACCCGTCGAAAGCCCGAGCCTCGTTCACGTTTCTTAGTCGCGTTTCTAAAAGCGTCGCACGCTCCGGAACGTAACACCGACGAGTGAGAATCCGATACTGAGAAGTTTTGTTGCAAACCACAACGTTCGTTTCCCGCATGCCAGAAACCGGCCTCGCACGCAGCCCGTGGAACTCTTGGAGTCGGTAAAAAAGTCTTAGACTACCTAAGACCGATATGGACTGCGGAGATTTCGGAAAGATGTCTCGATGACATTCAAAGGATGTCTCTCATGTTTTCTCCGATATCTTTCAGGCGTCTTTAAGACGCTTTTCAGAAACTCGCGCTGTTTGGTCAGTGTTTCGTTAGTTTCTCGGACGACATTCGACGGAAGCGTCCGGACTTAACGTTCTTTCGTCTTACTTTGTACAAATATATCAGGCAGCATCCCCGTTCGAAGGCCCTCATCGTGCAACTACCGGACACACCCGCTCGTATAATACTATCGGTATAGTATTATTTTCTATAACTTATGTTAAGTTGTGTGTAGATAAGCCCGTACTTTTTACATTGCATTAGACGTACTTCGACGTGTTCGGCGAATTAGACTCCTATTTGCGTAGGTCCTAGCGTAGCACCGTACACATTCGGGCCCGGGAGTTTTTATATCTCATACGAAACCAGCGGATTTTGCACGCCGACGTGCTCCCCGCATCTCATCGTGTATCTACTTTCATTTGTACATAAATCTCATCGCGAGTCCCTTTCAGATCTGTAAAAACGATTGATCCCTAGTAAGTCATAGTTTAACACGCCGCACACTTGTGTCTCCCCTTTCGTCCACTCGCGTACTCCCCCTCCCCCCCCCGCCCCTCCGTACACGTCGTACTTTTTGTTGCAGAAACGAAACGCCGGAATTGTGATATTAGCCATGCTACGTAGAATTTATTGTTACGGTAGAAAAGTATATCACACACGTTGCGAATGGAAGCCTAAGTAAAGAGTACGTGACACTTGATCTCTGAGTACGCGTGGAGTTTATTTTACGTTAACTGTCCTCTCGAAGTTATCATCATCGTACATGTACTTACTTGTAATATGTTACATCGTATTATCTCCTAAGTGTTAGGTCGATGTAAAAACGTCCAATTTTATACCTTTTGTATTGAGTATTTTGTTTTAAGAAATACTTTATTTTGCCCTTTTGTGACATTAATAAAAAAAATGATCCTTACAATATAACGTATCTGATATTTTCTTATTTATTCCGACAAGATGGTCGTGTCAGAAACATGCCCCACCAATTGCACGGCGTGAATTATTTTAATGAAAACATCGGGTGCAGTTTCATTCGTCCTCGGCCAGTTAATTTGATAATTTCTTTAACATTCCGGACTAATTCCATATAGTGCACTTCGTGTCGCGATTCATCGGACTGTCAGCTGGACAGTTGAATGCATCAGAGAAGGATTCCATATTACTCAGAGTACCGAGTACTCGAAACTCCTTAGGACTGTGGACATTCACATTAAAATTGAGTGACTTGTACTTTCGTTCCTTTTTCGCCGTGCACCAAGACTTGAAAAAATACAATTCGCCCATATAAGTCGTAAAATAAAATATTATACCGTTTACACACCAAATTCTCTCCAATACGATGATACATCTAAAGATGATACTTATTCATTCAAACTTGTTTTATATATCAATATATTAGTAAATTATTGGACTTACGTTTGCGAAAGATAAAAAAAACAGTTGCTCGTCGTTGATATCTGTTAAGCCTGTTAATCTCGGCTGTGAGCCAGCCGTTAATTTGTGTCTCTGGAATGCTGCGAATGCAATTTCCAGGCCAATGTTGTCAGCAATATTTTCGTTCCTTGTGAATACCCCGTCCAACTAAAGATAAGAGAAGAGTTTATTTAACGTAACCTTCTTTTTTTTTAATTTTTCATGCGCTGACGTATAATCTGACAGAATCAAAAGATACATATTGGATGAGAAATCTGTGCTCGTTCTCTTGCTTATCATTTGTTTTCGCTTTGAAAACAGAAGAAAGTGTACATAAATTAAGAAACACAAACAAAAGAAAGAATCAGAAATAACATAAATAATAAATAAATAAATAAATAAATAATACATAAATAAATAAATCATAAATTTAATAAATCCACGTGACTACGTACTTGTATGGCTGCTCTATATTCGTTCGCCGCAGTCAGCGTGTAATTATTATACTGATCTATGAAACATTTCATTCGTTCCTTGTAAGCCTGGGCAGTTTCCACATCCATCGTAATCTCATTGCCAAATTTGTTGTATTTCATTCCTGTACATTTCATTCAGACATAAGAAATCAAAGCCTGAGGAATTAAGTTTTTTCGAAACTCACCGGTACTATCGACACTGTGCGCGAGTTCGTGTCCAATAATCATACCTATCGCACCGTAGTTAATCGCACTGGAAAGTCAGCTTATGAGTTAAAATTTCTACCTCTTGAATATTAAATATTATAACACTTAAAATTTTGTGCACTCACAGCGGTATGTCGGGAGCAAAATACGGATCCTGAACTACAGCAGCTGGTATAACTAGAAACAATTAAGATAAATGTGTTAGTTACAATTTAACATTACGTCCTAACACGCCATAATTATTACAAAAAGAAAAACTAAAAAAATTAATACTCATTGAGTTCATCTGGTGAGCATAAGCTGCATTGAAAGTTATGGGAGCAAAGATCCACCTGTAATAGTATTATATGATCGACAACGATGAATGGCGAAAGAGAAGAATAATTTAATTGGTTATTTATTAAATAATTATATCATAAAATGATCGGATTGTCCTTACTTGGTTCTATTCATTGGTTTCAGATAATCCTTCAATATTCTTTTCGTTTTAAACACTGTTGTGGCGACTTTGTTTTTGAAGTAACTTTCCCCAACTTCCAACTAGAAATCAAAAAGATGATTGATCTTTACTTAACAATATTGCATCAGTGCGCTTCAAATTAATTTATCACGTTTTACAGATAAATCCCTACCCCTTCGTAATATTCAATGAGTGCTGTTTGATTATTGTACCAATTAGAATAACCGATCAGTGATATGACGTTGTCTATTTTGTCTATCATAAAGTGCTTCGCACTGGCGCTCGTCCACGTGGAGTTCAATATATGCCGCTTCATTTCTGTTTTAATATTGTCCAACATTTCTGTCACCTTAAACAAATTAACGCCAAATCGTTCGGAAATCTTTTCCCTTTTTTAAGTTTTTTCCTAATGCACTTGTTCACAGAAAGAGAATTTTGAGGACTTACACCTGTTATCATATTTTCCATATTGTATTTCTTGATAAACAGAAAAGAGAGAGCTTCTTCCAACCCTGTGTCTTCAACGCATATTTCCCACCTATAAGATAAAAAAGAAATATTTATTCAGGCGGCTCTTTAGAATCAGAAATGACGTTTCGTTAAACATTCACGACTTACCGTGGCTTTTGCTTGGTAATATATTCCATGTAAGTCGTTTCAAAATTAATGTCTCTCATTTCCTTCGTCAGATACGGCAGAAATTGATTCACTACATTCCAGTGAATATAATTGACTGCATAAAAGAATTAAACGTTACGCTCCATGTTAATGTATTTCCTTCTTTATGTACATATCTATACGTTTGAAGATTTCATGTTTCATTTAGATACGGGCTGTATGCTTGATATTACCGATTACATGTGGCGGGGTAGCACCCAATAAATGCGCCAGTTGGTGAAGAAGATGTTTATTTTGCACTAGCACAGGTGTCGACACGTCAACGGTTATATTCGAAGATTTAAATAACAGTTGTATCTTTTGCAGCAAATTTACCTGAAGAAATATCGCGGCATCGTATTGTAGAATTATGAAACATGATAATTATGAAATATTGATAATCGTTATAAATAATTACTAGTTACTTTATATAACGTGACGTTGCGGCGCTACTGCCGCTTCTTAGCGCGTCATAAAATACCGAATCACGTTATCACGGATAGGAACAAAAAAAGGAAAAATTGGTCGCGGATCTCCAGAAATCGACCGAATCGTAGCTTGAAGATTTTTAGCATTACGATTATTTTTGTTTTCGAATATTGATGCTTCATCGGGCGTGACGAGGAAGAAGTGGAGCACGCCGACGATAGGAAAAGGCTAGGATTCGGCGAGGCAAAGGCGAAGCATTCAGCTCCGCTAGCCGTCAATTTTATGATTTATCCTTTATGATTTGCATTACCTGTGCTGTAGGCTGTTGTGTTCCCGCGAGATCATAATATCCTTGTAATTCTGCAATCGTCATTATATCATAGTCCTGTTCGTTTACTTTCTTGGCATTCATTTCATATTGACTAATCTGTTCAAATGTACGTGCATCTTTTGAAAATAATCTACCTTATCTGTTTTAACACTTTCACGCATTACCGGGGAAGATTTTGAGAATAATTACGTTTCTGAAGTTCCTCGAGAATTTAATTATATCGCTTATATCTGCAATGTAATTCTCAATTGGAACATCTGTTCCAATATGTCTCTTAAAAGCCCTCAATACGTTAACCAGTCTGTCGGTTTCCCAGTACACAAATCTTTTCTTGCCAATTGTTTTCATGAGAAAATATGTTGTTCCAACCTTCACCTATAATTACATACATATAAGCTTGACTATAAAAGATAATATTTATAAGAATTAATGTAAAATTGTGTGCAAAAATCTATTTTTAATTATATTAATCGATATGGAACCACGTATTGTATATTAGAAGCGATCGCATAAAAAATGCAAACGAAAAGATACCGTAAGTATAAGATTAGTCGCGTTTTCCTTCTGAGGTGTGTATCTTATGGCGATAAAACTGCTGGCGAGAAACATTTGCAAATAATAATCGTCGACTTCTTGCCAAGTGTAATTGCTCGCCTCGTGATTTCCCAATTGAATTGGCCACCCACCTTTCGCGTCTAGTAATTTTTGTATAGGTTCAAGCCCATGCTTTTCTATAGCGTCTGCAATATAATCAGTAAAAGAAGATGTTAAAAATTATTAGCATATTTTTAAGATTTGCACAAAACTAACTGCCATATTAAACCGCTAGTAAACTGTATTAAACGATTAGAATACGTGTATATATGTATAATAGTATCGTTACATTATACTAAGTATCTATCAATTGTGTATTTGATGTATTTGTTGATCGTATAAAAGATTATTGATATATAAAAGGATAAATTCCGTGCCTTCGTCGATGCACGAACGGTAGTATTGTTTCATCATTTTTATAGGCGGCAGGTCATCATATTCACTCTGTTCTTCTAGAATCTCTGAAAAATATACGCAGCATTAAAATATAAAAAAAAAGAACACAGAAAACATAATGTATAAATGTATGAAAAATTTAATAAATTTAACTTTCAACGAATTAATAATATTAGCGCGATATAAAAAAAAAACATATCTGTCAGAATAATTCAGAGGTTGTTAGATTCTTTTTGAAGAAATTCGTGCAATTCGTTAACGCTTGATCACGCATTCCTGCGCTCTCGAGAGAATTCCATACCTTTTAAACGATGCGAAATCCTCGACTTCAAATCTAATATATGCTTCTCGGACCATTCCACATCATTGGACTGTGTACGATTATTTTCTAATCGCAAGCCGCATCCGTATTCGTAGAAATTAGTACAAGGCTCGTAAGAATCGTTCATATCACGACGTATTGATTCTCCTACGTTCAAGAAGTAATTATATTACATTAAATACACAAGTTCGATAAATATTTGCAGAATTATTATTGTTACGAAACGCATTGGGATTATTGTTCCGACCCGTAATTTTCACTGCATTTCGTAACATACGTTTTTATAGTTTCTGTATCTAGTATCTGCCTTTCTCTATATACTATTACATACAAAGTAATCGATTCATTTTTTTCTTCCTTAATATTTTATGAATAATTTTATATGCATTCACTTAAAACGATTAAGTGAAAAAGTCGATGCTGCGTCTTAGCGCATACAATATTTTACATTTTATTAACATACCCACTTTGCGACATACTTCGCTCTCACACACAGTATACTCAGTCGATCTACGCCTAGGAAGCCCAACTGCTCCCGCGATTATTACACAGAAACTGTAAAAATAAAATAATTAATTGCGTCGCATAATGAACGACGTAAAAAATGCAAGGATATATTTTAAATACGTATCGCGTGAGATCGCATAAATTCTCAATATATAGCAATCGGGCTCATTTGAATACGTAAAATATGAAGTTGAAAATCACGAGGAAATCTTGAGGCAGCAGTTTTTCTCACGTGACAACGAACGTCAAAGAGTCTATATATAAAATTTTCAAGTATCATTTATTCAGTATGTAGAATCACTTTGTTCACGGTTTAATTTGTTATCTGCTGGTCATTCGTTTGTTTCGTTACACATTATAAATATTAAGCTTTCATCTTAGAAATGTCGGAAATATAAAACACAAGACAAGACACGGAGGACGACTCACAGTAACGGCAAGAAAGTCATGTCCGCACCCGAGAATCCGTCGGAATAATACACTGTACAAAAATAGAATGTGTACTATTTCCATGATCTCTGGATCATTCCTAGATCGGCTAGAGCGAGCCACCTTCACCAGAGAGTCGATCAGTTGCGAAAAACTACGCGAATAACAATATTGATTTTCTACACATGCCTCCTAACGTTATGACATTTTATGCATGTTATGACATACTATATAATGAATATCTTAAATAACGAGACTGTAAAAACGATATACAGAATGGGGCGATAACTTTGTTACCCTGGAATATTTTTGCCATTTTTAGATATGTGAAAATATTTTAATTACGAAGGTTGTATAGTATCAAGAAAAGCCGACCGCACCAGAAAGCATGAAGCAACAAATTATCGCAGCATGTGCTGCAATCAGTCCGGAGGTGATAAGAAGTATACGTATTTCAAGAATGCAATTGCAATGTTGCATCAATGAAAACGGATATAATTAGGAGCACCTTTCACGTAAGAATCATTGTTTTACTCTTCTTTTTAATCCTGATTGCCCTTGTACTATATGTCGTTGAAGTCATTTGAATATCCACTATTGTATTAAAGATAAAAAAAAAGTATGGAATGCCGTTTAATAAAAATGAAAGTGATCTAGAAATCTCCGAAGCATCTGCACCCACAAAGAAATTATTACCAGCATATTAATATAGTCTTCTTCACAACTCAGATACATACGATACGAAAATAGCACTGTAGAATTGCGTATATTTATTAATTCGTCTAAACATCTATTCGGAGAATTACACTTTCAAAACATATTGTTTCAAAGAAGACTGACGCAACGCAGGAGACGTCGCTGCCATTAGTAAAGAACAAAGTTTAAACTGATAAGTTTCAGATCAAACTGCATTATTCGGACTATATAGTATCGTGGAAATAAAAAATATTGATCTTCGCTATATCAATTGCTGATGATGTATATTCTTCCTTTTCACAAGTTTGCAGCTTAAGAATTTCCTATGAATATCATAAGGTCAGAATAACAGTTTCAGATTCATGGTTATAAGAGTATAACGATGTAAGTGACGGATTTTGTCATTCAACTTGCGAATACATCTTCATTCTTAATTATAATTAATTTTTAATCATAATTAATTGTGTCACGGTTATTATATAATTAGAAAAATAAAACTTCGTTTTTACTTTTAACAACATTGATAAAACATTTTTACGAAATTATATACATATTTTCTTAGTTATTCTGCCGAGTTGTAGTATTAAAATTGTAATATTAAAAGCGCATCTTTTCTGTCATAAAACGTATTATTCTTCTGAACGGATAGAAGGGTCTCTTCTACATTCCAGGCTATTTCCACAGAGTGCATTTCGAATCTCGATTCGGTTGGCTATCGGCTGAACACTGATCGCAGTTGAAAGCATCGGAGAAAGGTACCATGTTAGACACAGCGCCGATTACTCGAAATTTGCTAGGGCTATGGGAGTCCTTATTTTTCGAATATATTTGATTAGCATTAATATTGACAAAAATTACGCGTTATATATTTAAATACGTTGTCCTACACTATATTTTCAATATTAAATAAATGTATAAATAGATGAAATGTCCAACAAATATCTCATTTTAAAAACTTTATTTTTAACATTAGCAACATTAACAAACAATTCTCACAGAATTACATTGCCGACATTTTGTCAATTGTTTTGTGCAGTTTGCAACACTAAAAGCGCATCTTTGTTACATAACACTATTCCGATGGAGAAGGAACACGTGTCCGCCTTATGTAACTCATCTTGTTAAAAGTCATTCCAGCGTTCCAAATTACTTCCACAAAGTGCATTTCGAATCTGGATTAAGTAGACTATGGACTGGACAGTTGAAAGTATCAGAGAAGGTTGCCATATTAGCCACAGTACCGAGGACACGATATTTGTTAGGGCTATGCTCATCAATATTAGCCAAGGCTGCCTCCAACACTTCTGTTGTTGCCATACACCAGGTCTTTCAAATATAATTCGTATCCATGTAAGTTATAATGTAAAATAGCTTTAAATTTTTTACGTAAGCGATGACATATAATACGGACGCAAAATTATCGTATATTAATTTAACGAGCTTGTACACATCCGAATTTCCTCACATACTAATATATTTATAAATTATTCAACTTACGTTTGCGAAGGATAAAAAGAACAGTTGTTCATCGCTGACATCTGTCAACCCGGGCAATTTCGGTTGCAGTCCAGCCAGTAATTTGCGCTTTTGGAATGCCGTGAACGCAACTTCCAGACCAATATTGTCAGCGACATTTTCGTCCTTGGTAAACAGCCCGTTCAACTAAAAATAATATAAAAGTTTATTCAAAAGCGAGCTTCTCCTTCGTTAAACTTAGCACGCCGCAATTGAATTTGGAAGAACAATGGCTGGAAGATATATTGAATATGAACATATGATTGTATACTCGCATTTGTCAATAATGATTTCAAAAAGAGCGTAAAGAATCTACGTTACTAGGCACATTTAGAAAATTTGCACAAGCACGAATACACACTTTCAGAGGTTTTCCATTGTTGCCTGCGGCAACCAGCGTGAAATTACCATACTGATCTATGAAACACTTCACCCTTTCTTCAAAAGCCTCACTGGTCTCTGCATCACTTGTAATCTTATTACCGACCTTATCGTATTCGATTCCTGCAAATTTTGGTTAGATGTGTGAAATATATTTACTCAAGGCAGTAAAGATTCATCGAGACTCACCGGTAGTATCGAAACTGTGCGCGAGTTCGTGTCCAACAATCATACCTATCGCACCGTAGTTAACCGCACTAAAAAAAGTCATATGTAAACTAAAATTTATGTTTTACATTTCAAAATTTAATAACATTTTTTATATACTATACACATACAGTGGCATACCAGGAGTGAAAAACGGATCCTGGACCTCAGCAGCAGGTATAACTGGAAACGGTTGTGGTGAATTAATTAACTGTAAATTAATTGTTACATTGCCGCCGTGAAACTATGACTAATGTATACGCGATCACATGAAAGCATACCTATTAAGTTCATCGGCCCAAGATAAAATGCATTGAGAGTTATAGGCGAAACAAGCCACCTGCAATTGTGTTACGTGGTAAGCAATATTAGATAACGGAGGAAGTATTGGGCATGTAATTTCATTAATTGAAAATAAATAATTTCTACACTGCGATCGAGTTATTCTTACATAGATCTATCTACAGGTTTCATAGATTGCATAAGTATTCTGAGGCTCTCGAATATTATGCTCGCGACCTTATTATTGAAATAATTTTCCCCAACCTCCAACTAAAACGTCAAAAATTTACATCATCTCCAATTGGTCGGCGTAGAAAATGGCAAGTAGAAAATTAATTTGTTGTATCTTATAAATTCCTTACTCCTTCGTAACGCTCGATGAGAGCAGTTTCATTGTTGTACCAGCTGGGATAACCAATCAATGACATGATATTGTCTATTTTATCTATCATAAAGTTCTTCGCATTGTCATTCGTCCATTCTGAATGCAATATACGCTCCTTCATCTCTACTTTTAGATCGTCTAACATATCCGTCACCTTAAACAGATTAATGTGAAATTATTTAAAAATCCCTGCTCCCTCGACATCGTCTTTTAAATGCATTTGAAGGAAAAATTGCTAGAACATACAGCTTGTATTGTGGTTGGCGAGTGAAATTTTTTTATAAATAAGAAGGACAAAGCGTCTTGCAACGGTATATCTGCGATGCATGTTTTCCACCTAAAAAATGAGAAAAATATATATATTCGGGTGTCTCTAATAGCATTAGAGAATACGTTTCGTTAAATATTTACGATCTACCGGGGATTTTGCTCGGTCACATTAAGTCCCATATAGTCTGATTCAAACTCAATGTCTCTCATTTCTTTATTCAATAACGGCAGAAATTGACTTATTAAATTCCATTGAACGTAACTGACTGAAAATGAATTTAATATTAAACTTTACGTCAATATATTCTCTTTTTCATGTAAAAGATGTTGCGTCAATATAGTGATAAGTATGCAGAGCTGCTGCTACAAAAGCAGATGGGAGTGCGAGCGCGCGCGCACAACTGGCCCGCGCGGTGCGCTTTCACTTTTTCATAGTGCTTTTGGCAACGGTAACCCGGCATACTGCTCAATCAATCAAACACAGGGAAGCGTCGAGAAGCTTCAAGAAGCTCGAGGGAGCTTAAAGCACAAGGAAGCGTCGAGAAGCTTCAAGAAGTACAAAGGAATTTGAAGCTCGAGCCTCAAGCTTCAAAAAGCTCGAGGGAGCTTGATATATCTATGAGACATGTCTGAAATTTCATGTCCTTCTTACGTATTTGTCGTTACTTCACTATCGTGTACGTTTAATATTTTACCGATCACGTGCTGTGGAGTAGCATTCAGCAAATGTGCCAATTTGTGAAAAAGATATTTATTTTCCACCAGCACAGAAAACGAAGCATCAATGACTTTGTTAACAGGCTTGTGGAGCTCTTGTATTATGTGCAGCCAGTTTATCTGAAGAAGTATTGCGAAATTGTATTATAAAATGACATACCGACAAAACTTCCTATATAATTAACGACGCATATCTTCGATACGAGATTATCTTCTCAATATACTTTATATAATCCGTCTCGCTTGAAGTTGTTTACTTATAAAAATATATTAATTATGATATTATGATAATTATGATATAAATTATGATATTTACATGTACACCTGCACACATTGTCTTATATCTCCAAGAGTAGATATATATTTAACAGGAAGTTTGCCTTTCTTTCAGAATAACTTGACGTAAGTAATATATGAAAATAATGATGAAATTAATGGCATTGGCATGGCATGGTGAATTATGCAGTGTCGATGTCATCATCGATATTACCTGCGCGGTAGGATGTTGCGCTCCAGCCTGATCATAATATTCTTGTAATTCTGCAATTGTCATTTTATCCTCGACCTTTTTCAATCCTTTCTGGATTTCCTTTTCATGTTTGCTAATCTGTTAAAGTTAAAAGGATATATATATATATATATATATATAATTTACAGATTATCATCTTTTCTGTTAATGTCTAAGGTACTATTAGGGAATAATTACGTTTTTGACATCTTGCTGAAAGCTAAGTAATTCTTCCAAGTCTGCGGCAAATTTCTCAGGAGGAGTTTCAATTCCTTTGTGTTTCTTGAAGGCTTTTAGTATATTTGTCAGTTTAGTAACGTCATGGAGTGAGAATGAGCGTCTATTGACAAGTTCCTCCTCAAGATAAGAACCTATTCCTTGTGATATCTATATTTTTAGATAAACATACATAACGTAGAAATCTTTTGTATAATTCGAATAATCATTAGCGTACTATTTATTGTAGGATATATTAGAATTGATTTTGCAGAATGTGAGTGGAAAAAGTACCGAAAGTATAGTTTTGGACGCGTCCTCTTGATCAGGTATATAACCGAATTCAATGAAAGTGCTGGTGTAAAACATTTTGATGTAATTATTGTCGATTTCCTGCCAGGTGTAATTTTCAGCGTTTGATTCTTGATGTCCTAACTGAATCGGCCATCCACCATTCGCATCCACCAGTGTCTGTATAGGTTCAATTCCTCGCTTTTCGATAGCGTCTGCAATCAACGATTGAGATAACGGAAATATCAAATAATTAACACGTTAAGTGCCTATATTGTTTCATTTTCCGTTTACGCCACACGACACCATTCAAGCAACGGAAGAGACTCACACGCGTGAGTAAAGGGTAAACAAAGATAACGAGAAACAAAGGCCGAGACGACTAATTAATTGCCAGTCACACATAAGACACAGTACAGTTTCGTTCTCCAGAACAGATGTAGACAATATTTGAACAAGTGTTTGTTGCCCATAAAAAATTTAAAATGATGACAGAATCAGAAAGTGATACAAAGTTGTCACTTTTTGTAATATTTGCAAAGGAAAACCCCATCTTTGTTAAAATTGTTTTGATAAATTACATTAATTTTTTATAGAGTATTATATTCTCCACTTATTACTTGAAATTCCTCAAGGACTGATGTCGCCTAAATGAAACGTTCGTCCTCGGTACGCAAGGACCGGCGCGGCGGCGTAGCCTAAACAAAAAGTTAAGCGCCGGCGTGGCGTAAACGGGAAGTCTAGTGCCGGCATTCAACGTGTTAAACTAAATATATTTGCAATATTTGTGCAAAATCAACGGTTATCAAACTGCTATCGATATCTAACCAATAAATGATATACGCGTAATAATTAATTTATTTATAAATAAAGGATATGATACATAAAACTCGTACCATCGTCCATGCACGAATGGTAATATCGTTTCAACTTTTTTATAGGCTCCAAATTGTCATATTCGCTTTCTCCTTCAAGAACCTCTATAACAAATATATGAAACATTATTAAAATATATAATTACATAAAGTAATCGAACAGTATTAAAAAGGCGAGCAGCTTGTTTTTAATGTAATTGAAGCTGCTTATATCTGATGATGTAAAGAAATATGTTTCAAAATCATTCTGCCGTTGATGGATCCTTTTCTAAAGTATCTCTATAATGCTTAATTATCAATTTCTTCTCTTGCCGAAAAAACGTCATACCTTTTAAGCGACGAGAGGTCCTTAAATCTATCAAATGCATCGTAGACCATTGTACATTGTCGGACGGAACGGGATTATTTTTTGCCCACAAGCCGCATCCATATCCGTAAAAATTAGTGCAAGGTTCGACAGATTTGTCGATACTATTTTGAATCGATTCTCCTATATTCAACAAGTAATATAATATTAAATAAATTCACGCCAAACTCTGAGATAACTGAGACTTTTGTAAAATTTTTATTATGTGACGAATCGAGATGTTCGACATATTCGTTGTGATTTTCCTGGCATTTTGCAACGTTTATTCTGACGTTTCTCTGTACGTTCATCTTTCTATACATACGTCACATGTAATCTTCTTTATTCATTTTATTCACAATTACGTAAGATGGTTAAGTGAAAAAATCGGTATTATGTTGCGATACAATGTAATATTTTACATTTTATTTCGTGTACATTTCATTTCATTTTATCGTTTTACATTTTAATAACATACCAACTAAGCGGCATGCATCGGTCTCACATATGGTATAATCGGTCGATCTACGATGAGGAAGGCCAGCCGCTCCTGCGACTATGACACAAAAACTGTAAAAATGAGAATTACTCATTCGTGAGCGCCAAATGAGCGACGTAGAACAAATGCAAGGGCAATGGAAAAGCAAGGACATGCTTTGAATGTATATTACGTGAAATTGCATGACGTATTGTCGATTAAGTAGAAATGGGCTTCGAAACAATAGTTGTTTTCACTCGGTGATGGATACAAAAATTTCCGCCGATAAAATTTTTAACCATCATTTATACAGTACAAGTACGATTTTGTACCTAGCTTTATTTGTTCCCGATTGATTTAATTGATTACACTTGACGAATTCTAGAGGTATAAAATACGAAACTAGACGCAGAATATGCGAATATACTCACAGTAGCGGCAGGAGAGTCATGTCTGCATCCGAGAGTCCGTCCAAATACACTGAGAATCCATACAGTACACTGTGCAAAAGTCAAACGCGTACTGTTTCCACGATAGGTCTGGAGCACTTTTAAATCAGCGACCTCTTCCAGATCAGTGGGTCTATCAGTTACAGACAACTACGAATAGCGTTGATTTTCCGCGTTCGTCTTTAAACGCTATAATGTGTTATGCAATGGTACCTTGAGTAGCGAGCATGTAATGACAACATAATTGGGGAGACTGAAAGTTAACGTAGAAGTGTCAGTTATATGTCAAATAGATGTAATGATGTGTGTGTCGCAATGTACCATATCTATTGCTGTTTTTAAACGTGTACTGAAACAGCTTCCAAAACATATTGTTGCTTCATAATAAGATATTAAGGCGGCTATTATACGGTTACGAGACGTTACCGACGTTACATCAGCGAGGGGCAAAGTTTAATTTGATAAATCTAAGATTAAGTTGTATTATCAACACTGTAAAACACAGGAATATAAAATGATGATGTGCACACCATTAATTGCTGATGTTTTCGCTCGTGACGTATTCGCACTCTCCGCAATCTGCAGATTAAGCACTTTCTAGGAAAATCATAAGGTCAGAATAACAGTTTCACGTTTTAGACGATGATAAATTATTTAGACTTTTTTTCTATATAAACGTTTTCAATTTATTATTACCGTTTTGAAAGTTACAATATATATTGCATATTTAATAGATATTTCGAAACCATTTTCTGCGTACAATTTCGTAAAAAGGCGAAACCATTTCTAGACAGTTCTTTTAAGATTTCGTTTGGACGACAATATTCGAACATCATAGATTGAATTAAATATGCGCGATCTATTCTGGAAAATTAATTTATTGCTTTGTTAGTTGTCGCTTAGTAGAGGTTGAACTTTCGATATTAGATACTAATAAGACATACTGAATTTTTACATACTGAATATTTAAATATGTTATCTTACATTATATAGTGTTATAAATATTAAATAAATGCACGAAGATGTGGAATTTTTCATATTTAGTATAAATATTTTATTTTTAATTTAATTTATTAGTTTTAATATTTTGTTTTGAAAAAAAACTTTATTTTCATATCAGTAACATTAACAAGAAATTGTAACAGTATTATATTGCACAGATCTGTATGATTTTGCGGCTTGGAAAACAAGAATAGTTTCTTATAGTTTTTTGTTTTGTGCACTGCGTCCGAATCCGCAAGTAAGAATGTTCTGTTAAGTTTACGAAGAAAATGGGATTGAAATTTCCCAAGAACGTGTTTTAGGGCATTTTTTTTAAAACTTCATAGCCAATAAAGTCAATGTTCTATAGACTTCGAAAACGGCTCAAATTCATGTTTGAATGTAGTACTTTAACATGAAAATATCGAATTATTTACCGGCACCATCGCACCTCAAGTGCGCTTTATAAAAGTTGATGTACGCTCCCTGGATGAAGTATGACGATTGCCTCATTATGGCCCACTGCAAAACTGTTGCACATAGTAAAAATCTTAATAGTAGATTCAATACACAGAATTGAAGATACTCTTCGTAAAAATGTTTTTTTTCTTTATTTGTTTAAACAATTCATTCGTTTAAACAATTACTGTGCAACAATTTTTTATAACGAATTTTTGATAATTTTTTAAAAAACGATTTTTCAAAAAATGAACCATGTAATTCTATTATACGAAAAAAAATATGTAAGTTACGTGTATTGCAAAATCTTTTACAAAATATAAAATTGTATGTTGCATGTCACATCGTAACATCACACCGTTCTATTTGACACTGTGCGACTGTGCGACATCAACCAACAACTAAAAATAAAGCACGCCAGAGGTTCGGTGATACCGGCGATAAGATATTCGACATTTTCGTATTGAAGTATCTATTCAAGCATTAATTTGATTCTTCTTCTAAATCTCTTGCACATAGGGTTCGTCAGCGAATTTTCAAAAATGATAAGAAACGCTTTTTTGAGGCGTTTCAACGATATTTTTCCCATAAACTTGACGTGACAAGGCATTTTCCCTTGCGGATTTAGATTCGGCTCACCAAGAACACTGGAAAACTAGTTTTCTTTTCCACGGACCGCACAAGAATGTAAAATTCTGCTGACCTACATTATCGACGTCCTGTCAATTATTCTATCAAATTCATAATATATAACATTTTATGTCACGCAACATTATTCTGTATAGCAGGGGCGACATGTTGGTTTTATATAACTCATCTTACTAAAAGTCGTTCCAATATTCCAAGTTACTTCCACAAGGTGCATTTTGAATCTCGATTAAGCGGACTGTGGTCTGGACAATTGAAAGCATCAGAGAAGGTTGCCGTATTAGCCACAGTACCGAGTATACGAAATTTGTTAGGACTGTGGTCATCTGAATTAGCTGAGGCTATCTCGTATACTTTTGTTGTTGCCGCACACCAAGACTTTAACACACATATAATTTGCTCATGCAAGTCATAGTATAAAATATTACACTATTTGTTTTAAAATTTCTTTGTAGATGATGATGTATAATATTGACATAAATGTATCGTACATTAATTTAACGGGTTCATACTTAGCAATCTTCTTTATATACCAATATTTATGAATTATTGAGCTTACGTTTGCGAAGGATAAAAAGAACAGTTGCTCGTCAGTGATATTTGTCAGTCCGGGTAATTTCGGTTGCGGTACAGCCAGTAGCTTGCGCTTTTGGAATGCCGTGAACGCAACTTCTAAACCGATATTGTCAGCGACATTCTCGTCCTTTGTGAATAATCCGTTTAACTATTAATGAGAAAAAGATTTATTCAACTCGGGTTTCTCCTCCGTTAAAACTAGTGTGGCTACATTTAATCTAGCAGAACAGAAAGATCCTAGATAGTCAAATGGCGTCACTTGGCTACCTGAGATGTTGCACATAAACACGTGTTTATGCATGTCTTTATTAATGGTCGCTTCGAGAAAAGTAATAAAAATGGAAAATTACTGGATACACGTAGGAAATTGGCGCAAACACAATTACGTACTTGCACAGGTTCTTCGTCCTCGCCTTCTTCAACCAGTGTGAAATTATTATATTGATCTATGAAACACTTCACTCTTTCATTAAAAGCCTCACTAGTCTCTGCATCACTTGTAATCTTATTACCGACCTTATCGTATTCGATTCCTGCAAATTTTGGTTAGATGTGTAAAATGTATTTACTCACGGCAGTAAAGATTCATCGAGACTCACCGTTAGTATCGAAACTGTGCGCCAGTTCATGTCCAATAATCGTACCTACCGCACCGTAGTTAACTGCACTAAAAAGTCATATGTAAACTAAAATTTATGTTTTACATTTCAAAATTTAATAACATTTTTTTATATACTATACACATACAGTGGCATACCAGGAGTGAAAAACGGATCTTGGACCTCAGCAGCAGGTATAACTGGAAACGGTTATGGTGAATTAATTAATTGTGAATTAATTGTTACATTGCCGCCGTGAAACGATGACTAATATATACGCGATCACGTGAAAGCATACCCATTAAGTTCATCGGCCCAAGATAAAATGCATTGAGAGTTATAGGTGAAACCATCCATCTGCAATTGCATTAGGTAATAAATAATATTAGATAATGAAGGAAGTATTGTGTATAATTTCATTAATTGAAAATAAATAAATTTTACAACGTGATCGAGTTAATCTTACATAGATCTATCTACAGGTTTCATAGATTTCAAAAGTTTTTTGGTGTTTTCAAATATCCCACCGGCAAGCTTATTCTCGAAATAATTTTCTCCTATCTCCAACTAGAACGTCAAAAATTCATATTATTTCCATTCATTGGCATAGAAATAATAAGTCATCATACAGAAGATCATACAGTAAAAAATAAGCCGTTGGAATCAACATTTTTCATATGTTCCAGAAGGTTCACTCTATATTTGGCGTTAAAATAACATATTCGTCGTGTGTTATTTCTTAACATACCGAAAATGATAATTATTTGACACAAACACATTTTGTTTCACATTTATATGTGTTGTTTTAACTTAAAGGGCGCACAGAAATGTCAAATCATTAAATTGACTTAAATTTAACACATGAAAACATCAGATAAATAATAGCATATTAGCTGTGCGTTAATTGAACATTGAGATTTTAGTCAAATGTCGGAGACACAAAAAAATGTTAACGTTTGGACGATAGATTTTTTACTGTGTAATTTATTGTATCTTATAAACACTTTCTTACCCCTTCGTATTCTTCGACGAGTGCTGTTTCATTGTTGTACCAGCTGGGATAACCAATCAATGACATGATATTGTCTATTTTATCTATCATAAAGTTCTTCGCATTGTCATTCGTCCATTCTGAATGCAATATACGCTCCTTCATCTCTACTTTTAGATCGTCTAACATATCCGTCACCTTAAACAGATTAATGTGAAATTATTTAAAAATCCCTGCTCCCTCGACTTCGTCTTTTAAATGCATTTTAAGGCAAAATCGCAAGAACATACAGCTTGTATTGTGGTTGGCGAGTGAAATTTTTTTATAAATAAGAAGGACAAAGCATCTTGCAACGGTATATCTGCGACGCATTTTTTCCACCTACAAAATGAGAAAAAAATATATTCGGATGTCTCTAATAGCATTAAAGAATATGTTAAATATTTACGACTTACCGTGGCTTCTGCTCGGTAATATTATATCCCATGTAGTCTGATGTAAACTCAATGTCTCTCATTTCTTTATTCAATAGCGACAGAAATTGACGTATTAAATTCCATTGAACATAACTGACTGGAAATTAATTAAATATAAAATTTCATGTTAATGTATTATCTTTCTCACATATATATATTCATATGGCATTTTTAAAATTTCAAGTTCTTATGTATATCGTTACGTTTCTATCGTGTAAGATTAATATTACCGATTACGTGCTGCGGAGTAGCATCCAACAAATGCGCCAGTTTGTGAAGAAGATGTTTATTTTCCACTAACACAGGATACGAAGCATCAATGACTTTGTTAGCCGGCTTAAGGAGATCTTGTACCAGATGCAGCCAGTTTATCTAAAGAAGAATTGCAGAATCGTATTGTGTAAATTCATGTATGACGATATATTCATACATCGTCAAAACTTTTTAAATAATTAATAATGTACACTTTCGATACTAGATTACCGCATTAATGCATTACTCTTTATACTATCCGCTTGGCGTGAGTTATTTATTTATAAAAATGTATTCAATTATTATTTTTGCATGTATACAATAATCAATTTTGTATTAAAAATGGTCCACTTAAATTTTGTGTTACTTTAATATATGGAAAGCATTAAAAGGAACATAAATATGTTAGAAAGTACGCAAACGTTAAATTAACATATTCATCTTGTCAACATATATTTTAACATTTTATTTGTATGCTTTTTAACACATTTCCTGTGTTAAAATTTCAGTGAACCGTTTTTAACACAAAATTTTTTACTGTACACACGTGAACACATTGTTTCATAATCCACAAGTACGTAAATTCATCATGAATTTTATTTTCCTTTCAGAATAATTCAACATAATATATAAAAAACCATGATAAAATAAACGGTATATATAAGTTAGATGCAGTATCAGTTTTATAATTGACATTACTTGCGCGGTAGGATGCTGTGTACCAGCCTGATCATAATATTCCTGTAGTTCTGCAATCGTCATTTTATCCCGGATTTTCTTCAATCCTTTTCGGATTTCATTTTCATGTTCACTAATCTGTCAAATGTGAAATCTGTTAAAATTTATATATAATTTTCAGATTATCTATATCTATATATATATATATATAGATAATCTGAAAATTATATATAAATTTATATGTTATATATATCTATATATATATAACATAAATATATAATATATTATTAGAGAATAATTACATTTTTAAGATCTTCCTGAAAGCTAAGTAGTTCATTTAAATCTGCAACCAAATTCTCAGATGGAGTTTCAATTCCTTTGTATTTCTTAAAAGCTTTTACTACATTAGTCATTTTGTCTACATTTTGGGCTGGAAATAAGCGTTCGCTTCTTTTGACAATTTCTTCCTCGAGAAAAGAACCCACACCTTGTAATATCTATAATTTTAGATATATGCATAACATATAGACAATTTTGATATAATTATAATAATTATTGATGTACCGTGCACGCATATTGTAGGATATGTTAACGCTAATTTTGCAAAAACTTAAACAGAAAAAGTACCACAAGTATAGTTTTTGTCGCGTCGTCCTCCTCAGGTATAAAGCCAAATTCAAAGAAACTAGCAGTGTAAAACATTTTCATATAAACATTGTCGATTTCTTGCCAAATGTAATTTTCAATATTTGATTCGTGATTTCTCAATTGAATCGGCCACCCACCGTTCGCATCTATCATTGACTGTATAGGTTCGAGTCCTCGCTTTTCGATAGCATCTGCAATACAATCGAGATAATGGAAATATCAGATAACTAAACATACTTGCAGAATTTGTTAAAAATCAACGGTTATTAAGATCGAACTGCTAACTTCTCCCTAAGACGGAATTGTGAAAAGAGTAAATTTTCTATTTTGAAAACATTTGGAACCTTCACTTTTCTGCCTTAGAGAAAAGTCACACAATATTTTGGCGACACCGATAAGGCGAATCAAGGATCTCGCTGGCGAAACGGAGGAAATATTACAAAATTCATACCTTCGTCCATGCATGAACGGTAATATTGTTTCAGCTTCTTTATGGGCTCCAAATTATCATATTCACTTTCCTCTTCAAGAACCTCTACGAGAGAAACATTAGTGAAATTTATAATTATATAAAATAGTGAAAAAAGAAATGCATATCGTAGAGCATTGAGAGAGAATTCTTCTATTTTTGGCGTAGTCGAATTTACGACGATATGAAGAAATATTTTTCGAAATATTTCGACATTGATGAATCTTTTTTTAAAGTATCTATAATTTAGCAGTACTCAATCATTCCTACTTTTCCCAGAAAACCTCATACCTTTTAAACGAAGAGAAGTTCTCAAATCTATTAAATGATTCGTAGACCATAGTACATCGTTGGACGGAATAGGATTGTTTTCTGGCCACAAGCCGCATCCATATCCATCGAAATTAGTACAAGGGTCAACAGACTCGTCGATACCACTTCGAATCGACTCCCCTGCGCTCAATAAATAATATGTTATATCGATTATAGTTTCAAAGATAATTACAACTTTGTTTAAATTTATTTTAATTATTATTATGCATGACGAAACGAGATGTTAGAAATATTCGTTGTAATTTTCCTAGCATTTTGAAACATTTATTTTGATCTTTCTTCGTACGTTCGTTTTCTATATACGTCACATACGAACTTTTTCATTCGCTTTATTCACAATCGCAAGATGGCTAAGTAAAAAAAAAATCGGTATTATGTTGCAATATACGTGCAATATTTTTACATTTTACTTTTTGTACATTTTGTTTAATTTTGTCATTTTGTATTTTAATAACATACCAACTAAGCGACATGCATCAGTCTCACATACGGTGTGATCGGTCGATCTACGATTAGGAAATCCAGCCGCTCCTGCGACTATGACATAAAAGCTGTAAAATAGAATAACTTATTCGTGAACATCAAATGAGCGACGTAGAATAAATGCAAGGACGTGCTTTCAATATGTATCAAGAGATTACATGATGTATTGTCGGTTAAGTATAATCGAGCCTCGAAACAATAGTTGCTTTTTTACTCGGCTATAATAGACATTAAAATCCTCGCCAATAAAATATTTAACTATATTAGTTACATATGATAAATACGATTTCCCTTAAAGTTTCATTTGTTCCTGATTTATTTATTATCCTTTATCAATTTTAACACGTTAAGCGCCGCGTGAGCCACTGGTGACCCCCGTTAACTTTCTTGTTTTAACTTTCTATTCACGCTGCAACATATATTTTACGTTATCCTGTCCCTTCGTAATTAGGAGCGGACAAGGAAATTTTGTAGCCTTATAAATGTTATGAGATCTATTTCACAAAGATACGTGGTAAAAATATATAATAAACGCAGAAATTGTGGATTACCGGTGGCCTACGTGACGCGCATGGAGAAGCACGTGAAATTGGCGATGCACTTAACGTGTTAAGTACATAAAATGCGAAACAAGATACAGAATATACGACTCACAGTAGCGTTAAGAGAGTCATGTTCCTATCCGAGAATCCGTCGAAATAGTACACTGTGCTAAAGTCAGACGCGTACTGTTTCTACGATAGATCTACAGCACTTTTAAATCAGCAAGAGTGTGCGACCTCTTCCAGCTCAAGCGAGTCTATCAGTTACGGACAACTACGAATAACTGCTGATTTTCCGCGTTAGTCTTAAAACGTTATGAGGTGTTGTGCAATGGTACCTTGAGTGATGAGCGTATAATGACAATATAATTGGAAGAACTATGAGTTAACGCATGTGTCAATTACATGTTGTACATATGATAGACATAATGATGTATGTCGCAATATACAATATTTATTGCTGCTTCTAAACGTGTTCTGCAACAGTTTCTAAAACGTATTGTTGCTTCAAAATAAGATATTAAGGCGGCTATTACGATTACGTCAGCGACACTATGACACCATGAGGGGCAAAGTTTACTTTGATAAATCTAGGATCAAGTTGTATTTTTGATATTGTAAAACATTTGTGGAATATAAAATATTGCAGTGTGCGCGATTAATTACTGATGTTTTGACAAGTTCGCTCTTTCCACAATCTGCAGATTAAGTCTGTTTCTGTGGAGACCAAAGTCAAAATAACAGTCTAAGATTTTGTATAAAGATAAGTTACTGTCTTTTATCCGATTTAAACATTTCTAATTTAACTGCTTTCTAGACATTTGTAAGATTTTGTTTCGACGACAGATCTCGAACATCATTGATTGCATGAAATTAAGACAATTCATTCTGGAAAATAGTATATTGTACGAGTTTATTCTCCGATATTAGCACTGATATTAACAAAAGTCACTGTTTGTGAGCGAATGCACTAGCTTTCTCGCGTGCAATGCTCCGCTGGATCTGCCCAGCGCAGGGCACGGAATGCAAGGAAGGATCGGTGTGGTGGTTGAAATTCTTGAAAGCGAGCTGCGGTTGTGCAATGGTTTATTCTTCTGTCGCGATAGAATGGCTATCTGTCCTTTACAATAAGAGGCGTGATGCAGTTCTTCTTTGTCGTGTGCCACGCACAACCGCGGTTACAAGACGCAACACGATTCCAGTCGACGATCACAACGTTCAAAATGACAATTATAATTAACTGATAGCCGACGATCACTTGCGAAGTAGTCACGAGGCCGCGAAAGATGTCTCGTAACGAAATGAAGAAAATCCTGAGATTGATGTCTCGCACGGACGGTTGACCCGTAGCGAGCCGAGATAGGCGAACTATTAGACCCGAACAGCGTGGTCTAATATCGAAAAGTCTCTCTCGCTGAGAGTTCGCTTAACGTTTCTGTAACGGTCTTTTGTGCTCTCAAGGCACCTAGTTTATATACCAATATAACGCGGTTTTTTGTTTTTTTTTTTCAGCGGAACGAATAGATTGATCGACCTTCGATCGGACGAAGCCTTTTCGATCATGTTTTTGATATGATTTGACAATTCGGTGTTTTTCTACCCGAACACGTGATGAGACACGCGTGCTTCTTGTTTACTTATGTTGTTGTTTAGAAATCCGCGTGTTATTGTTTAGAACACGTGAGATCGTTTGCCGCATCATGCTCGGCTCACATGATGAGCATGATAACGTTAACGACTTTAATTAGAATTTTGAACAGTCACATACCAATTATTTAAACATGTTACCTCATTTATTGTGTTCTTTTATAAATATTAAATAAATGTATGGAGAAGTGAAGTTTTAAATACTTTGGTATAAATATTTTCTTAACAAATTTTATTTTTAACGTAGTAACATTTATTAAAAAAAAAAAATTGTACAGCATTACACTTTCGAGACATTTTGTCAATTACACTGCTGAGCCTGCAATACTAAAAGCACATTTTTTGTTACATAACATTATTGCGAACGAGAAAGAGGAGGGGGATTCGCTTTATTTAATTCATCTTATTAAAAGCTTATTCAACAGTCTCGGTTATTTCCACAAAGTGCATTTCGAGTCTGAATTAAGTGGGCTGTGAACCGGACAGTTGAAAACATTGGAGAAGGTCGCCATATTTGCCACAGTGCCGAGTATTCGAAATTTGTTAGGGCTGTGGTCATCTGAATTAGCAGAGGCTCTCACGTATTTTTCGGTTGTTGTCATACACCAGGTCTTTAATATATAAGTTATTTATGTAAGTCATAATATTATATTAAAATATTACATTATTCGTCTTAATTTCCCTTCATAAGAGATAACGTACATATAACATAAATATATTATACATTAATTTAACGCGTAAAATTTAACAACTGTATATACATATGAATTTTCCTCGTGTATCAACATATTTAAGAACGATTGAACTTACGTTTGCGAAGGATAAAAAGAAGAGTTGTTCGTCACTGACATCCGTCAATCCGGGCAATTTCGGTTGCGGCCCAGTCAGTAATTTGCGCTTTTGGAATGCTGCGAACGCAATTTCTACACCAATGTTATCAGCGACATTCTCATCCTTTGTAAATAATCCATTTAACTAAAAATGAGAAAGAATTCGTTCAATGTGATGTTTCTTTCGTTGGAGAAAGCACGTAAAAATTTAATCCGGCACAACTAAGGCACGCAAATTTATTGGATATAAACATGTGTTTATACTCGTTTATATTAATCGCTTCGGTAAGAGTGAAAAAATGTGCATTAATAGACACACGTAAAAATTCAGCATATAAGCGCGAATACATACCTGCACGGATTCTCCGTCTTTGTCTTCCGCGACTAGCGTGAAATTACTATATTGGTCAATGAAACATTTCACCCGTTCATCGTAAGCCTCGGTAGTTTCTGCATCACTTGTAATCTTATTCCCAAACTTGTCGTATTCGATTCCTGTCAATTTCATTTAGACGTGTGAAACACATCGACTCGAGGCAATAAAGTTTTATCGAAACTCACCGGTAGTGTCAAAACTATGCGCGAGTTCGTGCCCGACAATCATGCCCATCGCACCGTAGTTAACCGCACTAAAGAATCATATATAAACTAACATTTCCGTCTTATATTTCAAATATTACCGACGTCATTTTATTTACTACGGCACTGTATTACTTACAGCGGCATACCGGGAGTAAAAAACGGGTCTTGGATCTCAGCAGCGGGTATAACTGAAAGTAATTAAGGTAAATCTATTGAAGGTAAATTAATTATTATATTGCCGCCGTAAAATCGCGACTGGTATATACATGATTAAATGAAAATATACTTATTGTGTTCATCTGCGGGCTGTAAAATGCATTGATAGACAGAGAAGAAACACGCCACCTACAATTGTGTTAGATGTCAAACAACATTTAACAATGTAAGAGATATTATATATAATATCTTAATTAGGAATAAATATCTTTCACAATGATTCAATTCTTCTTACTTTAGCCTATCTATGGGCGATTCCTGGTAATCCATAAGTTCCCTGTGGTTTTCATATATTAAGCTGGCGATCCTATTCTTGAAATAATTCTCCCCAATCTCTAACTGGAATATCGAAAATTTGAATGATTCGCATCCAGAGGCCTTGCAAAAATGACAAGCAACAAATTAATTTATTTTATCTTGTAACTATAATCGTACTCCTTCATAACGTTCGATGAGCGCTGTTTCATTAGTACGATACCAGCTGGGATAACCAATCAGTGACACGATATTGTCTATTTTATCTATCATGAAGTTCTTCGCATTGTCATTCGTCCATTCTGAATTCAATATACGCTCCTTCATCTCTATTTTTAAATCGTTCAACATATCATGCACCTCAAACAGATTAATGTAAAATTATTGAAAATTTCTTGCTTTCCCGACTTCGTCTTCCAAATATATTTGAAGAGAAAAATTGTAAAAACGTACAGCCATTACAGTTTCTAAAGAATGATATTTTTTGACAAATAGGACAGACAAAGCGTCTTGCAACGGTATATCTGCGATGCATGTTTTCCATCTATAAGATAATAAAAAAATATATCCCGACGTTTCTAAGAATTCGGAAACATATTTTGTTAAATATTCACGACCCACCGTGGTTTTTGCTCGGTCACATTTTTATATCCTAAATAGCTTGATTCAAACTCAATATCTCTCATTCGCTTGTCCAAATATGGCAGAGATTGGCTTATTAAATTCCACTGAATGTAACTAACTGGAAATTATTTCAACACAAAACTATTATTTACTATTAAATTAAATTATTAAATTATTTCAACACAAAACTACCTTTATTATTATTTTAACTTTACTATTAAATATATTCTTTCTTTCTTATATAAATATTTATGAGATATGTTTGATATTATATATCCATAATTAATATTACCGATTACGTGCGACGGTGTAGCATCCAGTAAGTGTGCTAATTTGTGAAAAAGATGTTTATTTTCCACTAACACAGGATACGAAGCGTCAATAACTTTATTAACAGGTTTAAGAAGTTCTTGTATCTTATGCAGCCAGTTTATCTAAAGAAATATTGCGAAATAGTACTGTAAAGTTATGTTATCGCAAAATTTTTCAAATAATTAATGGTGCATACTCTCGATACGACATTAAAATATTAATCCTTATATTGTCTGTCTCGCGTAAAATTATTTATTCATAAATACATATATCTTCAATTATTATCTTTGTATGTACGCGTGCACACTTTGTTTTATTCTAATAACGACTAAATAAAATGAGAATGAATTTTACCTTCCTTTTAGAATAACTCGACATAAAATATAGAAATAATAATAAAATTAATGGCATGTGAGTTATGCGATTTCAACTTTATAGTTCACATTACCTGCGCGGTAGGGTGCTGTATTCCAGTCTGATCATAATATTCTTGTAGTTCTGCAATTGTCATTTTATCCCAGACTTTCTTCATTCCCTTATGGGTTTCCTCCTCGTATTCACTAATCTATCAAAGTTGAAACGAATATGTAACTTTCAGATTATCGGCCTCATTTTTATTAATCTAACATACTATTGGAGAATAATTACGTTTTTAAGATCTTCCTGAAAGCTAAGTAGTTCCATTACGTCTGCAGTAAAATTCTCAGTTACAATTTCAATTCCTTTGTGTTTTTTAAAAGCTACCAGCACATAGGACATTCTATTTATATCTGAGACATAGAATAAGCGTTCGCTACTCTTGACAATTTCATGCTCGAGAAATGATATGATAGTTTGTGACACCTACAAATTTAGATATAATTTATGATATAGAAATCTCTTTCTTATATACTATTAAAATAATTATTAATACACTATATATTATAGCACATATTAGAGCTGATTTTTTGGAGAGTAAATGGAAAAAGTACCTTTAATATAAATTTGGTTGCGTCTTCTTCGTCAGGCACAAAGTCAAATTGGAAGAAACTACTAGTGAGAAACATTTGCATATAATTATTATCGATTTCTTGCCATGTGTAATTGTTCGATTCTTGATATCCCGACTGAATCGGCCATCCACCGTTCGCATCCACCATTGACTGTATAGGTTCGAGTCCTCGTTTTTCGATAGCGTCTGCAATGCAATCGAGATAATGGAAATATCAAATAACTAAACATATTTGCAAAATTTGCTCTAAATCAATGGTTATTAAAGTACCGTTATCTAATTATAGTAAATCGTTGATTTACGTGTAATAGTTGGCTTATATAAAAAAATGTAATATAAAATTCGTACCTTCGTCCATACATGAACGGTAATATTGTTTCAATTTTTTAATAGGCTCTAAGCTATCATATTCGCTCTCCGTTACAAGAATTTCTATAAGAGATACATAAAACATTAGTAAATTGTATAGTTATATAAAATAACTAAAAAATGGTTGAAATAGAAATCTTTCGTGTTTTATGTAGTCGATGTAACGACGAAATAAGGCAATGTGTTCCGAAATAATTCAGATGTTGATAAAATTTCCTTTTCAAAATTTTATCTCTATAATTGTATAATGATTAATTATAAATTACCACGCTCACTAGGAAATCCTAGTACCTTTCAAGCGAAGAGAGGTCCTTAAATCTATTAAGTGCATCGTAGACCATTCTACGTCGGTGGATGGAAGAGGATTTTCTTTTGGCCACAAGCCGCATCCATATCCGTAGAAATTAGTGCAAGGATCGACAGATTTGTCGATACTACGTTGAATCGACCGCCCTACATATAACAAGTAATATAATATTACACGAATAAATATTACATAAAATTCTAAAATTAATCGAGACTTTTATAAAATTGTTATTACATGACGAATCGAGATGTTATTCATATTCGTTGTAATTTTGGTAGTATTTTGTTTATTTTGATTTTTCCGTAGGTTTGTGTGTATGTGTGTGTAATTTTTTACATTTTATATACACACATACATATACGCGAACTTCTTTATTTAACAGATTTTATTCGTATTCACGTAAAATGGCTAAATAAAAAACATTAATTAGCTATATTTTAATATTAATATCACTAGCTATATTTTAATATGCATGTATATTTTAAGATGCGCTATATTATATTATACACTTTATTAACATACCAACTAAGCGGCATGCATCAGTCTCACATACAATTTGATCAGTGGATCTACGATTAGGAAGTCCAGCCGCTCCTGCGACTATGACGCAAAAGCTGTAAAAATAGAATGACTCGTTCGTGAGTGCTAAATGAGCGATATAAAATAGATGCAAGGATTACTTTGAATATGTATCACTTGAGATCGCCTGACATATCGCTGATTAATTGCAATCGGACTTTGAAACAATCAGTCGTTCTCACTCAATAATAGACATCAAAATTGTCACACATAAAAGGGGCGACTAATTTTTCAGTTAAGTTTTATCGGTAACATTAAATGGAGAAAAAGGGACCGGTCAGATCACAGGGAGAATATAATTTATGAATATAATTTATTTCTCCGTTTCAAGGAAGCTACAGTCGCGAAATCTTTTATACCGTTTACCCACGCAGATATACGTTTCACGAGGATAGCTACATCTCTTTTAATTATTAATATTTTTTAATCAAACTCCCAACGCAAGAAGCTAAAGATACGTTCTGACAAACTGTTAAATATGAAATGAATCGCATTTTTACTTTTCCCGCAATCCAAGCTTAAAAATCCTCCACTCTTCAGGCTGGTCGAAGAGAATAATCTCTTGACGTTTCATTCGCTTCTCATTTATTTATTCTATTATACTTTGTAAATTCTTGAGAGGCACGAAATGCGAAAATACAGAATATACGACTTACAGTAGCGGCGAGAGATTCATGTCTGCATCCGAGGAAACCCGTCGGAATAGTCACACTATGCAAAAGTCAGATACGTCCGACGAGATAAGTCTAACAGTTTTAAATCGGCAAGAGTGTGTGTGACCTTTTCCAGTTCGAGCAAAAAACTCAGGCGGGAACCGGATAAGCCGTGAGCCAATCCGAATAATATATTAACCGGGCAAAGCATCACCGTCAGTTATTTTCTCTCACGAATAGTAGTGGACGTAACGGTAACTCGCAGGCGTGGTGGGGATGATGGAGGGTGGACGTTTGGCGGCCGACGTCACGTGATCCCCTTTGAACACACTCGAGCTAGAATTGTTGTAATATTGTCTGCAAACAATATAATACGTTAGACACTTTACCTTGAACCTAACGAGTAATTGAGTAATAAACGATATAATTGAGAAAACTGGCATACGTTAACATAAAAGAGTGCGTCAGTAACATATCATACACGCATAACGGATCCGGATGATCCAGAAATACGTGATGACTATGTTTCATCACAACGCAATGTCATACTGTGGCTTCGACTTGATATTTTTTCAGGTTCATTACGTGACCGACGTTACATGACCGCGAGATGTATGCACGAATGTGTGCACGTTTCTTATGTGATCATGGTTGATGCTTTAGACGAGGTGTTTCCCCGACATCATCCGAACGACACCTGAGCAGCGCGTGCGCACGCATCTATACCTATTCTTGTCCTCACGTTTTGACTATTGCGAGTGCAAAATAGGTCAGATTGTACGTATGTCGCGGGATCTCGGAATCGTCGCGAAGAGAGGAAGTCAAATCGGAGCAGTTTTTCAGCGAATATTCTGCCGTGTGTTACAGGGAATCCAGGCGTCGCTTCTTCGAGTAGTGATGTTCGAGGAACATCTAGAATGGTTGTCGCGCGCGTGTTAGAAGAAATCAAAGCCCGCCGGATCGGTAAATCAGCCCGGAGAAATGCGAATTCCGCCTTCGTCCGACTCGGTCGGCAAAACTCGTCCGACGGACTTTAGAGGTCGCGAAAACGCAAATAAGTATGTTATCCGTCGACGGATTGCACCGTCCTCTCTACCTCAGCTCGACCGCCAGCCGACGATGAATTGTTTGGACATACCGGCGGACCACGAGAGTCCAGCGAAAAGATCGACCGCGAGACCTTCGCGCTCTGTGTAACGCGCAGCGCTACCGAATCAGCGACATCTTATCATCTGCCGTATTCAACAAAGGCGAACAACACATATTCATTTCACCGACGAATTCGAATACTTATATCCGGAAAACGGTCGCAATTCACATACACTTTGGATTTTACATATCGAATGAAGTAACAAAGATCCGCTATCTATCTCCTGCAGCCATATTGGTTGCATGACGTACAACGAGAAAAATAATACGATGTAAGTTTCTTCTGCGACATATAAATTTATTTTTTCGTTTGCCCGGAGAAACATAATAATTACGTAATCTTGAAGCCTTGAAAATATGTCCCGGAGAGAATGGTTGAAAAATATATTATTATTTCGAGTATGATTTTGCGATTTTATATGAGATATCGGACATATATCTTAATGATATTCGTATATTTTGCAAGCTTTAGAATTAACAAATTATTGTTTTCCGATAAAATTAAGATATATATTTATATGTCGTAAGAAATATATTGTCTCAAACATATAATTAGTTTCACATACATTCTTGAAACGTATGCAATATTATTGTGATATGTTACGTACGTTTCAAGAACGTACATGAAAGTAATGTGTACTACCTGCACGCCGTTATTTTTCTCGTCTTTCGTGTCACGTAATCAATATGGCTGTAGGAAATAGCGAAGCCTTCATTATTTCATTCGATATATAAAATATGACAATTATACGTTGACATTTCAATTGTCGGCGTGTCCGTTGCCTTGTCCTTATTCTGCGCTACGCAAAAAAAGAATTCAAGCAGGTAGAAGGTTAAGTTATAAAGCGATCCGATTGCTGGATACGTATTGGTCCAATAACAATGTGTCTCTCGTCGAGTCCAAAAAGACAATGTACTCCACATCCATATATATAATATATAGCCAAGGTGAAAGAGAGAGAGAGAGGGAAGTCCTGTCTCGCAACTACGATGCGGGAATATGTATTTTCCTCTCTTTCTGTATATATTGTGAACGTAATGCGCATGCGTCGAATTGGCGTCTCCGCCAATAGAAAAATATATATTTTAGCATAGTGGGTGTGTGTGTGTGTGGTGTGTGTGTGTGTGTAAATTACTGTATAGCCAGTTATCCAATGCTGTCTATAAAACCTGCATCAGACTGTGGATTGGGGATTGCAATTGAATTGAAATTTGACCAATCAGTGTAAAGTTCACTAAATTTCACTAAACTCGAATTAACTTTGTACTGATTGGCCAAATTCAATCTCAATCTCAATCTCCAGTCCATAGTTTGATACAGGCTTTATAGTCAGTATGGGGCGACTGGCTATACAGTAGTATTACATATATACACGCCACACGTGATGGCGCATCCAATAAGCGTACTGTTCTTCCACAAGAGCTACACACTCGTTGGATATCGCGTGCCGCATGTCGCGTCACGTATTGCGCCGTGTGCTATAATTCGGTGAGAGATTACAATAGGTTAAGTTGAGATCGTTTGGAATTATCTGCCGAGACGCCGACATTCCTCGTTATTTAGGAAGATACATAAAACATTAGTGGTAATTATACTCTAATTTGTTATAATTAAATATTATAGCGACTAACCTCATAACATACGACTTAATTTCAGCCTCTTCATTTATCTCTTAAACAATTTCTCGGACAATAAACTGTAATAACGATTAGTCGAGATTAAGTAGTAATGTATAAATATATAAAAGTATATTTTGACATTAATAGATGAGCCGGAAGGAAGCATTATCTCAATTTATACAACAAATTCACGGGCGACCTGTGGTTGTGAAACTAAACAGTGGTGTTGATTACAGAGGTAGATATTTACTTACAAGACACATATCGGGAATATTGTTCTTATTATTACTATACATCCAAATCAGATCTATCTGGATAGCAAAATATATTCAATCTGACCTTTTTCTATTCGCATTAGTCAAAATGTGAAAACAAGAATAGATACAGATACAGAACTGGTAAGATGTTTATGTCATGTTGGAAAAGTATCTAATTGCATTGATAATCAGGAACGTGCACAGATCATTTGTGCATATCTTATGCTCGTGTGAGGTTAATCCGTAATAAAAAAAAAAGATATCAAGTTGAAGTATATCGCATTTGACTTGATATCGTATTTTAGTAAAACATGATCATATATTTCTATCTGTGTAGATTCTTAATAAACCTCTAACTTTATTTATGTTTAACGGAACCAATTTACAGGATTCTCTTAGAGATTTAATAGAAAACTACTTTATGTATATTTAATAATTATAATGTTTCTTTTATAGGTGTGTTGGCTTGTCTCGATGGTTACATGAACATAGCACTCGAACAAACGGAAGAATATGTTAACGGACAATTGAAAGACAAATATGGCGACGCCTTCATTCGTGGAAACAATGTTTTGTACATTAGCACGCAAAAGCGTAGAAATTAATCATGGCACAGTGCCGAATAAGGTTTCGGATTAAAATTAAATTTTTATTTAAGCATTTAAAATTTATTGCAGCGTATATTCCTAACAGCTATATCTTGGCTTACTTCTACGATAATTCTATGTCAGCAATTCTTGCAAGGTAAACGTCCCGGTAATTGAACGTATATGTTCTAACGGTTAAAGTATTATTAATGCATTTTTCTTTATTAAGATGCTTTTCAATTTATGGAATAATACGATAAATGAAAAGAAATTAGTTCGATTAGTTTGTAATTTTGTTTTTCATTTATCGATAAGCATCTTGATAAACCATACATATATTGTCGATGTTTCATCATTGGAACATGTTCGATCACTGGGACGTTTGTATTACGTGTATCTATGTTAATAAATATTTCTTAGTGATATCAATAACAAAAACTTTATTACGTATTTTATCATATTCAAAGTGCAGTCTGTTATTACTGACTCCTCATTCAATATTTATTTCCGACTTGTCGGCGCGAGTTACTTTATTTATATTATCAACGGATTCCGGTTGTATATCATCTACCTGAGATACATCCATCCCATGATTAACTGTAAGATTACTGTTTTCACTTAGAGCTTCTGCATTCGTGCTTTCGGCCAATTTCTTCTTCTTAATTTCGTCCCGTTCATTTTGCCTCTGAAGTCTTCTCTGGACAGCTAGTTGCTTGTTCCGTTCAATCTTCTCCTTCATCTCATCGCTCAGTTCATTCCCGGTAGCGCTTGTACTTTGCACCTGTGGGCTCGATATGTTGTCGGACTGCATCAGAAGTTCATTGAACGCGTCTTCCGACGCAGCCGATGCAGCAACTTGCGTTTTAGTTTGTTTCTGCTTCTGAATTTGTTCTGTTATCAATAAATCAAAGTCATCCAGGGGCGCGCTTTCCCGTTGGTCTTCCTCATCGTCCATATTATCGTGGACGATTAAATCATCATCCGCAGTGATCATGTCCAGCCGATACTTCTTTATGTACACTTGCAGATCCTTCTTCGCGCCAAGTTGTTCGACCCTCGTGAGAAAATCGTCAAAGTGATACTTGGGAAATAATCGATGAGACCAGTGTTCCAATCTTTTCATAATTCTGTCGAGGTCCAGTTTTTCATGCCCCTTGCCGTAAAACTTGAAACCTTCGAAATACTTCTCAATGGTTCCAATGCCATTGGGACCCTTCAATCTTTCTGTATTAAGTTTAGGCAATGGATTCCTTACTGTGTGTGCTTTAGATGTTGACGGATCAATCTTTCGTTTAGTTCCTGCTTCGTTATCCTTATCATTGTCAGAAGTCGCTTCCTCCGCTTCACTGAAGCTACCTCGTTCATCATTGGCTTCTTGGTCTTCATAATGAGCAATGATGTCTTCATCACCATCGTAATCGGAAGTATTGGCCATGATGGTACAAGATATTTTTGATTAAATGTAAACCACGTATGCAGGGTCCTAAAAAAAAACACAAAAAAGTTATAAACTTTCTGTGTTAAAGAATTATCGAAAAAATTCCACATTTGTGTCCCTTTCTCATGTATATTGGAAATCTCCGTGTGAAACTGACGAGTATTTTTACAGATTATTTTAAATATAAAATAACGGTGAATATCTGAATAATTAGTTCCAGTATATTCCCGAATTATGTTCACAGGTCACACGGATGATCCGAGTTTAGATTAAACTCACTCAATTCATGGACGCCGGTCGGCCTAGAAATCGCTATCGTCGTGCGACTCGCAATTCCCCTTTTCCTCCATAAACTTATCGAACTGCCCGTCTGATTTTTTCATTCGCTCTAAAACCGACACAAGTAGCTTCTTGTTCAAACGATCCGTCTGCGTTATCTCTCTCACGACGAATTCACATTTGGGTTCGTCCGGCGACCGTTCGCTCTGCAATTTGCCTAACATGTTGTTGTCCTGCTCGATCGGAGTCCCAGGCATTTCCTCCCGTCGTTGCGTATTATTACGCACAAGGGGATAATATTCGACGATATTCGCGCGTAAATCCAAGTATATAAGGTGCACGATCGCGTTTAGTCGCGTTCGAGGAGTGTGATTGCGATATAAAATATCAAAATACCGAAGTTGCGTTCTCTTTGGGCGTTCACGCACTGTAAAACCCGCATCAGGCTAGGATTAGAGATTGGACTGAAATTTGACCAATCAGAGCGTAATTCACCAGTAACAAGTTTAGTTTACTTCGCTGTGATTGATCGAGTTTCATCAATCCAACCTCAATCCTAATCCATACCCTGATACAAGACTAAACCCCGTATAACTATGGATTTGGGACTGGAATTAAGATTGAATTTGGTCAATCAGTACAAACTGAATTCAGGTTTAATGAAATTTAGTGAACTTTGCACTAATTGGTCAAATTTCAATTCAATCTCAATCTCCAATCCGTAGTCTGATATAGGCTTAATACTCGTGTCACACTACAGATTAGGATTGAGATTGGACTAAAATTTGGCGAATCAGAGCAAGATTCACTTAACTTGAGTTTAGTGAGCCTTGTGTTATAATCGCACGTGATTTCACTTCTCTTAAGCTCGTATCAGACTATGGACTGAAGATTGAGATTGAATTGAAATTTAACCGATCAGTCTAGAATTCACTAAATTTCACCAAACCTGAATTTAGTTAACTTTACACTGATTGGCCAAATGTTATATATTAGTATAACTAAATTCAAATCAATCTCAATTCCCAATCCGTAGTCTGATACGGGCTTTACGCGTTACCGAGACACCGTCAAGAACGCTTCGAACGCGCTACAGAAATGCAAGCGTTGCCGAAACGCTGTCAAGAATGCCTCGAACGCTCTATGGAAATGCAAGCGCTGCAAAAAAGCGTTGCATATTCCATGCATATTCCATCATGCGAACTCAGGATGACACGTGCCCGTCCGACTGTTACCAAATTATCCCCTCTATGAAGGCAATTTGACTATCATAGGCATGTTCCCCAATTCATTTATACTACATGTACTACTGCATATATATCTCTGAGCGTGTTGCATAGGAAAAGGCACCTTTATGGTTACGAATTTTCATTTCTGTCGTTCCATTTAGTTCCACGTACTAGTAACTTATGACCTTACGATTATAAAACTTTTTCACGTAAAATGGACCTTAAACGCATATTAAAAGTATATTGGAAAAAAAGAGCATAAAAACCACTTTTCTGATTATTGCCTGAAGCAGCTAATAAATAATTCTCCATTACACTTTCTACACTTCGGTATCTCTCTCTCTCTCTCACACACACACACTTTTGCGACACGAATGACTACTTATCTCGCTTGAAGTGCAGTAAGTGTAATTGGAAGTAGCACCTGTTTCCTTTGTTTTCCTTAGCAACTTCCTCACTCAGCTTCTGGTAGTTAGTATTGCTCGGAACTGAATCTCGGGGGTTGACGGTGTCAGCTGGTTCGCGTTTCTTCAGTCGTGTATCAGTATTAATCAGTATTAAATGAAACAGTACAATAAAAATGTTCGATTAAATATTACGTTTTTAGGTATACATTGCGAAGTCGCGTATAAAATACGAGAAAGTTACGTATAAAACACATAAAACGTAGAGTAACGCGAATTACGGCACGTCGGAGCGTCAAGGAAGCGCTTTCCCATCGTAGCACACACGGAAACGTCATTCGCTTATACTTTCTATAGTTCGCGAAGTGCAGTATTATATAAATAATACGTCTCAATAATTTCGGCGCGGTAGGGGATCATTTTTTCGCGCGATATATGTATACATATTGACTTGATTTAGTAAAATGGTATATTGGCTACCGAGGAAACGTTTCTTGAAAAGGTATCTGTTCGTATTTCGTTTGCGAAAAAAGAAATGCATGTATGCATTGTTTCCCCATAATACGAATTCCTTGATGAACACTGACGTTTTTTATTCGGCAAAGTACAACGTTATTATTGTTGCACAAACGTCATCATGAAATTTTTATACTAATCAGCACTCCGTTATTTTTATATTTCAGATACTAATACTATTTCATCATTATTTAAAAAGTGTGTGTTATATATTAAAAGAAAAAAACAAATTATTTATTTTGCGTAAAGAGAGGTAATTGCAAAATTTTTTACCTAATGTATCGGTTGCAAGGTATACTGTAACAATGCATATATGTATATGATGTTTCTCATCAAATGATTAGTGATCTATTAAATTATAATATATTATGATATCAAAAGTATTATTTTACCTAAACAATCTTTTTATCCATTTTATGTGTGCTTGTTATATTCATATTCATACATATCATTATCATGATATTATGCTTTACAAAAATATTAGTATAATTTAAGTTTTATATATAAAAATTAAAGAAAGAGAGAAAAGATATATGTGTATTTTATGAATTATATATAAGTCTCTTTTTTTATTAAGATATTCATAGAGGAAAGATTATAATAAGACAAGAAATAGGGATCGCCATTTTATAAACATATCAATATTATTTTTAATCATTTCATTTATTATACATCATTTAACATGATTAACATGATGACAAAGATTTCTTACAACAAGTCGGTGGAATTAAGTTTGATCCGAGAAAGGATTTGCGACGAAAAGGTATTAACAACTGGTAACTACTAACAATCATGAAGTCAAGTTACCTACTATTAGCAGCAGTGCCATTCGCCATCCTTGATATTTGGTATACAGGAATGTAAGTTGCGTTTGTGTAATCATACTCCTGTGAATATTTGTGTACTTATTTTATATCATTGTGCATCAAATGTATGGCTTGCAAGCTTATTTAAGATAAAACGATATAAGATCAGTATTGTTTTGTTTCGTTGGATAGAATTTATGTAAGTCTCTTCTATGAATTCTTTAATAGAATTGTATTCTTATCATAATTATTCTACAGCTGACTTTTATGAATTAGAGATCAATAATAAAAGAATTTCGAATAATCGAATGTTACATAATGACATAGACAGTACTCGATAGAACATCTGATATTTTATTCATAACATTACAAATGCAAGCTTTATGTGTTTTGTCATAACTTGATTGTCATGTATAATATAAAAAAATAATTTTAAGAAAGAATAGGCACCCTTTGTGTTTTAAAACAAAGTTTGACAGTTGATTATTTCGAAGAGTTTATTTTTTCCAATCATGAATATGCGAAAGAGGATATTCGATAACTTTTTTTCAAACGTTACGTTTTGTTCATGAATTTATGCATGAACATTAGCATCTTTTGCACCTAAATTTTATTGGTATTAATTATTCATTGAAAAGTAGTGGGAAAAGGACTTTAGAACGCTACTGATGTCAGCAGATTTAAAAATAAAATAAGATAGGAGTGGGGTATATGAGTGTACAAGAAACAGAGAATTTAACACGGAATTTACGTACGTACTTTATGATGCAATATTAATTGTGATAAGGAAATAACTTAATTTATACAATATTCTATTTTGATGACACTATTCTTAAGTAACTTACATAGTTATACGAAGCAGATGTTTAACATAAAATAACATAGATAATCTATATTATTATAAAAGTTAATATAGTTTTGTTTTATGTTATAGTTATGATTTTGCTAAATTTATTAATTTAGACAGATTTATGTGTCTATATTAATTTAGGCAGTTTTATATGAGTAAATTAAGGTAAAGTGTAAATGAGTGTAAAATGTGAAACAATAATATAACAAACTGCAAGTTTTATTTAGTAAAAATAAATACAAGTGCATATATTTTAAAATAATATAGTATTTTTCATTCTTTATCTGTGGAAAAATATAATGCTGATAACAAGTATGTTATAAGCATCGAGATCAACATGTGACATTAAACTTGTGTTAAGTGTGTGCCCCTTATGAGTTATACGAATGATGTACAGAATATAAGTGTCTGCTATGAACATAGTAAGGTACAATATCATACAACATGTAATTTTTTTTGTATACAGTTTTGTGTGTGTGTGCGTGCGTGCTTGCTCGGTTTTCCAATACAATTCGAACATTTTTTTTTAACTTTTGCTAATAGTTCAATGAGAGTACTTCTAGAATTTAATCAAAAATAAGTTATCTCATTGAATGATTGACTGTATTTAGAACTTCACAAAAAAATGTTCAAATTGCTTTGAAACTAAGTGTGCAATGCTGCTTATATATAAATGTATTTTTAATACTAGTTTTATTTGGTCGTACCTTATTCGTCGTACCTTATATTCATTGTGCATAATTTTTTTCCAGTACGTATGTGAGTGTATATGTACATAGTATATATTTAGTAATCAAAGTGTCTGTTTTAATTTTGTATGCATTAGTTTTTTAAACAATTATAAGTTTGTTTTTTTCGCTGAACTAGTGTACATTTATCAAATTAAAAAAAAAGATAGATATACAGTTAAAACTTAATGAAAGAAAAAATAGAAAAGAACTATTACAGCCAGTCCAGAGAAAAGTACAGATTGTATATATTTGTTACATTCAGATTAATTTTTGTCACAGCTTGAGATTTTCTCTTATAAATTGTAATTATATTTTAATAATTGCTACTTTATTTCTTTCAGCTTATATATTTCGAAATTTTCTTAGTATACAATATCAAATGTTAATTTTTATACATGTTACTATTGTAATTCTACGAATAAATATACTAAAATTAACAGTTAGATAAAAGCTTTTACCAAATTAACAATCATCACTATACGCACATAAATANTTTAGCTGGGCTTCTACCCATAATTTTTCATTATTCCTATACCATTCAAAGGAAAATATTATTTTTAAATTTTGGTAAGTAATTTATCTTTGTATAACTAATTAAAAAGTAATAAACAGTGCCACAAAATTGTATTTTAATTGTTAATGTTATCTTAATCTTTTATAAATGAACTTTTAAGAACTTTTAAGAACATATATAAAAAATAGTAAACATTACATTTCTTGTTTTTACTTGTTAGCTTGTTTACATATTAATTATTATATATATATAAAATAAAAATAACTTAATCTATTTCAGTTCAATGGCCACTTAAAACGGACTTTACTGACCCAGGATCAGTTGGACTAGAAGGTGCTAGAAATTTTTATCTATATACAGATCAACAAGTAAAAATAGGTGTATGGTGAGTGATTACAAAATCTGTCGTATAACTTTTGAATTAACAAAATATTTTTCACTGTGAAAATTTACATGATTAAATATAATATTGTTAAGTTAATAAAAAGAAATACATATTGGCTAACAATATAGCTAATGGTAAGTTAGTAATTTATAATAGTAAAAATTAGTACATTACAGGCAAATATTACCACGGTCTTTATTAAATAATTCCATCCCTGCAACAGACGAAGCTTATGAAGAATTTCTAAGTGATGCCAAGCATCCTGTGTTCTTGTATATGCATGGGAACAGTGGTAATAGAGCGAGTTCACATAGAGTTGAACTTTATAAGCTTTTCCAAGATTTGGATTACCATGTCATATGTTTTGATTATAGAAGTAAGTGCCGAAAGCTTTCATTCACAAGTTTTCTTTTAACACGTTTGCCACCAGCGAGATCACATATGTGTAGCAGCGATTTTTATTCTCTTTGCCCACATTAAATAAATAAAATCTATTTGACAGTATTATATAAAGAAAAATAACATACAGGTTTGTGTATGACTGACGATTCTCTAAATAAACAGTAGTGGCAAACGTGTTAAAGGAAAGCAACTTGTGTATCTTAATACGCAGAGTTAAATTTTGCATTCAGATGTAAATTTTGAATTTCTTTTCTCGGTATACACAGGCTATGGCGATAGTGACGTAGTTGAACTATCCGAGACAGGCGTAGTTATGGATAGTAAATATATTCTTGAGTGGGTATTGAAGAAAGTTAATGGTACAGCGCCAGTTTTCGTTTGGGGTCATTCTTTAGGAACTGGGTGAGTCATTTTATAAAAGGAAAAAAATCTCTATCTGGTAAATTAACAATTAATCACGCATAAATTTGCTTTTGTCAACAGAGTGTCTACACATGTATTAGATCTGCTGACAGCTGAAAATATACAACCAACCGGGTTGTTTCTGGAAGCACCATTTAATAACATAGCTGATGAATTAACGGAACATCCATTTGCGCAGGTATTTTTAAGATTAGTATTTTTTTCTATAATATACGATTAATTTGCATTGATATAAATTGCGTTACTTGATATAAAGATACGTGTGTTTCTACTATTTCACATATTCATATATTTTATGTAGATATTCAAACATTTACCATGGTTTCACTGGGTGATTGTTGAGCCCTTTTACAAAAATAATCTGCGATTTGAATCTGACAAACATATCGCCAAAATTGAATGTCCTATTATGATATTGCACGCTGAAGATGATGGTGTGATTCCATTTTTTCTGGCAGAAAAGGTATGACTACGACATATTATTTGCAATTTCTCGATAACGTTAAAGATCGTTTCTGTTGTATGTATATATATTGTATGTATGTATATTGTATATGTTCAGCTTTATCAGGCGGCCATAAATAGTCACAAGAATGGTACAAGTCGAATTCATATGATAAAAATAGATTCATCTTATGGGCTTGGACATAAATATATCTGTAGATACGAGAAATTGCCTCAAATAATAAAGTAAGTTATTAATATATATTATTGGAATATATACGCACGCACATACACAATAAATTTATTTTCCTATGTTAAAATATAAAATCTTTATATTTAAATTAATATTGGAGAGTTTATATGTTGTATGTGTGTGTGTATGTGCGCGCGTGTGTGCGTGCGGTTAATGTTTATTATATTTTCAGGACATTTGTCGCTAAAACATATGGGAATTCAACAGGATAACTTAAAACAGCTACAGAAACTTAAATTTATATTATTGTCATGATAATAAGAAATAAGAATTGACACAAGAATATTCAGGCTTATAGTTGGCTAACAATTGATTTACATGTAAGAGAGATACATGTAATTTTTGAGATTGAAAAGATGGCATACAGTAAAAATACTTTCATTATTTATACACATATTTTTCGTTTATATTATATGTTAAATTTCTAAAATATAAACAATACTTTCATTAGAATATTTATGCACTGATTGTACTATATTTATGTGTAAAATTTATTTAAATATATTTTTATATATGTGGCACAGTATCACAGAACTAGTGTTTTATATATATGTACTATATTTTGTATATATATATTACACACACACACACATACATATATACATACATACATACATACATACATACATACACATATATATACATATATATATGTGATGCACTTTTCTATGGTATAATAACATATAAAAGTGTTATAACAAATGTTTCTTGTGAAATAAGTGGAAATGCCATGTGATAGGAAAGCCAATACTGTGATAACTATTTCAATGCCATGAATATTATTATATTTATTAATTTTATATGATTAGCTTGAAAAAGAAACAGTAATTTATATCAAATATTCAGCTTTTCTGAAGTCATATGGTACTACCACTATACTTTGCGTTATAAAGCAATGTTTATGACAATATACAATTTTAACCCTCTAATGACAAGGTGGATTTTCAATGTATTCAGGAAAGTAAAGTTGGATTTGACCCTATTTTCTATTTTGTTCATTTTCCATGTAATCAATGTACAAAATGGATAAAAGAAATAAATAATAACACGAAATATTCTTCAAGAAGAGAAACAGCATGTGTACGCTGCAAAAAAAAAAATAAATGAAGCTGTGGGGTCAATCTGATCTCACCTTTACCGTTAGAAGGTTAAGTGTAACAAAAAGTAAATTGCTGATACCTATGTCTGCTGTTACACTGGTATTTTGAATATTATTCACACATATGAATGAAATAAATAAACTCGGAAAATGCAGTAAATATGCATGTATGTACACATAATATCTATTATTTATTCTCTACTTAGAATTTAACATATATTATTCACAAAGACTAAACAATTATTTTCTGGATAACAACCCGGGAAAAAATGATTATATATAATTATATTAAATCATACATGAATTTTGCCCATATATGTGGTTACATGTATGATCATATATGTCTATACGAAAAAAATGATGTTATGTCACTTAATTAAATGTCCATATCATGTGCTGTCAGAAGCGCAAGTAGCCAGAAGCATTTATTTCGATTGCATTTGCATATAATTTATAAACAACAGTATGTTTTCGTTATGCACATATACGATTATATAGTCATATATTATCTTGGTTCTTATTTTTAACCGTATAACTGATAAAACCATTTTAGTTTAAGATCTGTTCATTTATAAGCGCGCATTACGCATGAATACGTCGATTATCTTCCACCACTGTCGAGCCGGTGAATTGACAACGCTCAATCCTTTCACGAGTCGGAGGAGCTGAAAGAGTAGTTTCGACAAATCTTATATTCTTGCAGAAGAGACCGACGGCAAAGCGATTTTGGATCTTTGATTTTTTCAAAACTGAAGGTGCGCTCCGCTCACTTCGCTGAAACGATCTTCGGATTCCTCAATGTTCGCGTTTCGTTCGCGCAAAAGGAAAAAGAGAAGGAAAAGGGAACGATCGTCTGTTTAAACTGTACTTTATTACATTCTGTTAGAAATAATACACAAAAGATTTCGGAGGCGGCAGAGGTCTCCTTACTGCGGAAACACGCAGGACGTATGGGTGTCGCCCGTTCGTAAGTGAAAGCCCCCCGCGAAAATTGGCAAACCGTCGCCCGCAACCCCCCGTACATATGTGTGTGTAAATATTTTTATACGTGTGTGTGTGTCCGTGTGTATTTCATGCGTTGTACACGTGTGTACGTGTGTATCTGTGTGTCGTGCGTTCTGTCCTCTCTAAGTTCAAACCACCCAGCGACCGCGCGCGCACGCCAGCACGTTGCATCTAATTAAGAGAATATACAATCTTAATATATAATTATACTTATATTATATTTATATATATATATATATAATATATGTATATCGAAAGTCTGCGAGGGACCATAAATAATCGCGCGGGTCGGCGGCGTGGAAGGGTCGCAGGATCGGTTGGCGAGTTGGTTACCAGTCCGACGAGTTGTAAAATGAAAAAATGCCTGCATAAATGCGCCATTTAAACGGATATGTAGCGCGTAGGGCGACCTGAGCGCTCTTTTATCTCTATGTTTTTATTGTTTTTCTCCTTTTTTTTTTCTTTTTGTTACTTTTAGGTGCCAGTCGCATGGACGACAAGTCTCGCCGTCCTTTCGCCCTTCCCCTTGCCCTCGGACAGCGCGAACTGAGGACACACAGACAAAGACGTCCGGAAGGACTCCCCGGGATCGATCGGTCGATCGAACCCCGAGATTTCGCGCCCTTACGGGTCTTGGCTCGAGTCGCTCTTCCTCGGAGCGTCTCTTGGGACCTCGTTTCGCTCAGCGGGGATCCGGGAAGTGCTCGAGGACGAGAGCGTGAGCGGGAATTTGACGTGAGCCTCGTAGTTTCTTCACCCGGAACGCGTAACGCTCGTCGTTGTGTTTCACCGCGAAACAACCGATGATTCGTGACGTGGGGACGAGAGGGATCCCGCGAGAACGTCGCGAGCGAGCCGGCTTACTCGTGTCAACGTGTTCGCTGCTACCTCGACTGTTGCGCGTTCGAGATACCAGCACAATAAATCACCGAACGACTCGGCCCGAGATCTCTCGCTCGTTTGAGATACCCGGAGAAGTATCTCGAACCCAGGACGCTCGCGAAACGTTCTCCCCGGCTCCTCCGCGAAACCCGCCGAGGAATCGCTTTGGAAAGTCCTGTGATTTCTTTTCCCGTGTTTTCGTTGACATCGTTCAGCGCGGAGCTGAGCGAGAAACTCTTCGTCCGCGGTATTTATCGCGGCAGATTCGACGATCGAGTCAAAATTGCGTCACGCGCGAAACACGGATCCCTTCCTTTCTCTCTTTCTCTCTCTCTCTCAGAATTTATCAGACTTCATATTCTCCTCATTCTTCCCCGTATATCGAATGAGAGAGAGAGAGAGAGAGAGAGGAGGGCGAGAAGAGCCTCAGACACGAAAGGGAAATCGGTGTTTGGCATGTCAGTGCTCCGTTACTTCGAGATCGCGGACAGCGCAGAAATCCAAGGATCGTCCGGGAGATCGGCGTCCTTTCGACATCTCCGAGACGTCGCTCGGACGTTCCTGGCGGCCGCGTTAATTTTACACATCAGCCTTTCCCTCCGTCTTCTCTAGATCGTCGACCCTCTTTCGCTATCGCATGCCGTGCATCCTCGCACTCGTGGATCTCACGTAAGCGACAATTGCTCTCGGTATTTCGCTAATGTTAATTCAGCCCAATCCTAATACGATACTTCTCGATCGCCCAAGGTGCTTTCGAATCGCATGGGCCTCCCCTCCTTCGGTCGTGCCGTGTGCTATTTAATTATTCAGTGTTATTGAGGCCTGAGCAGAATGGCTGACTTATCGGTTCAGGAAAATGTTTATTTAATAGTTACGCTTTAAGTCTTCGTCTTATGTAGCGCGTAGTAGCGCGATCGTCTCGCGTCTCTGGAGATTTTAACTAAAGAGTCGATCTCGTTTGCGATTGATAATAAACAGAGATATATAATAAAGAAGGGAAAGTAAAAATGATAATTTAGACGAAGATTCAGGGCATGAAACATCATTTTGAAATTACAAGCCAGAGTCTTAGCAGAACGACTGATCGGTTTAATACAATGTTTCATGCCTCAAGTCTTAAACTAAAAAGCCGTTCTGCTTGTAATTGATGACAAACCGTTGTATGATAAAGAAAAAGTAAATAAATGATTCGAGATAAAGATTGAGGGCGTAAAACATTGTCTTAAAATCGTAAATCGACAATTCTACTGAGGGCCCTCGCCGTCAATTAATGAAACGCGTCTCTCCTCAATGACATCTCGTACGTCTCGATGATCGTTCTGCGCGTTATCGTTCGTCTCATACTTTCTAATCGAGTCTCGTGTGTGCAGCTGCTGCGGCATCGGTTGAATTAATTTGCGGAATGACGGATTTCCACAGAGTGATCGCTCGGGCAAATATCAAGGCGAAGGAAGGCTAAGCAAGCAACGACATGCAGCAACGAAAACGCAAAAAAAAGACCGGACACCATCACAGGTTACGCGCGACACAAATATCTCTTGCACGTCTGTCGCAATTAAAGGCCTTTACGCGTGAAAAGGTTTCAGTTGCAACCGTAAGGCAACCGTGGTCATCAAATCTGACGTCCGTTCTCAGCAATTCTTAGTACTGTCATCACGTGTGGGATGTGGAACCCGCTTTCTAGTAATTTCTGATTTATCAACGACATGAAACTGCCTTCTTATTGATTGATCATTAGGCGTTAATCGTAAAATTCGAACGTGGCGGAAATTTTATGACGGTCTTTTATGACCGTACGATTACGAATTTTCACTTTGCGTTGCTCCATTTGATCGTACGCGAATTGAAAACTTACGGTCTCACGGTTACGATCAAAACTTTTGTACGTGCAATGGCCTTAACAGTGGTGCAACAGTGCGAACTAGGGTTCAGATTATTATCGCGTTTACATTGACCGTACACACCGCACCGGTGAACCTCCTTCAACTCTTTCGCTGTGACGCGATCCGATTCGCGTCGAGACACAACTTCGGGATTTATTAAGTCATTTGGTACGGGCCAGGTTCGTACACGTGTCACGTTTCCTGTCACCTTTTCTCGCTTTCCAGAGCGATATACGTATTTGGTTTCGTGTGAAGGAAGCGTAGAAACTGAGCGTGAACACGGGACAAACCTGTTTGCATACATCCAGCAATTGGGTGATGCAATTCGCAGGAATTTTAAATGTACATTTAACTATAAATCGTACGTATCTCTCTTTCTCTCGCTCTCACGCATATCAGTCCATCCGATTGGAATCCAATCATCGGTGTATCTCCTTTCCTATGATAGGAAAAGTCCCGTCTTAGAACGCACCGAAAAAAAAAAAAAGAGAGGACAAAATATTGTCGGCGAAAACATATTTCGTCAAAGTTGACGCTGCCTGATTGGATTTTCCCTAAATAGAGAAGCGTCCTGAAAACGTTACACACGATACAAGTTCGTCTTCTCGAGAAAAAGAGAAAGGACTCTATCTTACTGCGCACAATTTCTCTCCTTCGCTCGTGAAGCTCTTAAAAGTATGCGGGCGCGCGTTTCGAGATAAAGCACTCCTGCATACGCACACACACACACACACACGCACGCATGCACACACGCGTCGCAGCGAAAGGGGCGAGTGGATAAATGTGATAATTCCGCAACGGACAGACATCTCAGTTAGTATTAAAAAAGTACCGCCNCGCGATCGTTCCCCCCCCCCCCCCCGATCGGCGCTCGTTATCTAAAACATCTCTACGATGCCACGTATAAAAAGATGTGTTTACACAAATGTAAAAAACGTACAGCGCGAATGGCCGGCGAATAAAAAGGGTGCAATATGCATTGAGAAACGTATGTTTTTCTGGTATTCGACTTTGGTAAGGATCACGCCTGAAAACAGACTGGCCCGATGACGGTCGGCGCACGGCAAAATCGTATAGATTAACCCTGACAGTAACACATCAAGCCTCTTCTTTCGCTTCTTGCCTCTCTTTTGTACAAGATGTTAACCGGGAACAAAATTTTCGATATATATATAAAATTATATAGTATATATAATAAGTATAACTATATATAATTTTATATTATTATATATAATGATAAGGTGTGTCATATATAGAATGTGTGCATATATAAAAATATATAATTTTGTGTATGCATGTGTGTGCGTGGGTGAAGTGATAGTGTATATGATTGAAGTGATAGTGTGATGATAGTTGTATATGATTATATATATATGTGTGTAATTATATATTCATATATACATGGACATATTCTATATATAATTATATATAAGAAATTTTTTCCCTCGCGGGTATAGTTCATTCCTATTCTTCTATTACTTCTTCTATTAAGAAAAAAAGTTGAGTTTATATGACCTATTATTGGTTCGATCGAATAAGATAACTGGTTTCCTAGATATAACCAGTCTACAAAGACAAAATATGCATTTAAATAAGAATTGTTAATAAACTTAATAACTCATAAAAGACGAAAAAAAAAGTGTTTTCGCAATTTTTCTTGTGAAGAGGCCTGAGAGACCTACTTCACGATGTTATTTCAGCGCCTAAATCGCGAATGTTACTCTCAGGGTTAAACACCGGGTGTAACTTGAGACCCGGTTTTTCGACAACCATGGCGAGCTCTTCAGCTCGGACGCCGACTCTCTCTCTCTATCTCTTTCTCGCGAGCAATGCTGTACGGTAAATCCTATTCGTTCCTTAGGTGGTAACTAACTAAATAGCTTCATAGGTGATATATCAGCGGCTCGGGAAGTCGCGCTGATGCACAAAGTACACGTGTGCTCGACGAAACGAGGTAAAACGAAATCCCAGCGCACGTTTTTACTCTCCCCTCCTTTCCTCCCTTCCTTAAAACATTGTCAACGCAATGACCACGAAGACAGACAGCACAAATTTCTAAAAGATGTCTTAACGTCTACCATCCAAAGGACGTCCTATATATTTCTTAGACGTCTCTCAGACGCCTTTCGGAAAATTATGCCGTCCGGAGAGGTAGAAAAGAAAATCTCATTAGGAATAAAAAGAAAGAAAAAGCCCATTATCCCTTGCTGAGGGATAAAACGCAACGACGGTAATGCACTCGATGCACCAGCGCGCGCGGTCGTGTGCCCTAACGCGAGGCGGGATCCGCTCGAGGGTTTAAAGCGAAGCGAAAACGCATTGGCGCAAATACATTGACCGTCTGTCGAGGTAGTTACAAGTGACCATGTCCCTCTTACGCACGTCCATTACACGTCAAAGGCAAATGAGAATCGCGGAGAGCGCGTCGAAGTCGGCGGAAACGCTCGGCGCGACGGGCTGGTAACGAGACGCGTGAAAGTGACGACGAGGACGACGGCGTGTGTTGTTGCCGACGTTAATCTTGGCGCGTTTGACGGATGCATCGTCTAACGCATCATCATCATCATCATCATCGTCGTTATCATTGATCTGCACTGGCATTCGCCCCGAGAAGCATTCCCACAGCGTCCCATTAAAAATGAACGAAGCTATTAATCTCCTCTCGTTTATTCATAATTTTACTGACTAGAGCGTCATTCGCGCTAAATACATAAAATATTACCTTTAGAACTAGAACTAAAGAGACATCGATGATAGAGAAATCTTTTTTTGTCCGTTTTTCGTTTTTCGTTTTTCTCTGCTACACACGAGTTTACGAGACTGTTAACTGCGTAAGATCCCAAGAACGACGACGACGCTACTTCCGATTTCGCGTGTGATCCGCATGCAGATTCTCTCTCTCTCTCTCTCTCTTTTGCTTGCTTGCTTTTCTCTTCATCTCTTACGACGAGTTTGCTTTTACAGCAAGCTGTGGTGCACGAGCGATACAACAGTCCACGCATTTGCCTTTGAGCCTTTTGATTTCTGTCCGACGACCCTCGTACTCTTGAAAACAAATGTGACATCGCAAACGGCTACCTCCGCCGACATATGCAACGTACTAATAGCGAATTGAATTTTTCTTCGGTTTTTTCACCCGTGTTGGGATCACATACACGCGTGCAGACATACGCACACACACACACACACACACATGCACACACCATGCACACGCTGTAAAGATTGTGCACGATCCCCGTTCTCTCCTTTCTTTTCTCGTGTCGCGTACAACCGGGATCGGAATCAGTACGATATCGGCGCGAACTCGGTCTCTCCGATGTCAGGGTGGTCATGCGTGTAACCGAAAAAAGTACCGAAATTCAGAAAGTAGAGCAATATCCCGAAAAGTTAATTCCGAAAACCGAATAACAAGACAATCTCCCGAAATAATGGCAGAAAATGAAGTTGTCTCGCAAAGTTATAAGTGAACGTTCCAAGTGACAAAGTCATTTTACTATGAAAATTAATCAATAAATTAGTAATATATGTGTTAAGCAAAGTACATAAAATTTATTTCGTTCAAAGCTCAAGTGTGAATATTTGTGGTTCTAATTGTATTTTTTTTTTTTTAATTTATGATAAGATTTCGATTAATTTACAATATTTCCTTAAAAGTGACTTGGAAATACCATTTAGTGATACGTAATCTTCATTTTGTCCGAATTTGTTATTCTTAATCTTTCCTCGACTTTGACAGTACGATTTTAATCGCTTTTTTAAAGAAAAACTATCCTACTATTCAATTTTCGGGATCGTAATGTTTCGGAATGTTGTCCCAGTTCTCAAATTTTGGGATTTTAATTCTTCAGGGTTACGCATATCCACCGAAGTTACGTAACACGGTGAAGAAGATAAATTTCCGTCAATTGCCGTGTTATCGTTTTCGTAAACTAGCACGTGAGGCGACCCACGTGTTTCTGTACCTGTCGGAGATCCGAGTGAGATATCATACCGCTTTCAATAGCTGACTGCGTACGCGAGAAAATGACATCCCGTCGCAATCACTACCGCCTTTTGCGTATTTCTTCTCGTTCTTTTTTTACGGCGACATCGAGCGCTATCTCATTTGATGACGAAAACAATACTCCGACCTTAGGAATTATCATTAATTAGAACAATATGCCCAGTCACATCTCGTGTCTTCCTTATCTCTACCACGCATAAGATAAATGACACTAGTATCATGACACTTCCAGTTTGAGACCGGTCTCTCTCTCTCTCTCTCTCTCTCTCTCTCTCTCTCTCTCTCTCTCTCTCTCTTGTTCATTTTCTCTCCCTCTCTTTCTCTCAGATAAGTAGTTAAAAAAGAAAAGAAACCAAGTATCATACATGATATTATACGCTTATTCAGTGAGATACAATTAAATATTAAATAATTATAGACTACATTTCTCGTGTTATAACAAAAATGAACTTAGCATACAGTCTGTGTACAAAAACCAGGATTTACAATAGCGTTTTTTTTTTCTCTAAATCTCAATGTATAATAGGAATATAATAATTTTTTTATCACATATAAAAAGCGGTTGTATATGTACATATCTGAGTAAGATTAGGTACCATTATTATTAAACTGATAGAAGCTATTATATAATTTGGTACACTGTGTTTAACTTCGGTTATTCGATAAATACGAACAATAATAATCAATATGTCGATTTTTTTTCCTGGTGTCTTGACATAGTCGTTGGTTTTTCGCACGAAATCCTATGTATACACACACGGCTCGCCGCTTATTTCCACGTTACATGTGACCTTATTTCTCTTTTTTTTTCTTCTTTTATAAGATTACTTTTATATAATATATATCTATATAACACACGTTATTTAAATAAGTCAGAGCTATGGCCAGTTCATAAATTCGAGAGTCGTTGGTCGCATAGTCACGTCCTCTCGTAGAATGCCCGCCCGTTACGTCGTTTATTACGCCGGGGGACGATTATTCAGGAAACAACATCCGCGTCTCTACAGTTTCGATCGCGTATAATAATCGATGGATGATCACGAACCGTTTGCACAATTCTTTTCTTCTTCTTCTTTTTCCTTTTGCGAAAAGACCACAGCTCTATCAACGATGTGGATCGTGTATTGTACAACGATATAAACTAGTATTTGTTTGCTCTGTATTCTCCTCGCGTCACTATATCTCGTCACGCTTGCTTCAATTCCTTTTCTTCGTAAAAATTTGGACTCCGGATGGGGCCAGTGTCACTTCTTCTTTTGTTTTTTCCTTTGTTTTATTTTTCTTTTTCGGTTTCGATTACGCGATATTTGCCCATAACCGAGTAAACGGCAACTCGATGTCGTGCTTTAACGTGTTTTAACGTGGTCATGATGAAATTAGAGTGATGCCCGCCGCAACCTCGTTTCGGGCTCCGAAATACGCTCCGACGGTCGATCTCTCGTCGACGATATATTTCTCTTATCGAATATCGCGCGTTTCCTGTCCAATCTTCCAGCTTCCTCCCTTCCTTCCCCGTTTGTTTCCTTTCTTTTCCCCCATAGTCAACTCAACAAGCGAAATATAAGCAATCAAATTTGAAGCAACAACTTGATTCTTAAATATCTACCTAAAAGTACAATGGAGTCGCACAATGTCGAAGGCACAACTCTTTCAAATCGGTCGAACTGAAAGAAAGCACAATAGGAGGCATCATTGGCATATGTTGAGATTTATTAGCAGCACGGCAGGCCGCCGATAAGTGTCTTTCTTCCAGAATGCTCGAGATTATTAAGTACAAGAAAGATTCTTCTTTTTTTTATTGTTGTTAAAAGACTAAATAGCAAAAGCTATGTATAGCTATGTATATAAGCATAGCTACAATATTTATATATGTTAGAGCATAGCTTCGATAACTGTGCTTTCTCTGAATGAGATGAGAACGTATTAGCCCACTCTCTTTTTCTCTCTCTCTCTCTCTCTCTCTCGCTCGCTCGCTCGCTCTCTCTCTCTCTCTCTCTCTCTTTCTTTCCTTCCTTTTTTTTTACTTTTTTTCCCTCTCAGTGTCGTATCTCTCGATCATTAGAAAGTTCCATTTTAACTTCTTCTTCTTCTTTTTTTTTATTAGTAACAAATTTACATAGGCATACGGAAAATTATGATTTATACTTTTGTCTTCTAGTCGGCAGAGAACGGGATTCCGTAACACTACTCACTATACATTTATACAATCTTATGGTACTCCTAAGCTTTGAATTCACATGCATGTAATCGAGGCAAATGAAAATAAACTTTCAGCTATATTACTTTTATTAGCTTTATCGATCACTCGATGGCGAGAACGTGTTCCTCTTCGAATTGTCATTTCTTTAGAATTGGAAGCCAAACAGCCGTCGGGGTAAAAGGAACAGAATAAATGACGGTAGATGGAGATTATATAAGGAGAGAAAAGAAACATCGAGTCGAGAATCGATTGCCTCAACCAGCATGCGTTAAATTCAGTTCTCAGTCGGAATCGTCTCTCCCATTTCCGTTTCCTCTCATTGCAATTCGAACATTCATAGCGCGTCATATTATGAAAGTAACTAACCACAGTGAAACTAAGAGATTAGCATGAGTTCGTTAAAGACCGATCGCTAAAAAAAAGAAAAAAAAAGAAACAAACCCTCACTTGTTATATCTGTACATGTGCTGCTACCGCCCGGCACCAAGCTGCTGGCGCAGTAATATCTAAGTATTCCGAAATCGTTTCACTGAGGCAGCAACTTGGCAGAACGTCAGTATTCAGCGTTCATTATGGATCCTGGCTGGTACTTTGTGACGACTCACAGTTTTGCGGGCTATGCAGCTGATGTGCTAAGTGGGGCGTGTGAACTGGGGAAGGGCCCGGCTGAGGCTGCTGTTCTTCTTGCATTTGTTGGATTACGCTAAAGTCAGGGTAACTGCAAAGAGCGACCGAACGGATTAACAGTCGTCCGACACACCACCAGCCTTGCTTCTATCCAGTCGAGAGTTTATGATGAAATGAAAATTCAACGTTCCAAATATTTGCGCATGTAAATTCTAAATTGGAACGTTTTTATAAAGAACTTAAAAATACTTTACGGCTGTCAATTTATAGTAGAAATATTATAAATTGTTTCGGTGTTTAAAAAATATCTTTAAAATATATTATGTAAATTCTAAATTAGAACTTCCTTTGTGAAGAACTTAGAGATAATTATTTTCGTTATTAAACTAGAAACATATAATTGATTTGGTGTTTTAAAAAAATAGTTTCCAAAATAATATCTTCAAAATATATTTTTTCACCATCGACACTTACTCCATAGATGCCCATCCTAAGCTTCTGTTGTTTCGCTTCTTGGTTCGGAATCGCTCAGATGCTTGAAGCTTCGATGGGTTGATAAATTGATACTTCGAGATTACTTGAGACGTATGTTGACATTTCTCGGCTTCTTCCGCGCACTCCTCGCTCGTCTCCTCGACTTCCGGCTCCTCGTCCGGACACAATTCGCACGCCCGTTCTAACGTTTTCCTCGCACTGTTGCTACGCTCGAGGACGTAGCCATTTGCGGAATCGTTAGACTGTGCCGTCGGAGACCAATTGTTGTACGCGTGTGTGTAGGGCGCCGTAGAAGCATATGGTCTCTGAAAATGATTGGTCAGAAATATTCGCCGTCGACGTTACAGAAATATCGCATGAATCAGTTTTCTTCATTTCCGTCACGTACTTTGTCGAGTTCGTCGTGAAGCCAATCTATGGCTTGGCTCCATTTCCTCTTTAGGTCCGGGCTGTGGTGCAATAGCTGATGCGCAGGTCTGCACTTGCTGAAGAGCTGCACCATACACTTGATACACTGGTAAGCCCTCTTCTGATAGTGATTTTTACTTCGCGTTATCGTATCGAACAAACCTTCCCGATCCTCCGGGAGTCCTGAAGAACGCACGACTTTGTATATTCCAGCGTTTTAACATACCAAGGTCGATATTGATATTTTGGTTCTGATATTAGCATCACTAATAATATCGATATCCTCAATTAAATACTCGTTTCAATATTAGTACCGACACTTTTATAGTATCACAACACGCTTAGTCACACACCGCCAGAGACTCACCCTTGAGCGCGTTGTGGACACGGTGCGTCTGCCACGAGTCTTCCATCAGTAATATCGCCAGCAGCAGATCCGTGTGATGTCTCAGCTCGTGGGTATAAGCGAATCCTATTTGCCACAACAACTCGTAAAGCACCGTCCGTGACAAATGGGGATTCTCCCAGCAACAGTATTGCAGCAGCTTGACCGAGTCTTCGGTCACGTTCGCGTCTTCGATCACTTTCTTGATGTAACTGGCGGACGAGAGAGAATCGTGAAAACCCCCTCTCGTCTCGTATCAGTAATCGACCGTTCGAAGTGAATTCTCTCTCTTACCTGGTGCGAATGAACAGTATGTCAGCTGCTTGCGGCTGGATGGGCATAAGGTACTCCGACTGACACGCGGGATCCCCGTACGGATTTGGTAAGGGTTCCGCGCGCGACTGCGTGTGGCTCGAGTGCGTCTTCGACGACACGTCGCAACATCGTATCAGCATACTGACCACCTGATGCAACTTCGTCAATTCGGGATACTGATACTTGATGGTAGGACCCGGCCCCTCGTCGATCGCGACCAACATGAATGTCACGGGTACATTCAGCTGCAATGAAAGGAACGTACGACAAAATTAGACGCCTGTCCGATCCTGCTTCTGGCGCGATACGTTACGACGGCGATGTTATTGTCGTGATATTTAAGGTAACTGGACTGTAAATTTATTTTCTTAGGAATCCTTTTTCAAATTTTAACAGAACATCAATCGAAACACAATCAAACTGTAAGGATTTGACGTTATATTTCCTTTTGTGCTTCTTGGTTAAGTATCTTTTTAAAAAATGGTTAAATAAGTATCTATAAGTATCTATAATCTAAGATCTAAAAAGTATAGTCTATCTGAAAATCTATAAGTATCTATAATATATAATCTAAAAAGTATCTATAATAATTATAGACACTTGAAGTATCTCCAATCGCTACATAAAAATGTGAAAAATACAGAAGAATACGGAAAACAACTTTTCCAATTGACGTATCAACTACCTTAACACACGGACCATCTCTCTTTTTACCTTAAGCAATTGCGCCTTCTCGGCGAGACCAAGCGAAGCGTATGCATGAAATAGGGAGAAGTAGTTTGGTAGGTGACGCCCGTGATCCGAGATTTCACGGTGGAGTAACGAGAGCACCGCATGTAACAGGTGATCGCTGAGCGTCGCCACCGGATCCAGGAGTATGGCTGAAAATATCGACACTATTGTTATGCGGTGTATCATGAATGTTCGTGCCGTGCGCACTGAAATATATCCATACTGGAAGAGACATTGGGTCTAGAAAAGTGAAACTGACAGAGAAATCGACTTCAGGACATCTTCTCTTTGTCATATGCGTCGCTCTCTTAAAAAAAAAGTTTTAAACATGACTAAGAGATAGATTGCTCTAAATATCTTTTTTTCTCAGTCCTAGTTTTTCATTTTCTTGTTAACTTGTGGTTTCACCTCAACCTCATGATAACATAAAAATTCTCTTCTTCTAATCAAGGTTAATCGTTGAGTTTTAAAAGTTTACTACAAAAACATCAGTTTAAAGATTAACCATGAAAAATACAATTTTTGCATTATCATCAGTTTAAGTTTAAACTACAAGATAGCCAATGGATGGAAAACCGGGCTTCAGGTACGTTTTCCATCCATAAGTGTTATATAGCAATGCCTTTTCTAGTATATTTATATTTCAGTGGTCGTGTATTTCTGTGCTACGTTCCACTACTCACTCGGCGCATTTAGGCTGGGCGGCGCACATGGACCGTCCTGTAGAGAAGCGTGCGCGAGAAATACCAGAATTTTCAGGAAAGCCGTTCGTACTTCCGTACTGGGACAGCTGAGGAGGTACTCGCAAAATCTACGGACGACGTGGATTATTAGCTACCGAAACGCAGATATATTTCACAGAAAAAAAGATTTTTTGGGATTCGATAGAATTTCTTTAATTGAAACAAACTTGTTCTTTGGAGTAGAGCAAACAAATGTTTGATTCAACAAATAAGACTGTTTGGTTTCTCAATCAATAAATATCTTTACATCAAATAATATATTTTTTTTGTATTTTCATTCAAACATTGCATTGGTTGTCACGAGTAATAAATTATTTAAAAGAAGCAACGTTATAACAATATTAAAGAATTTCCTCGTTTCAGTGAGACAATATTTAATATATAATAAAAGCATATATTTTTTTTAATTGAAAACGAAATATTTCCTTTAAACTGTACTGTTTTATCTATCAGACAATATAGTTTATCTTAGTGAAACATTTACGTTCAAACAAAATGATATTTGACATTAAATTATTCTTTATATTAAACGATATCCAAGTCAAACAAACATATATACTAAATCCGAAGAAACCTTTTTCTTTGTTTACACACTGTGTACTCATACGAGAAGAAAGATCCGATACCTGTGAGGATGGTTAAATAGCACTTCATTGGCGAACCAAGAACGCACTGCTTTGCTGCTACGCAGATGGTGGCACACGATATCGTACCAATCCGTTGCCGTACCGCGTAACGTTTTCTTGGTATGAAAACCTGTGTAGAAAAGGAATCTCGACGCTAACTGAATCGACAGCATCGAAAGTTCCTCCATCTCGGGGTTCTAGAATGCGAGAATCACGTTTATTAAACGAGGACCCGTCCTTGCTTCTTGCGTGCGCCCTCACGGCAGAAACTTACGAGTTTCTCGTTCAGATTTTGTCTACCGATGTTATGCGGATTGCAGGACACCAGTTTCTTGATGAACTGAAAGTACTCCGCGCTAAATTGGTTTCGGTTGTGCATAAATTTTATATTCTGCTTTCGCACACTGTACTCTATCGCTGGTGGCATTTTCATAACTCCTAGTTTCGTATCTGAAAAAAAGAGTACGAGCAACGAGATGAGAGCAGAGCGGAGAACGATCGGCCGAGTCGAAATCTCGCGAGGCCTCTCTTCGATGTATACTTACACAATGACAATTCATTTACACTCTTCATTAGAGAATTCTCTTCTACATCTAGTCTTGTATAAAATAACATGTACGCATTCCACCATCGCTTCTGTTTACGATAGCTCATCCGCTTGAGCATATGATCAAACACCTCTCCTAGATAATCGCCGCCGAAGCATTGGGACTTCATTTCCTCCTCTTCCTCCATCTTACACTCCGTCACATCGCCGTCATCGAACTTGTACCATTTGGCGGTACCATCATTTTGCCTGTAACATTATCGATTAAGGTAGTTGTATCGTGGAGTGCCGGATTTTCAGTGGTGGCATTTTAAAAGACCTCTACATAAGTTTATTATTTACTTAAAAAAAATATCTCCCTATAACTTTACTCAACCATCTTTGTTCTATCTAAGTAACTATCTAAGTAATAAGTATTAATTTTTAGCACGAAATTAAGAAAAATATATATACGTGCTTGTTATCTTTTGATGCGAATATCTCAGCTCCCAAATGGTCAATCATTTTCTAATTGAATCAGTAATTACGTTAATTATGCCAGTAATCATTTTTTAAATCTATATATAGTGCAAGTTCAAACGAATTAAAAAAAAAAAATTATTTTATGCTATTATTATTCTTTTCGATCTGGAGGAATAATCCAATGTCAGTACAGGAAACTTCCAACAGTTATAAAATAAACGTTCTGCTGAGCGCGACCAATGTTTCAATCGATTAGAGTAAATTTGCTCCCGTGATTAAATCAGATGCAAGAAATCAAATTCGCGCTTCAGTTTCGAGTGAAAATATTCACTCGACGATTCCGATTGTGGGAAATTCACTCTGTACGAGCGGAAAGTCGCTCGAATACGAGTGATTCGGCTGTCACTCTATCTTTCGAGTGGAATTTCACCCCGAGAAATTTAGAGAGTGTCAATTATAAGTGTATATTTCACGTTTGAAGTACCTGTGCAGAATGTAGGAATAATAATGGCCACCGCTAGCCTGGCCACTGTGCACCACTATGCCAGTTAATTGATACTTCGTGCACGTTCCTTTTACTGACTCCTCGTAGTCGCAGTCTATGACTTCTCCCTCCAGTTTGGCTAAACCGGAGACAGTATACGGTTCCATGTCCAGATCTCGCGGGAACTCGAAATAATCGTTGAATTTGATAGCGCATACACGTTCGAAGTCATATTCAAACCTTTTCAATTGAATCGCTAAGATGGGTGGCAGTTTTTTCACGCACAACCTCTTCACTGTCACGACCTGAGTGTGTGTAAAATATAATATATAGATAAATAATTTGAGCAATCGCATACAAAATGTACAAGAGATCCATTCGCGACATTTGCTAGATAAAAGTCATTTCTATTAGGTTTCCTTTTATTTTCAGCACGATTTGGGCTTTGTAATACTACTTTCGAAGGATCAGTTGCACATACGCGAGGAGACGTACTACCTTCGAGTGATGACCGATTTGTCGCCTTTGTGTCATACCTTTTTGTTACATTTATCACAGTGATAGGCGTCTGCTCCTTCCAGCAGCTCTCCCTTTACGTATTGTTCAAGAGAATCCAATAAATTACTGTGGTTTCGTATATCCACGCTTATCACACTGAACGGCTCCTCTTTGGAATATCTGAAGATAATGTAATGTGGTATTACAGTCTACCGAAGAAAGCAGAATGTAAGAACTAAGAAGGTACCTATGAGGGCAACCTTTGCAGATTTTCTGGTCGCTATACGAGCCACCAAGAATCTTGCCCATTATTTGCTCGTGCCCCAAGGCTTTCAGCGCCTCGTCTAGGCTCTCCACTAGACTCATGAAGAATTCTACCGCGTCCTGCTGTTCTCTCAGGTTTACGGGCTCCCCTTGAAGTCTGTAACAATCGTGTCACTGAAAGGAGCTCTTCAACTCTTTAGCTCTTCACGACACCACTTTCTCATTAAATTTTCAGAAAACCAAATATAAAATATATAATAAAAAAAGGATAAGAAAATATACAATAAAAATAATAATAATAAATAACAATATATAACAAAAATGTAATAAAATACAAAGTTCACATTGGTAAAACTGAGTCGCTTAAAAGAAAACCTTAACTCCTAACCTTGTTCTCAACGGGTAAAATCAAACGACACTTATTCTTACTTGAAATGTTTCCACAGTCCTCTCGGTATATAATATTGCAGTTTACTGTAAGCCAGATGACCGAATATCGCTTGAACCTGCTTCAGGATGCCGATGTTATACTCCTTCCTGGACTCGTCAGCGCCGCATTTCTCTTCGTTCGTGTCGTTGTCGTTCGTCTCGATCGTCTGCTCACCCTCGATCCTCTCCTCGCCCGAGAAGTCCTCGTTCAGGTCGGTCGCAGCGCCCTCCGCCGACAGGAGCCCGACCCTGATGCTCTCCACCATGTACAACTGCTGTAATACTGAGTTCATGTAGCAGGTAGCTCCTGCGTTCTTCAAGCCTACGAAGCCTTTGAGCGGCCTGAGGCCCACCGGCGGCAGGTAATCCCACTCAACCAGCGGCTCGTCCTTCTCGGAGTAGAACATGTCGGTGAGCATTGTGACTAGAAGTTTCATGTTGGGTACACAGCCTACGCAGAGGCCTACGAGCAGGTCGAACGCGGCGCTGGTCGACTGAGCAGTGGTGCACACAGGACAGGCCTGCGAGGCGCTCAGCTCGCCGGTGCTGCGAAGCTGCAGCATGAGGCGGGAGGCCGGGAACACAAAGTCCTCGACCAATTCCTTGATCAGGTTCACCCCATGCTTCTCGTCGGAGCCGAGCTCGTACTTCTGGCTGGGTGGCAGGAATGCCAGCAGTTCCTTCGTCAGGCCGAGGTGGCCTTCGAGCACGGCTTCGTCCACCTGACTCTCACCGGTCTCCTTCACGTTGTCCCGGACCTTCTTCAGCCAAGCGATCTCGACGTTCAGCAACGTCTCCGCGCTCGTGAGAGGGCAGCTCGACGCATGCGCGTAGTTCAGCAATCGGCACAGAAGCTGGAAGTACTCGTGGCTCTGCTTCGCGTTTTCCATGACGGTAGTGTTCAGAACGGTGAAGAGGAGCGTTATGGTGACCAGTAGCGGCTGGTGTCCGCTGCTGCACCACGTCGATATTAGATAAAATTGCTCGGCGGCGGCGAGTCTGATGGCCCTCGACGTGCTCAGCAGCACGAGATCTATCAGGAAGGTATGCCAGATCTTCTCTCTCGACAGGGTCTCCGGCGCGGTCGGATTCAGCACGAGGGTGATCGTCAACACTTCGAGCGCCTCTTTGCACACGAGGACGTCGTTGTTGTCGGGGTTTCTCTGCTCCTTCTGGTTGGCCTCGTGCATCGAGTGGAGGGCCTCGTTCGACGCGTTGATGTTGTTCAGGTTGCCCGTGGACGCGGCCCATGCTAGTCTAATTATGGCACGTATAGTGGCCACATCCGGCAATTCCCACGAGAGGGCCTGCATAAACAGCTGCCGGCACCGGTCGGCGTCGGGCCCCACCGACAACATCCGATGCGCCAAGTGCTGCGCCAGTTTTGCCGCCACGCTTCTCAGCATGTATTCGGTGCTCTGATTGGGCACGCTCTGGAGCGCCTGCTTCAGCACCGCCACCGGGCCGCGATTGTTGACGTTGTTATCGTGATTCTCCGGGCTGCCCGTCTGCTGAACCTCGTCCAACACGCACGCCATCACGTTACCCAGCACCGTCAGCAGGAGCTTGCATAGTCTCAGCACGGTCAGGTACGCGGACCGCTTCGTCGTCTCGTCCGCATTCGGCAAGAACCTGTTTTTCGTCAGCATATCCAGGATGACACCCGCCTCGCCGCTTTTTATGAAATTAAATTGAAATTCAAACGCTCTCTCGGACGTAGGATCGAGAGCCGGCATTAACAAAGTGTACAACACCTGCGGACAAAAGAGAGAACGTTTTTCAACATGTTCGCACGAGAATGAGATTCATTCATTAACACTTAGACCGCCATGTCGCCCGCACATAGGTGACCGTTTCAATAATTGAAACAGGCATAATTTTATGAACTATTTGTAAAAAATATATCGAGTGTAAAAACGATAAAATATCATTGTTCAACATATGCTGATGTAAATAAAAAACAAAAAAAAAAAATTAACATTATATATTTATTATTATCTATGTATTTATTTTATATGTTATTTATATATATTGCTTTTATTTATTACTTTATAATATATTTATCATTTTTATAAAATGACCTGACATATATTTTTCGTGATATTTTAGAAAACAATATATGCATAGTCGTAGTTGTTATATATATATATATATATATATATATGTATTTTGAGAACATTTCCATTAAATAACACAGAAGATATAGAATATGATTGAAAAAGTAGAAGTAGATTCAATCATTCATTCATTGGACGCATTGTTTATTTTGTATTCTAACCCCGTTAGTAACATCGTGGACAAAAAAGTTGCGACACTTTTTGGATAAGTTACAGAACGTATCCCGTATCCAATTGGAGAATCTGTTTCTTAGTTAAACTCAGGAGATACATTTTCCTATCGGATACGAGATGCATGAAACTCGTCGAAAGAATAACGTTGCGACCTTTCTATGCACGACTGCACGGTTGTGACTTCAGGCGGTTTACGTTCGCAGCCAAGGCTGGGCAGTCTAAGCGTTAAAGCGCTACGATCGACGAAATCCTACTCACCTCTAAATTGTATAAAACTTGGCTAGGACTTGCAGTAAAAAATAGAGAATCTACCGTCGTATTCTGCTCGTTATTCTGGGGGTTCTGTAAAGCTTCTTCGTCCTTGCAATGATCAAACAACCACTGTAATCTCGTTACAGTGAAGGTGTCCGGCGGCACCAATTGCAGGAGATTCCGCGCACCGTCGCGCAACTGCGAATGCTGAAGGGTACAGCCGAGATCCGCCAATTGAAAGAAAAATGTCGCATACTGCGATCGCTGCGACATTACCTGCAACGAAGCCGCGCGATTAGAACGATGAGTCGGCGACAATCGAATCTGCAGGAACCTCCACTTACCACACCAGGCAAACTATTCTCCGCTTCTACGTTCGGCCCGTCGTACGGATGATGCGGAGAACTAGTGGAGCTATCTGAGCTGCTGTCCGGTGAGCTCGGCATATTGCTGTTCACTTGACTGAGCTTCGCCGACAATAACTAGACAAGAACGTTCACAAGTCTCACCCCCATTCTTTGTATCTTTCGCACTTGTTGTGTGGAAGTCTCGGACCTTCCTCTATTGATACTCACCATTTTGTCTCTCAGTGGTATCTGGGAAAGCAGTTTCCTATCATCGGACTGTTCTAAGGACTCTCCGTTAATGAATAAGTCGAGTTTAACGGTCGACGGCGCAGCTTTGATTCTGCGCAATATCTGACGTCTCAGTGAAGCTAAGGTGTCGTTACTATGCGTGAAAATGTCTATGTCATCGACGGTTCGGCCAGGATTTGCGAATCGTATGACGAGAGACAGATGCTTCCCACGAGCCGCTCTGTAATCGGAACGAGACGCTGCACTCATCTGCATCGTATGGTAAAAAAAAAAAAACTCGCGTTAATAACGTGATCGTATACCTGTGTAACGGTAATATCTTCCGTTCCCCTGGGAAAGCTGTGTCGCACTCGTTTATGTATTCCTGCAGAACCTTCATAACACGACACATTTTCATGGCTTCCACTTTAATCTTATTTGTCACTTGCTCCTCGCGTTCCTCCCTCCCGTCCAAGTACACTCGGTTAAGAACCGTTACGGTATCATAATGAGCTTTCAGTCTGTCCATACATTCGGCTATATGTGTCTCGTGAAATGCCAGAACGGACGATTGCAATCGCGGTCCTAGATTAGTGTTCACCTCCTTTAACAGTTCTATGGCTCTGTTCGCTATCTCCTCAGGGCTGTTAGTTACTACCTAATGGACAAATAAGATCTCTACTGCACAAACACGCATACAAAAAGAACTAAAGAGAAATGGAAAACAAAAGAGGCGTAAAATACACACACGTGAAGTTAGAAAGAGAGAGAAAATAAAAGCACATTTAAATCAACGAGATATTGCAATTCCTGTATTTATACGTACTCTCCACAAGTAGTCGGTCCCGATTAGATCCACATCGTCCATGAGAAACGTTCTGCGTTTCAGTTTCAATTTTCCTTCCTTAGAATTAACAGCTTTAAAAAATCTCTCGTAACACTTAATGCCGCTTTCTGTAAGCAATGTCGGATCTAGCTGCAGTATGTTATTTTGAAAAAAGTTCTTGTATATCGCTGGATCCAGATCGGACTCTTCTCCCATCAGCTTGGAGAACCACTTGAAGCAGACCTCACGATCCGAAACAAATACACCTTGCTCGGCTAAACATTGCCAAATTTGGTCTGCCTGATCCGCGCACAACCACAGCTGTCCGTCCTACGGAAAGTAACGCCATGTTTTACCCACGCATTTATTGATATATAGATTGATTCTTACTTGCTTCATTCCGAGAGAGCTGAAACGTACCTTCAGTAAGAAGCGCAAGAAATTCAATCTCTCTTGTATCTGCATAATGTGATTGTATCGGCCGTCAGGCATGAAAGTGTTTGCGTCGATTTCAGGATTTTCCCTCACCAGCTGTCGCACTTTATCCATATAATTTGTTAAACTATTTGTTACAAGTATGACTACCGAATGTTCACTTTGTAAACGCTCTATTACTTCTTGCCTGTGACAATGATAAAGAATCAAATTAACATTGAATAGACAATGTATACGCACAAGGCCGGGCGTACGATGTATACCATTGTCGTACCTGTAATGCAAGTGATGGCCACGTTGACTATGACCCATATTGGGATTTGGTTCGTAAAGGCAACATATCTCGCGAATTTGCTTCAACGCTGGAAGGGCCCACTTATCACCGTTCTTCAACTCCTCCACGCACTTATCCAGCCAGATTGTCTTTTGCGCATCCCTTTCTTGTGAGCATGAGTAATCAAGAATCTTCACGTGAGCATTCAGCGCCTGATCCATGATTTCCGTGGGGACCTCATCAGAATGAGCCAAAGTCCAGAAGAGTGTTAATACCTAACAACAGGGTAAATTAGTGTTCCGAAGACTCCTGGGACACGCATGCGAATTCTGTCTATTTCAAGATCGTCGAACCTTGTGCGCCATAACACCATCTTTATCATCCTCCGCGAGTCTTCTAATCAATTCTAATAGTTTCTCCCGTTGCTTCTTGTTGGCGGTCCTCCAACTTGTCTAGAATAATTCCACATCGATCGATGCATAAATAAATACTCACTATTCAACGTAAGTTTAATATTGCTAGAGGCTTCTGCACGCAGAAAATTTTCTAGTAGCTGTAAATCCGTGAGATAATTGACCAATCACAATTAATTATTCTCCTTGCGCTTAAAGAATAATCGATGGTGATTGGTCAATTTTTTCTTATGGAATTACAACTAAAAATTTGTTAACGTGCAAAGGCCTTAAGCTACCGCGATATACAAGTACCTGAAAACACTCAAATAGATGATCAAGTTGTTCAGGACTAAAATCCCAGGCTAATTTGGCCAACAAGTCATGAACGTTCTTCACGATGGCCTCGTGTTTCCCAGCCTGTGCCGCCCAAACAGCGTCTAAGTCTTCTAACGTAAGAGCACGTTCCTTAATAATAAAGCGTAAGATTTTCTCCAGTTTCTCTACATATTGCGGTTGATGTAACGAATCCCTCAGTACGATTTCCAACACCCCGTTGTCCTTGATCCATTTCTGCATCACAAGTAAATACTCCTTAAGATAGAGATATCTCCGCAAAATTCAAGATACGGTTATTAACTCGTGATAATAATCGAGTGATATTTCGTGTGTTGTTCCAGATATTTAAATTTAGACATTACATGAGAAAAATATTTTAAAGGCGCGCCTCGGAAATTATCGTATTCAGGCGAGGTGCAATTATACATTATTGATTTTCAAGCGAGACTTACTGCCATACGTTCTGCTGTGAGCCACTCCTCCTCCTCCACTATTGTATTACGATGTTGGTGATAACTAACACTAGATATTACTTTATTAACCTCATTTAAAGCATTCATCTTTCCATTAAACGAAGAAATTTGTAAGAGTCTCAATATCATTTTCAGTCTCAGTATTTCCAAGTTTTTTATCATCTCCTCCTGATGAGGTACGCGCGATACCAAGCATTTAGCAGCTTTGATTATGGCTGATATTGCATCGTTTTTTGATTCATTTTTTGCTTCTTTCTTCAACTCATCGTCAGTCAAATTATTCAAAATAAGAGGTACCATTTCCTGTTTGTGTGAAAAATGTTCTTTGCACTCAGGTAACATATATATCGGAGATAAATGATAAAAGTTCAAGAGGGATACTCACGACAATAGGCATCAGATATTTAACTATTGTGTGAACAGTCAAAAGTTCATAACATAAGCCAAACGGTCTGATTAAAGCGTAAATAACTGGCACTGTTAAATTACGTCCGCTCTGAAATCTAGAGAGCAAAATTTCGAATCCATTGAGACTTCCGAATCTGTAATAGAGGTTCGATATATTAATCAATATCGAAGAGGAAAATATTCGAGCATGAACAAAAATGGCCGTCAAAGATACCTGTTTATAAGATCTACCAGCCAACCACGAGGGCTTCGCGAGTCCTGTGGCGGACGAGCGAAGAGTTCCTCATCAGGAATGTCACTACCAGGAGGAACAGTTTCTGAAACTCTTACTGCATTAAATGTGTGAAATCTGAAAGCAAAATCGTCCATATATATAATATGGTCACATAAGAAAGAACTCACGTGCAGGATCAACAGCAAGGGCACATGAGAGATCTACTCACTTGTTACTAGGATTAAAAACCATGGCCAGTAAATCAAGTAGAGGAAACCAATCCTCGTCTAATTTCAGGACACATAGTTCCACCAAACGTCCACAGTTAGCATTAATACAATTGTGAATATTTAACTTCCAACTGTTTACTGCATCATCCGTTAATATCTTGGTAAATGAGATTGTGAGACCTTCTCGAAAAAAGCGTTGACACGCCTCGCTTTGTACATCAATTCCTGAAAAGTGGCAAGCACAAGTTAGCGCATCTCGAAATAAGTGCTCCCATATGTAATCAAGATGTCTAATCGTGATGTTACAAAAAATAAAATGGTCGACGGGTAAGTAGTTATTTTGAAAATCGAGGGGAATAATACAGAATAATACATAACCTTTTTTACAAAGATCGATACTGGCTTGTAACAGGCACTCTAATTCTTGTTCGGGTAGAACTGGTACAACCCATCGTGGACTAGATATTTTCTCATGAAGCATATTAAGTTTGGAAACAGGGAAATCAGGCTCCCCATGAAGCTGATTGCTATCCTCCATTGAAGTGATAGCATCATTGCTGCATTCGGTTTGTACCACATTCTCTGTGAGTTGGAGTCCCGACATTGTATCAGCCAATTGTTGCGGACCTGGTGGACTGTGCATCTGCAGGAGGGAAATGTTTTTACCCCATCTCACTCAATCGATCTGTTCCTTTTAGCTGAAGTGGCTGCTAGTTCGGAAAATTTATATACATATTGAAGCACATATGTGAGATTTTCACGCTTCAGTGTAATTTTCTTGAACAAGTGCAGCCAATTCAGCTGAAAGGAACAGAGTTAGCCGGAAGTAACCAAGATATCTTTCAAACATCTTCTTCCGTCACGTTACCTCCGAGTTCACAGTTACCTGTGTATTTTGCTGGCTGTCGGGGGGGTCTATGCCAACTCCCTGGCCCCTTGTGGCAATCGTCATTTTGCACGTTCTTTGCTACACCTCGACTGTCTCAATATCTCTTGGTCCAATGATTACACCACCAATAACAAGCATCCAGCTTATACACTGACATTAAATATAATTATATTCTAAAGGCCTTGTGTTAATAAACTATACCTACATTATCTGAAACAGAGAAAGGAAAGGTACTTTGTACGACACCCTCCTCAGCGATCGACATGCGGTCAAACAACGTAACAAAGTATGGCAAAGACGACGCAGTAAATTAATCCCAAATCCAAGGTACGGTGACAATTTAAATTATCCGCGAACTACGCGACGGCCACGCGGTTACATAAGTGCTTTTTTCCCCCCCGAACGCATAAGTTACGGCGAGTGACAGTTCGCGATATATCCGGACGACGATATATCCATAGACCGATGATACAGTCATCGCTCCGGATAAGACGCCGCGGATGCCTATCGGCGCGACGAATCGCGGCACGCGTCCGGATGTACTCTCGACGCAGTCCCGGCCGGGTGGCACGCTCGGCGGATCGCGTGACAGCGCTACGGCTTCCGTGCAACGACTCGGGGAGAGCGACGCGTATTATACTCGGACGTTGGTCGAAGGGGGGAGGGGGGAGGGCCGGATCGACGGCGTCGGCCGCGATCTCGGGATCTCACGCGAGCACGGTGCGTCGGCTCCTGCCGCATCCCCGTCGCACGCAGCGAGCTGTCAACCGCCGTGGAGCAGGGAGCGGCCGTGCCGGTCGGCGCTCGTTCGAGGTGGGTGCGCCTCGAGGACGCCGGGGAAGTCGGCCGTGCCGCCGCGTCGAGAGAACATGCGTACGCCTTGGCGGACAAGGGAGGTCGTCGGGCCGCGAGGAGAGAGAGCGAGCGAACGAGCGAGCTGGGGTATGTATGTGCGCTGCAACAACTCGGCGACTCGGTGGGCAGCGAGCGGAGCGTCGTCGGGAGGCACCGACTCCCGCGGGCGAGCGAGCAGCGGGGAACGGTGGTCGCTCACCGGCCGAGGGTACCTGAGCGATCCGCGACGATCCTCGCGGGTCCAGGCAGCGCCTATTTTCGCCCCGTTCGCCTCCGACCGGGCTACCTCTCCGGACAAAATGGCGACTATCCTAACGATTGGCACTGCCGTGTATTAACAAAAGCGCCGATATTTCGGCCCGATAAACGGCCCCGACCACGCGGGGAGGCTCCGGCCGCGCCTACGGCGGTGCCGCACCGCGTTCGCTCGCCGGGGTCGCGCCTCCGTCACCGGGGAACGCACCTTTACATAGTAAACGTTGTAGAAATTCGTGTGTTGCACTTTTTTGACGTGACGTTACGGAACTCAACTGGCGAATCTGTAAACACGACTGTCGCGGCGCTGCGGTAGCATCCGAGCTGTCGCGAGCGAGGGGGAGGAGTGGGGGCGGTGAATGATGGCAACGACGGAGTCCCCTCCCTTCGCTGCACCACCGTCGCCGCTGCTGCCGCCGATGTCGTCGTCGGTGTTCGTTGTCGCGCGAAAACGTTCAAGCGGCGCCCGGCCGGTCGCGAACGGTCGGCCGAGTTATCGTTGACTCGCGTTTTCACAACTCCGGTGCGCTCGATTTCGGCGTCTCATCCGCCGGAAAATGGATCTTTATTCTCGTTGTTTCGGGAGAGGTGTGCCAAGTACAGCGGACGGAGCGAATCTACAGGAGAACTCGGCGCGAAACACCGCCACTGCGGATAGTTACGGCGCAGTAGCGAGGAACGCGTTCCCGAAGACTCGCAGAATTCGAAACGAGTATGTTTTTTTTCATTCTTCAGCCACCCGGATTACTCGAGCAAAGGGCGAATTGTACCCTTTATCTCACGCCGCGTTAAATTCGTTTGAGATGCAACAAGGTTGTACGGAATTCTCATTTCTGAAATGTTAGTCTCCAACTATACGTACGAGACTAAAAATGTTCTTTTCTTTAATAATTTATTAGGATAAATCTCATTTCCACTGTACATAACATTTGTAATTACGCTGCTTGTTTATATATAGATATATGTGATTGAAGATACATAACTTCTGTATGTACTCTGTAATGTAATTTCTTGCTGCTACAAATATCTTCACTTCGGCTCANTTTTTTTTTTTTTTTGGGGGGGGGGGGGAACCTAATGAGCCAATCGTTGCGTGCTTAGTGATTACACTAATTATATGTATATTTTTTCAATCTCTTTTAGTGAAGCTGCATAAGAATTTTATATGTATATATATGATTTCATGATGTAATAATAATAATAAAAAGAATTGTAACTTGAATTCCTATAAGTATATATGGAAATTAATTAACATCATAGAACATTGAGTATTATCAATGTAACAATATTTAAGAAATGTAATGCAATTTTAATGAGAAATAAGTATTTGAGTTTACACGTATTTTTTTGAAAATTTCTTCAGAAAGTTATAGCGACCAATACTTTGTCTAAAGTTTGCAATTTTCAAGTGCAGAAAGCAACCTCAGATAATAGTATGCAGGGTGTTAAGCTCAGAAACCTTAAATGCAAAATTTACCACTGTACTATAAATGTTAGCTCTCTTTCTCTCTTCTTTTGGAAAGATTTGAAAATGATTTTTCAAAGAGGACAAGTAGGATAAGGAATACATTATAATCTAATGTTCTTAAATTTTCATTTTCAATATCTTCATAATTCTGGCAATACATACCTATTGAAAAAAGATCTGATAAATTTTCTGATAATCAAATATTATCTGGCGTTATCAGATAAGTACGATCACGTTGTAAGTAATAGATTAAGCTGTCTGGTTAAATTAGTAACATGACAATTGACACCATATTAACTCTATCTTTATCAAATTTTTTGTTTACCAAAATCAAGAATTGCTCTATAATAAAAGTAATTATTTAATAGTACCCTTTTATCAGATGTAGTAGTATTACTAAATGTTATCATCTAATAGTGCTGTTTTGCACTATTTTAGTCAAATTTTTTCTTTATCAATATAATTAAAATTAATATACATGAACATCTAATCTTATTCACAATCATCCTTTCTTCTGATTTCAATATTCCCATTTATAATTACTTTGAGAGATTCAAGCTTAAACATATTCGACAATGTGTAATAGAATCCCGCTGTTTTGTCACAATTTTTATCACAAAGGACGAATTTGATTTAGACTTAAAAATGTTCCTCTTGCAATCATGTTATTGCGGAGAAAGGGTATTTTCTATCGCAATTCTGTTTATTCAGTTCATCCTGTTCGAGACTTGGATGGCTCATCATAAGGTGAGTTCTTCGAGTTCTTTTAGCAATTCATCTTCCTTCTTGATCTTATCTAGTTGATTGATTTCTAATTGTTTTCCCGCTTTCAGTTGTTCTTTCAATTTAGAAATTTGTTCTAATTTCTGTGATTTGAAAAGAAATTGTGTCATTGTAAATTGTTTATAATTGCAAAAGAATCAAGCTTTCCTCTCAGATGGATGTACTTACGCTCCTCACTTTTTTTATCTTTTTATTCTTTTCTGGATCATCGGTCAATTCCGTTTTTATAGCCGTTGTGCTTGCAACTTGTCCATTAACAGCAGAGTTGCCAGATTCTAACTCCTTCTTAGCCTTTTTCGCTTCCCGATTTTTCTTCATCTTCAATGCAGCTTTCGATGGGTTTGCTGTAATTAGATTTCATCGAATTCAATGATGGCTATCTTCTGTGTATGTGTGTCTACTACTTACATTCGGCATTTGGCCTGGAAGGTGGTTCTATGTCATCGTGCAATTTGAATGTGATTGTTTGTCCTCTGGCGCTCGGTGGTCTGTACGCTTCCTTTGATGCTGGAAATTGCGAGTATTGCTTAGATTTATTCTGATTGCTATATCTGAACAAGTTTATTCTTAAGATATTCGTGAAAAGTAACGTACCCTGCGATTGACTAGAACTACTGACGATACCATCCACGGCTTTGTAACTGATAGGTTTCTGTGGAAAGGTACTTGAAGGGAAATTTTGCCAAAGTACTTCCCACAGCTCCTCTTGGTTATTCCATGGTCGTTGGTATACTAGTGAGCCAGTATAATGCCAGATCTTAAACCTAACAGTTCAATGAACATGTCAGAGTATGATATATATCATATATCATATATCATATATATATATATATATATATTGAAACTATATATTTTATAATATAAATTCACTAACCCATTGCCCATACGTAGTCGGGGTGCTGTAGTTGCTGTTACAAAATGCTCACCATCAGGTGACCACTGAAGCAATGTAGTGTCTGGTGCGTCAGTTTTGGCGATAAGTTTTCTGTTAGCAATGTCCCATAATTCAATGCCACCTCTAAGATTGCCGAATCCGCCCAAGAGCAAAAGTACACGGTGGTCAAGGAAATTCAAGTATCATCAATAACTAAACTGCTACTGTTCCCTATCAGCTAACGATGGAATATCTATCGATGCGAGACAAAGTAGCAAAAGGATATTGTTGCCATGTGGGTTGTAATATACACTATTCCTGTGTAATGTGCCAAACTCGAACACAGCTTCGCATTTAATATTAAACAACGTTGCCTTAGCCGGCATAAATCCATATACGACACAAAACTCGGTATTCTTAGGAGACCACTCTACCGCATGTATAGGACCTTCTTTACCTAATTAGGAAAATCTCTATTATTCTATTTTTCCAACAGTAGTTTTCTGATGTGCCAACTTGGAGTATTAAAATAAAATGACAGTTTAATTGTTGGGGACTTACTTAGCATAACCATAGCAGTATCCCCTTTTGTATTGAGATAATGCAACGACTGTTTCCCGTAATACGACGCTCCGCTTTTATCAACTTCAGTACTTGTCATTAATAATGCATTTGTTCCACGCTGGTGCCAATATATATCAACTCTATCTGCCTGAAAAAAAAAAAGACCCAAGATAACATTACATTGATAAATGGAAAGGATAAATATGTAACAACAAAAATGTTTGGTAATTTACCTGGAAGAAACTTTTGTTTGCAAGTGATTCTCCGATCTCGAATTTTGGATATCTAAATAATCTTCCAAAGGAAGGCTGACCAGGTTTTCCTAAATATTTGCATTTTAGAATATTTTTTTACTTAATATGTGATTAATTTAGAAGTAACAGAGATACATCTAATTGTTATAAAAATACTAAATAAGCAGAGTGTAAGATAAAAATAGATGTAAGTACCTGGCATGTAACAGATAATATGATATGGAGCAGTTCCAGGTGCTATACTAAATTTGGCAACTTTGGCTACACTTATCTTATGTACATATCTATCAAAATTGTTATCTTCATATAAAAGAACATTCCCACCGCTTGATAAACCACAAAGTTTCTCATCGCTTGACCACTGTGGCTCCCTATTTTTTTAAGGAATATTAAAAAAAAAGTTATTTTAGTTGTCAGTAATCGTATTGCAATTATTAATCTATATTTTCTAAGTACAATAAAAAACAGTAAGCTTGTAATAAAATATGATATATTACCAATTTATCTGTTTCTTCTGCACAAAACTGTGAACTAGCTCACCATTTTCAGATTTCCATATGTGAAGGTTTTGTGTTCCCTGAGGGCTTGTTTGTGTTACTAAAATCACATTATGGATTTTTATTTGTAGATATAAAAAACTTAAGCAATTAATTATCTGCATAAGATAATTTAATATTATACATATATATAATTTGAAGTTATATTTACCAAAGGATGGTTCCCAAGTTGCAAGATATGTACTTTGAGTGGAAAACTGAATGGCACAGACTTTAGGTCGTGCAATTTCAGCAACAATTTTCCAACTTTCACAAAGTACAATTTTAATACTAACTCCATTGACCCACACAAAGTATCTGCCGTCTGGGCTAAAGAGCATAGTCTTACAAGTCTTGCTGTCATCTTTAGGAAATGTTTTAACCGATTCATAAGACGGTGGACCTTGTGCCAGATTTATACCAGTGGTTCCTCTCACTATAAAATTATTAAAAATATGTGTTACGTCTCTCTTTTTAATATATAATAACATATATATATTAATAATAAAAATCACAGAGATTTAAGCTCCAACACTCTCATACTTATAACTATTAAATTCAAAATAAAATCCTCCGATGAGTTAATCGCAAGTGACTCTTAATTAGTGTGGTAAATATTTATAATTCCTAAGTGGCGGCGTTTCTTTTAATCTTATTACTCTCGCGTAACTCACGTCAGCAGTGGCGTTAGGAAAGTAACACGTCATCAAATCAAGGTTAGAGTGCAGCGTTTAACAAGAATCCGCGTATTTTTGCTGTCCTCCGCCAGCGAATATTACAATACGAACGTCGCTCCCTTCGGACACTAACGTTATCGCAAACAATTTTCGTAATATCTCGGATGCCACGAGACACATGTTCAGCACGTTTATCGAGAACAGTGTGCGTGCCGCCGGGAACGTTATTGCGATATCGCTCGCGTTAGGACGCGGGCGCTCTTGAAAGGCGATCCTCTCCGGCGATCGGATCTCAATTAAGAGCAACACTCTCGCGAAACGGCGAATTTCGGCGTAAATGTCGGAGAAAAATACTCACCAGCGACACAGGGAATAGGCGAAGCCATTTTACCACCGTTACCATGTGGTATCGCGCCGACAATCGACCGACACTCGATTGCTCAGAGGCTCTTCGATACACAATCGATTAACGTTTTTTCAAAACATCGCGGATGGAACGCGGTTGGTGTAACTTGATACATAATAACGCGGTAACTCGTGCGATAAACCGCCCGATATGAGGTGTATATCGCGAATGAATCACACGATCCATCGCGATAAATAATCCGTCGCCCATCGGATGATTCCAATTAACGATTCGTCCGCGCGTAATGCGAGGACGAGCGATCGTGTGTAATTAACGGGCGAACTGCTGGGTCGATACATAGGAAAGGAGAAAGTGTATATGTGTGATAATTGTGAAACGCCCGACCTTGTTTTTTCGGCGTTGACGGTGTTGTGACGGCTGATGACTCATAACCTAACAAAAGTCGCGGGTATTTCTGCAGGTGCAGATCCATCCCGCTGTCGCTCAAACGGTGGTGAAACAACAAAACACGCGGGACGCCGCGAGGCTCGCTTTAACCGCGTGTTGCGCTGTGCTCCACGTGCGACGAAGGTGGTAGCGCGCGCGCCAGTGCAAGCTCCCTGCTCGATGCTTTTGCAATTTGCGCTCGTCCCGTCTACGTGCAAAATTCGTAGGCGTACGTAAATATCTATGGACGGAACTGTCGCACACACGCAATCGTAGAGATCCGTTTGACACCCACCGTATCACGTATAGGGTATGGCAAGTTCATGCTTCTGGTGAGTGCTATGTGCGATTATTTTCCTGCGAAGCTAGACTGTCCGTCACTTCCCGTGTTCTGTGAACGTGACCAACTCTATGCGGACTCGAAAAATATCGCGTCCCCTTTTATCTCGTCGAGGTTATGTTCCCGCGCACACGCCCTTCGCACAAGTTCGGAAACGAAGCACCCACGGTCTTCGTTTCACGTCACTTATCACAGAACACGTTTCTCACCTCGCTTGTCTTCACTATCCTTCCCAATCGATTGCTCGGATTAATTCGAAGATGTAACATCTGAGTGAATATGTCAATTGTTCAACTAGTATTGCACAATTCTACTTGTACGCCTGTTTCCACAGTGATGTGGATGAGTACGGTTTTGAACGACCACAGGATTTCGATTATGAAACCTACGAAGATTTCATGTCCGAGTACCTCAAGGTACTTGCGAAGATGGCCAAAAAATGGGCGAAAATCATCGGCGAGGGAAAGTCACCACAACGAAGTATTACGATCAAGAAGTATGTTCGCAAAGGTATCCCAGCAGGACACAGAGGATTGGTAATATACTTTCAAATCCTTACTGTTATATCAAGTCTTTATATTTGAGATGAGGAAACAACAGAAATTGGGTCACAGGTATGGCTTGCCGTGAGCGGCGGAGAAGAGATAAGAAATACATCGCCGGATCTTTATGAGAAATTACTGCAGTCTCCGCATAATGCAGAGATCGCTGACATTATAAAAACCGACTTGCCAAGAACATTTCCAGACAACATATTCTTTAATAACACGGAGAATCAACAACATGAATTATACAACGTTCTGTTGGCTTTTGCTTATCAGAACAAAACTGTCGGATATTGTCAGGTGATACACTTGATGCTCATATTGTTTCAAACACAGATGAAATTATGCTGCTTTTGTGATGTTAGACAAGTTCTATGAAGAAGAGTAGATATACACATGTTGCTCTTCTTTACTCAGTAGTATTCAATATTTTGTTTAGGGTTTAAACTACATAGCAGGTTTACTCTTGCTTGTAACAAAAAGCGAGGAGACAGCATTTTGGTTGTTAAAAGTATTAATTGATAGGATCTTACCGGATTATTATACACGTACTATGGATGGTTTACTTACCGATATCGACGTGCTCGCTGAATTAGTAAGGTAAATGTAATGAGATATGATGAAAACTTCATAATGTATCATTTATTGATGATACTTGCTAATATGTGTTTGGGCACAGGATAAAGATGCCTGATGTGTATCAGCATGTGACAAACGTAGGATTGCCTTGGCCAGTAATTACGACAAAATGGTTTGTGTGTTTATTTGCTGAAGTTTTACCCATAGAGGTATGCTATATAATTATCATAATATTTCTCATTTTTATCATTTTTCATACATATTTAAATCAGTCGCTAATTGTTCGTGAAGGTTTAAATTATTTTTGTCATAAAAAATTGGAGGTGTTAAATAGTTTTATTCAACAGACTACTCTACGTATTTGGGATTGCCTTTTCTATGAGGGCACCAAGATCATATTTCGCGTGGCATTGACACTTATAAAAAGGAACAAATCTAATCTGTTAGCTTGCCAAGATTTTGCCACGTTAGCCGAATGTTTCAAGGAGATCACGAAAGACAGTATTGTTTTACGATGTCATGACTTTATGCAGGTATGCAGCTTATATATAATATATACAAATATTGAATAGTCAAGCGGATTCAACTAAATTCATTGTAATGAATATTTCCAAACTATTTTTCAGAGTATTTTTAAAGTACCTGGATCACTGCCCGGTAGCACAATAGCCAAGTTAAGGACAAAGGTAATGCAACAGCGTATACAACAAAAGCAGGATAAGCTAGGACGATAGTATTCATGAATAATTTCTCGTACACCGAAATATTCTAGTCTCTATGTTACTCATTTGCATTTTTTGCAAAATGAATGCATATAAAAATGTATTATACTGTTATTGCATAATTATACACCATTATTGTACATACGAGGTCTGTTTAGCAGTGTAAGAAATTGCACACTTATTCAGTTATTCTATAATTTATTTTATGGTTTTTATTATTGTATACATCATAATAAAAGATCGGAAAGGGGATAAAATTAGAATTTCATCGAGAAAATATAGTAAAGTAAAATAGATTTGTGATATAAGCTGTAATGAAAGTTAAGCAATTGTGATACTTTGTAGAAAAAACTGATATAAGAGCTATATCTAAAAGGACAATTATGCTTGTTGTATCATTTTATCGTGATTAATACAGAGTTTGTAGGGCCTTTGTCTATACATAGAAAAATAAAATCTTTAATCTGGGATATTAAAATTAATGTATAATCAGGAGTAATTCTATATGTATAGCTATAAAAATAGCTAATTTATTATAGATAGGCAAAATATAATATTAATATGTACATTCAAATTTGGTTCCTAAATATAATTTAAAACAAATACATGCTACTCTAAGAACTATATAATATTCTATTATCATTTTTCAAGCATGTCTTTTGCTTCATTAATTTTGGCAGCTATATATGGCGAGCCACCACGATCTGGATGATTGACAGACATTACTTTTTTAAATTGATCCTTTACTTTTGCTTTACTAGCTGTGGGCGACACTCCTAGAATGAGACTAGCTTCACGCCTGGTCATTTTTGAATCAAAACCACCTTTGTAATACTTGCTGTTCGCTAGTGACTATATTAAAAAAAAAACGTTTATCATTTTAAATGATATAACTGTGACTATGAAAGGTCTGAAACCAGGTAAAGGAAATGAAGGTTTTTACCTGAGAATCTAGCTTCTTTATTGTTTCTGCCATCTTCATTGACAAATTTGGCATTCTCCTGAGCAGATAACGACCGGTAAAACCCACCACAGCAAGTCCAATTCCTGCTGCTATAGCTGCACTCGCCTAAAGAACATTTTTTACTTTTAAACATCTAAAACTCTAAGTTCCGAGCATAACGTAATGTCCTGCCAGAAACAGAAATATATGTCACAAAATGTGCAGTTATTACACAAGATTACTTAATCTCGAGTTGTCAACGTTAAGGTTAATGTTATATAAATCATCGAGTGACACCTCACACTATTTTATAAGTGTTCTTACAGCAAAATTCTTATTGTTTGTTGATAGTATTATGTCTTTATCAAGGCTAAATTAGTAATGAAATACGTTTGTACTTATAACACTTTCAACGACGCAATTCGTTTCTTTCGAAGAATTAATATTGTTAATACAATTATTAATTGGCATTTTCTTATCAACATACGAACCACGATTTGTAATACTTCAAGCACTCTTGAATTCTTCAAAATTCTTACCATTTTATTCACAGTTCTTGAAACAACGAACGTGTAATTTTGTACACCAAAGAAGGAAATAATAGGTTAGCTATTTTCAGTGATATTGGAACCAATAGGATCCATTTCACACTGCAAATGCTTTGGAGCACTTAAAGGAAGGACATGATTGGTTGATGCAGTACTCCGAAGTGTTTGCAGCGTGAAATGGACTCCAGCCAAAAGTAATACGAGGGCAAGTACAAATATTCAAAAACATAAAAATAGAGAACCAAAATATTGAATTATAATTTCCGAGCATCAGAAAACAAAAAATTATTTTCTATAATTATATTCTTCTATAATTATACATCTTTGATATAAATAATAACTCGATAACTGATATAAAAAAACTTAACTGAAAGTTGTTGAGAATTGAACACTCGCCATTTTTTGTTTAATTTGATATATCTTGGTAATAAATATTGGGTGAGTGCAAAAGTGCATGCGGAGTTTGTGAGTAAAAGTCAGACAGTGATTAGGCAAACAAAGTTCTTTATTCAATCAATGATATATTCTCCATCGTTGTCTATAATCTTTTTCCAACGTTCTGGCAGCATACGGATGCCCCGATCATAAAAACTGCGCGGTTTAGATTCGAAGAACGAAGACACGACGTTTTTTAAGGCATCCAAAGAGTCAATTTTTTTTCCATTTAAATGATTTTGCAATGACCGGAACAAATGATAATCAGAAGGTGCGATATCAGGAGAATACGGTGGATGAGTTAGGACATCCCATTGCAGGCTGTTCAGTTTGCGCAGCGTCTGTCTCGAAACGTGTGGTCTTGCGTTGTCGTGGTGAAAGATTACGCCGTTGCGATTTGACAAAATCGAACGTTTCTGTTTGATTTCTCGATTCAGATTGGTTAATTGGCGACAGTACTTGTCCGAATCAATCGTTTGACCAGCGGGGAGAAACTCAAAATAAATTATGCCCTTGCAATCCCACCAAACACAGAGCATCACCTTCATCGGGTGTAAACCGGCCTTTGCCATTGCTTCACCATGCTCACCTGCCTGTTTCCATGTGCGTTTGCGCTGAACATTGTTGTACAGGACCCATTTCTCATCGCCCGTCACTAATCGATCCAAAAACGGCTCGTTTTTGAGCCGCCCGAGTAAAAAAACGGCAGCAGAAACTCGCTGGATTTTGTTCCTCTCCGTCATCAAATGGGGCACCCATACATCGAGCTTCAAATCGAAACCGATTTTTTTTAAACGCCGAAAAGCGGTTGATCGGTCAACGTTAAGTGCTGTAGCAACTTCCTCTGTTGAAATTCGCGGAGTATTCTGAACTAAAGTTCGCACAACATCGTCATCAATGTCTGAAGGTCGACCTGAGCGTGGCTCGTCTTCAAGGTTAAACTGTCCGCGGCGAAATTTCGCAAACCATTTTTCCACAGTTCGTTTAGCTGGTGCTTGATCTTGATAAACCTCTTGAATGTTTTTTACGGCTGCTGCAACGTTTATTCCTTTCCGAAACTCGTAAAGCATAACATGCCGTAAATGCACCTTTTCGACACTCATTTTGAAAGTAATCTTTCTCGAAGCAGTTCGTATCTACACAAATTCTTTTGTTTGAAATGAACGCTGCACACGTCACCTTTCCAACGATATGTCTTACGGAGATGGCGGTATTAATGACAAAACTTTACGCCGCTTCTAACGCCATCTATTGCACCTCCGCACGAACTTTTGCACTCACCCAATAACAATAACATTATGAAATTAATATAAAAAGTAGATATTTTAAACTTTAAAATGTTTTCTGAATCATTTCGTTATCATTATTTTTTCTCAAAGTTACAACTTTTTGAATTTTCCCGTTTCGATATAAGGGAAAGTGCGTTTGATGAGCCTTTGAGTTGTACTACTCGAAAATTTAAAGAGACATCTGACTTCACCGTTGAGTCGTACCACACCTCAATTTCGCGTTTGTGTATGTATGCAGTGATACCAATGATGGGCCGAGCCACACGCACACAAGCGTGTCGCGCGGCCGTGTCCGTGAGTGTGCGCAGTTTCGGCCGTCTTCGGCTGACTCGACGTGAGCCGACGTTGTCACTGGTTGTACGGTGGTGGCTCGTAGTAGAAACTTCGGAACTAAGCGTTTCGGCGAGTAGCGAGGTCCGACTTTCTGAAAACAATAACGCGCTGATCGATTGTCACGTAATTAAATATGGTGAAATCATATAAAAAAATAGTAGACCCATATTCGAGCGTTTCGTCCAAATCATCTTAATTTTCGAAAAATTAATGATTAATTGGACCTCGCTGCTTGCTAAAACGCTTAATTCTGAAGTCTCTACTACAAGCCACCGTATTGCAAGCCGAGAAATTTAAATCGTGATACTACTTAACAATGGAGTCAGGCGCCTCTTTTATATCTCAAGTAGTATAACTCAAAAGTTGGTCCAACGCACTTTTTTCTCGCATTGAAACAGTTAAAATTCAATAGGTTGTAACTTTTGATAAAAGTGACGATAGCGAGATGATTCGAAAAGCATGTTAAAGTTTAAAATATCTTTTCAGACGTTAAATTCATGACGTTAATGTCATTTATCGCCTTTATATGAGATCGTATTTATATAAAATATATTGAGTAAAATAATATCTGTCCAATTTTTAATCTCATCTTTTTGAAGTTTAAGTTTTACAGTGAAATTTTGTTCTTATTAAAAATGTGATAATTGTATTTTAAAGAGGAAACTTTAATCTTTATTAATGTTTGAACGAACTACATAGACAGATTCGTTCACCTTCTGTGAGCAAAGTCGAAAGGAGGTTCTCTGCTTCGATATTAAACAACTCGATGAAAGAAAATTGCATTACATGTTGCGTTGCTGGTATGCAAATTACAAGAAAATTCTTGTGCTTTAAATCAATATAAACGTCATTTGTACTTGACATTTACGCAATGAAAATGCAAATTTCATATAGAAAAAAAAAACCTGGTATTTGAATGATTATGATTTATTTCACATAGCACTCTAAAAAAGAAATGAACTTTTTGTTCGAAAATTTATTCGAAAATTGGAGAGTTGTAGAATATTGTTTGCAAGTCGACTTGTTACTGTGATTTGTACAAAAGTAATGGCGCGTTGAATTTGCAAATAATACGTTTCTACGACAGATCATACAGAGAGACTTTCTACTGACAAATTGAGGTCGTAGCACAGCTTAACGGCTTAGAGGGCCTTTTATTTGCAAGTAATACAAGTCGGTGGCAAATCGAAGGTCCTTTCATTTTTACATAACATGACTCAAAAAACGGTCCACGTACACATTCACAAAACTCTATTTTCAAATAATACAATATGACGGTAGATCTTCTTCCACTTTTCAGTTTTTCATTTCTTTAGTGCTCGATTACTCGAGTATCGACTTATCTTCTTCTTCCTTTTTACAACTTCGTTCATTCCTCTTACCGAGCTGCAATCAGAAGACGTAAATGTCGATATCAGTAATATTGTTTCTCTACATTATCGATCTTACATGTGTTACCTGTACCTATGCAAAGGCGCATGTTATTACACTTGTTTTACGGAATCTTGTATGGAATATATTCTTTTTAGCTGTACTTTTCACGTGTATTTCTTCCTCCCTTTTTTCAAAGTTCGAGAATGTAATTATCATATTTCAGGTGCAAAAAGTGCAATAAAGTGCAATAGTAGATCTCGGGTCCCGGTTTTAGATGCACTTTTTGCACTCATTGCGTATAAAAGGGAAGAGAAAAAATCGAGATACGCACTTCGGTAGGAAAGAGAAAGACGGAAAGGCAGAGAGAGAGAGAGAGAGTGAGAGAAAGAGGAGGCAACGAGCGTAGAAAGCAGCTGAAACGGACGGATGAGCGTCGTCGAGATCTGCCGAAGGTGTTTCTATATACAAACGAGCTGCCTAAACGGCAACGTGAATTTTATATCGCGCCAGGAGGTAAGCCCGTTGAGAGAGACCGTTCTCAGCGAGAGTCGATCGAGACTCGCGCCGACTTGCCCTCCCAAGTTTCTGGAGCGGCTGATAACCGACGACCGAAAACACGGTCGTTGCGAAGCGCACGACTCTACAATCTTGTTTCCAAGCGTCTCGCAGATACCGGGAGGTTACTATAAAGAGTCTATAGGCACGCGCGCGCGTGGCGCGCGGTCGTTACATTCGCGGTGCGCGCGTGTGTGCGTGTAAAACGAAGTTGAGTGCGTTGCGAAACGCACGAAACGAGTCGCATTTGCGTTTCCTCACGCCTGAATATAAATATCAACCGCAACACCGCCAAGCAACTGATTTCCAGCAAAACTCCGACCGCCGGCCGGTTTGAGCCTTCAAATATCGGCGCAACCGTCTAATTGCGAGTGTAGGGCTCAGGTGAATGAGAAATCGAGTTAACTTGGCCGTCTCTCTCTCTCTCTCTCCCCCTCTCTCTCGCTTATTCGGAGGCGTGTATGTGGTACCGACGTATGTGCATCACCAATGAATGTACGTCTCGATTGCGCCTCGCCGGGAACATTACAGCTCGAAGCTTATCATGGCCGCGGCGATACGCGTCGGGAACAACGACAACAACAGTAACAAGACGATCTCGCGAGCCCCGCGGAAATTCCGCCGCGTGAACAAAATATACCCTCTCGGGCTGATTCGCGCCGAAATGTATCGCTCTCTCGCCCCCCGGTAACATCGGTGCCCATCAGCGTCGATTACTCCGTTAGAACACGCTGGTTAACTCGATCCTCCCCCTCCTCCCCGCTCGTATCGGCCAAGCGAAACCGGTATACGAGTTCGTTAAGTTAATTCGGATTTCGCCATAGACGCGCGGCAAAAGTGACCTCCGTACGTTCCCTCACGCGACACGCGAAATCGCGCAGCGACGAGCGGGCGCGCGCGAGCTCGTTTATACGGCTCATCATGACGGCGACTGAAAAGTTCAGCTCGCCGATGCGTATCTCGCATCTTTGATCTCGAATCCGCAGGGGCGTCAAGGGTGTAAGTTTTCAATGGCTGTTCATGCGCGGACAAGCGCGCAATCGTTTTCGAGAGAAAGAGAGAGAGAGAGAGAGAGAGAGAAACCCGAAACTCCGTCGCCGTGTTGTTTCCGAGGTGTACAATTTCCCCGGTCGTTCTCCCCCCCGGCCCTGCCGAACGACCCGAAGTCGGATGTCCCCGTGGAAAACGATACCGCGATCGAGTGGCTCGCTCTGACATTGAAAATCATGCAAACACACGATCTCTGCGCGCGCGCATCACATACATACACACGCATACTCATACATACACACGCACACACTGCCGTTCTCAGCCAGCGCTTCAGCTATGCGCGCGCGAGAGCGCGCACACAGGCACGTACAACGCGCCGTCCGTCCATCCGTCCGTCCGTGCAACCTATATTACGAGTGTATTACATTTGCGTCGCGACCGAACTACGCGCACACAGACCCAACGGAAAGTAGGCTTCGCGCGAAGATAGCGCATGGAAGACGGCCGCTTCGCTCGTGCGACGCGAGAACGTGGCCCGGCGGCAGTCGGCGATGATCGCGCGCGTCTGCCGACGACGGTTTCAGAAGCCGTAACACACAGCAGAGCTGACACAGCCGCGTATACGTAGCCTAACGCAGAGACACACCGTTTGGTCCGGGCGAATTCGTCCATCGTCATGATGTCAACAACGGAGAGCAGCTCGCTCCGCCCTGCGAAAGCGCTCCGTCGTTGCCACACGGGCGCTTCTTTTATTAATTACTTTGATTTATTACAGTGCGATAAACCGCCACGGATAAGCGTGCACGTACTGTTACCGCTCCACCATTACTTCTTTCTGCTACTTTACTACTGTCGCTGCTACCACCACCAACATCACGAGGAGGAGCAGCAAGAGAGGAGAGAGAGAGAGAGACGCGTTCGAGTCTCCATACTTTTTGCGCAGTATTATTTTCACGACGCGCGCGTTTCGTTCATTCCTGTCGTCGTGTCCGCCGAGATATGCCTATACACTTATGTAAATTTATGTGCGACGGTTTCAGGCACACAAGAAACTCCATAAAAGCACGCGCGTGCGAGCGAGCGAGTGCGCCTACAGCGCGCCTGCTGCGCGCTCGTTCGACCCGCTGCGACACGCTCGATATAAGTCGCTTGTATTTTTTCGTCGAGTATTTTGTCGCTCGAGAGAGAAAGAGGGAAAGAGAGAGAAAGAGACCAGTCCGCACGCACTACGGCGGTCGCATACGTTCGCGAGCGATGGACTTTGACACTGTGCCGTGTAAGGGCTTAGACGCAATGAAAGGAGTAAGGAACGAGGAATTAATTAAATATAGAGAATTAGGAATAAGCTCGAGCTTGTTAATCCTTTCGCTGCGCACCGAGGTATACCGGGTGCAGCATTTAAGTTGAGACGTCTGTAAAAAGTCAAAAATAATATGTAAAAGATCAAACTGGGAGGAAATGTTCCAGACAAAAATTGTGGGACTTGAAGGAGGACATTGCTTTCATTAACTTCGTTGTATAGTTAATAATTTAAGAAAATTTCAAGGTCAATTTCATGTTTTTATTTTTTTTCAATGAACTCATATAGTTTCTTTAACACAAATCGATTTTTCTGTTCATTCTGTGTATAATAATACTAAAGTAAGGTAATCGAAAAGTGAGTACTTTTCGGGATATTTTATTTTTTATTCTGATGTTTTTCGACATATAAAGGATGTGAAATATCTCATAAAGTATTCACTTTTCGATAACATCATCTTAATACTTTTATACATAATAATATGAGAGAAATCGATTGCTGGTATTTATCATTGTACATTAGTGAATCGATCTATTTGCAAAATGCAATGCATTTTTTTTTTTTCAAATTATCTATATTTTTACAATGATCGATTCCACCTGTTATTCCGCGTACAAAAGTGTTAAGGTACCTAGTACTTTTATATGCAGAATGAACAGAAAAATCGATTTGTATTGGAAAAAAGTATACGGCTTCATTTAAAAAAATAATGAAGTTGACCTTGAGATGACCTTGAATTGTTGACTATACGACGAAATTAAGGTCACCAAAGTACGCTCCCCTCCAAACTCCACAACTTTCGACTGGAACATTTCTTTCTATTTTGCTTTATTTTTTATATATTTAGGTGTCTCAATTTAAATGCCGCATCCTGTATACACGTCACCGAAAAGTAGCTTCTCAATTACACACACCATGTACAAACGTCGTGGAAAATCGCTCTTCATTTGCGGATATTGCTGTACATGTACAGCAACACAGTTTGAATCTTTCGGTTAGAATTATCTTTATTATGCCTTTATTATCCCGTCTCAGTGTCACACGATCGAAAATAGTGCCGCACACATTTTTGGTCGGAGCGCGCCGTAGCGCGAAAGAGTTAAGACACGATAAAAGGAATGAAAAATAAGATATGAGAATGAGATCACGCCACTTTTATTATCTTCTAATGAACTTCTACATTATTAAGACTTTTGGTCTCTCGCAGCAGTCGTCTTGTTTGACGACGGCAGAAGCGAAGAAACGGCATACCGAGAATTCTTGCGATATACGTTCAAATAAAAAGATACACCCACAAAATCGACACTTGTAGTCGATTCAGCACTTCACTTGCAAAATACTCCGAACACTCTCCTCTTGCTCTAATAATCAATAAGTAATTATAAAATTAACACGACATGCAACTTTCCTTTTTAACCTGTCTTTTCTCATAATTTTTTTCACGCTAATTTTACAGCTATAGTTATAAAACAAGAAGCTGCGGCGAGTACACAGAAGCCTTTACATTTTTATCACCTCCTTGATAATTATCTATTGATTTAAGCTGATCTCCATTCGTACATCAATGTAGTCGTACGTGATACCGTATATCAGTCATTAGACATTTTGAAAGTTAACTTTCAGTCAGGTATTAAATTCCACAGGCACACAAGTTATATGAAATACAATTTCGTCATAGTGTTCTCAATCTTAGTTCCCTATTCTTTTACATCGTGTCTGAGCCCCATACTTATGACTATGACTTATAATTTTAAGATGTCTCATACCCTCAATTTTTATCCAAATTATCATCCGTTTATTTCTTTTATTATACGACGGCTTGTCACTAACCACAAAGAGAACGGCTTTTTAATTTCAAGACACAAGCCAGTCATTGTGCGTGACCTAAATACAAAGGCTCGTGTTCTGAACTCTTTTTTATTAATAAAATTACTAATAAAACTGCCTCTAAAAGTGGCTTAGAAACCCACCTGATTGGCTGAGAAGCCACTTTATTGAGGCAGTTTTATCGATAAAAGAGAGTCCGGAATACCGGCCAAAGACTTAAGGCACATGAGACATTGAACGTTGAACCGATAAGTCAGCCAAGTTCTGCTAAGGTCCTAACTCCTCGTGCGAAGACGAGCAGGCACGGTGCGACGTCGCGAGCGTCGTGCCTCTCCCCATCGGGTCTTTCGACGGCTCTCTCGCGGAGAGAGAAAGAGAGAGAGAGAGAGACGATTGACACGCTTACGCGTAAATTCACGCGCCGTCGTGCCGCTTATCTCGCGAGCGAGCGAGCGTCTTTCACTCTTTTGTTTGTCGTTTTTTCGAGGCGGCGCCGGTGATAGCGTGCGTGAGTGCGTACGTGCGTGCACGCACCGCGACGCCTCGCGAGCTAGCGAGAGCGGAATTAAATACCCCCTCGCGCGGAGAACTCGAGGAATGGCATCCGCGCGTGTTTTAGACGAGGAACAAAACGGAAGAAAAAAGGAAGAAACGGACTACAAAGATGGCATACGGACTCCCCCACGTAGCGGGCCCACGTATTTATAGTCCCCGCGTTTCACGTACGTTGCACTCGTGGCGGATCGCATCGGCCACGCGTGCACGCGTGTGCGTGCACGCCTGCTGCGCGTTACGTGCGTATGCATGTACACACACACACACACATACCGGCCGTGCGTACCTGCGTGCGCGCGCGGGAGCTCGCGAATCGTGTAACGGGTGTACGTAATGCTTGTACACGCGTCGTTACGCGCGTACGTTGGAATAAACGAATGCGCTAACGACGAAGACGCCGGTGTAACGTGCAATCGTCGCGGGCGCGCGGGTCACGACGCGTTACATCGCCCGGCCCGTCCGCGTAAACCCGTTTACGAGGACGGCGGGGCCGAAACCGCGCGAGCCCGTCTTATCTTCCTGGGTATATTACACGATTGCCTCGCTTATTTTTTTCCTGCCGAGACCGATAATCCGCTCGTTATCCCGCGTATTAAGGATGTTTGTTGTTTGCACCGCCGGTAGACGGTGGCGAAGAAAGTTGCCCGCGATAACGGTTCGCGGGCCGCCGCGCGCGAATTCTCGTTAGGCGGTTTCGCTCCGTGATCGAGAATCGAGATCGTAATTTCGCATTTGTCGCCTCGGTTAATCCCACCTCGAGAGCCTCCCTTCCCCCTGCCCCGTCCAGCGAGGGAAGCTCACATTGTTCTTAATTCGCGGTCGATTCCGTTTTTCGAGCGTTCGTCCGTCGGGGTGGCGAATCATCGATCTATACGGGAGATAGTGGGTACAATGACCCGGCGTGAAGTTGCATTTTGTAATGAAGGATGTATACGGCCGCCGTCACCGTCGCCGCCCCGCCGCCGCTGGCGTTGCGAAAGTCGTTTTCCCGCGAATCGCGAATACAACAATCGAATAACGTGACGCGAAGTATAACATGCGGCCAGGCGCGTAACGTGCACTCCGATTTAATAGACGGCTTTGCGCCGTAATGGACGTTCTTTTACTCTGCCAACTGCCAATTAACATCCCACCGAGTCACCGAACATAATGACAATTTGAGAGTACGCCAGAAATGAACGATAAGAGAGAGGGAGAGAGAGACTCTCCAGCGCCGTACGGCGGCATCGCGTAATAGCGAGCCGCTGCGATTTTGTAAACGACACTTTTTCTGCTTGCGCAATCGCCCATCGGGAAGCAATCACCGCGCGCGATTGTCATAGAAGTCTCGTTACGCCGCGATATCTTCTTATCGTGCGCGAAACTATCGAACGGCAAACTGCATCTTTAAGGACGCATTGCCCATAAGTGCCGTATTTTCAGTGGTGCATCGAAGGAGAACCACTCGTAAATTTTAATATTTTTCGAGCGAAATTATGTTTGTTCATACTTATTTCGCTGCCCAAATAATAAATGTTGATTTGAAACAAAGTTGTGACAGGCGTGTATACACAGATACGAAAATATTTTTTTAATTTTCCTTGTCAATGCAATATTTATGCATCGGTTGACTTAATATAGATGCACAGATAATAGAAAGAGGTGTGTAAATATTGAAATATGTGCGTATGTATATTTATTTCGAAATTTTGGTTGTGATTGGTAAATGCAATGTAAATCAATTTGTAATTTTTTCATAATTTTTTCACTATATTGACTCGTGGGCAATATATTTTTAATTCGATGGTCAATCGATGGTCACAAAAAGTCGCGACATTTTTTTTTAGACATGTTTCGGGGTCGTCGTATCTCAATAGGAAAATTTATTTCTCAGTTATTCTCTGAACATACGTTTTCCTACATATATTTTCTTACGTATATTTTTCTTGAATGTATACATGTGTACGAAACTCATCGAAAAAAAAGTGTTGTAACCTTTTTGTGACTGACCATACTGTGAGGTCCGATAGGTTTTTATTCATTTTCAGAAAACACCAGCTAACAGTAATATTATATCCCAGGTAGCATAGGATAGTCTATGAATATTCTTATAAAATATAAATGTTCTTAATTCTAGAATATCTGAATCAGATATTTTATAAATACACGTAGAATATTGTAGGCAGAGAGATTCGTATATTCATAATAGAAGAGAACGGTCTTAGAACGTTCATGAAATTCATTTACTGCACACATGTGCGATACATTGAGCTAATTGAAAAAGAAGTATATGATCTTACATATATTCACATACACTATTGACATACGTAATACTTAATTGGAAATTGATATCTGCACGTGTACGCACGCAACACTGCTTTTGTCTCTTAGATCCAAGACTCTCCCCTCCCTCCACAGCCTACAACATTCGATAAAGTATGCATATTTGTAAAAAATTTATGGCAGATCATTTGAATATATTAAGAATACATTATGAATATATATACATATATATATATATATATATATATATATATATTTATTTATTTATTTATTTATTTATTTATTTATATATATAACAGTGTATTTAGCATATTATATAAATGTACAAATATTCATAAAGAAAGTATTCATAGAATATTTATAGAATATTTCTGCGCTATCAAAGATCAATATTATAATTTCTAATTCAACAATATACGCATTGTACATGACAGTTACATTGTTGAGTGGGAAAATTATAATATTGTCGCAATGTTACTATTCACTGATGTTTATCGGAATGTGAGAGAAAATTATAAATATTTCTCTTCAAACTTTCTCTTGAAACGCGGGAGTACGCGCATATTCTTTTGCTTCGTTTTAATTATAAGAGAGACAAGAGAAGACGGATCAAGAACAGATGTTGTTTACACTTCGATACTGCGTGCTAATTCTCATTTTACTATGAATAATACAGCAGATCATCATCATAAAAGTGTGCCGTCTTCCGTATTCGTGAGTGCAAGGACGATGAAATAATACGCGCTTCTCTCTCTCTCTCTGTCTCTTTCATTATCTCTTTCTCTCTCTCGATTAGCGCGATGTATTGTGCTATACCTATAATAACGACTTAATACAAAAGATTAACAACGAAGTTGTTCTATTCTAGAATTCTAGTTCTATCTGAATGATGGTCCAGGACCTATCGACCACTATAGTGTCTCTTTATTAAGTTAATAAATTAAAGAGATTCTATATGTTACAACACTAATTGTTAAATAAATATAATTTCTCTCATATGGAACGTATCTACCTTGAGGAGCGAAAGATCTATCGCCCAAGTCTTGAAATCGAGACCGAGGTGTCTCTCTTCGGAATTCGATATTATTACGAATAGCGCGTAAGCGATCCGCTCGGAATGTCTTTCGTAATATTTTGTAAAAACACGACAATATCGGCATATGGCGTGTGTTTTTGTTCTCATCGCGTCACACGGGCCATCCGGGCGTCGTACGCGCGGCGCGCGCCGGATCAGGCGAATTATTATACGAACTGCAAATATTCGTTATCTGGCGAATTATGCAAATTAAACGTATCGCAAACATCAATAATTATGTAAATTGTGTTAATCGTAAATAATTCGGTACAAATGCGATTCAACGTGGTGCGCGATCGAGCGCGAGAGAGTAGGGTTGCCACGCGGTTTCGAGAGAACGAAATGGTGGGGCGCGCGCGTTGCGCGACAAGGTTAGTGGCAGAGGGTGGGGAGGGGTAGGGGTAAAGAGACGAGGGTAGGGACACGATACGTCAGCGCGAGCGCCTCGATATCGCACGGAATCACGGACGGCGATCAAACATGGCGATTCAGTCGCTGTTTACGGTACGGGCGTATGGTTCATAGTGCCGCGGCGGTGAGTATCGGTGCACGAGAGGGACTTTCTAACGGTGATACGCGCTTGTGCCATCGCAAATTGACGGATTTTGCTTGATATCGCAAGTATGGAGATTCATAGGCCGGAAAGGACGACGGAGAAAGTGTCGGGCGGCATTGATGGTGACACGATGGGCGTAAAAGCGGAGCCGATGCCTGCGGCGTCATCGCTTCCAGTCCCGAAGCTGCTCCCGCGATCTGTCGGCGGAAACACGAACAACTTGGTCTGCTCCGACGCGAACAACTTGAAGAACGTTGTAAGGACCCCTGTGATTTTACACGTGATTATACCCGCGTTATATTCGACGTGACGCGTTGCGCGCGGAATCTCGCTGATCGCTAATTACCCTGCCAAGTGAGATGCATGTGGCGTTGATTATTCGTAATTCCAAAACCGATGAATAGAGGCACCTGCAACACAGCGGGAAGAAAAATCGCTAAATGAAAGACACGTGCGTCAATGTGTTGGAAAAAATCAAATGTATGCCAGAAATAAGATAAATTTTATTTTTATTGATATTTTTCACATGGAATATATTCTTACTTAACTTTAGACACTTAACTAATATTTACTTCATTCAAAAAAAAATGCATAACATGTATGGAGTTGAATCTTCTTACCACTTATCTGGCATCTCTCTCTTTAAAGAAACACTTTAATTTCTACAGTTGAATCATAAAGACTAGGGGAGTAGAATGTACGAAAATTTCTGTTTATATGTGTGTGCATACTTTCCATGAATTGCAAGATGAAGCAATAGGTCTGTTTGTTTGCGCTGCACCGCTGAACTAATGCAATAAGTTGAAGCGAGACAAGTATATGTTTTCTCACTTCAGCTTATTGCACTAGTTCAGCGGTACAGCGTAAACGAACAGATCTAATATTATATCATGGTCCTTCTAGTTCTATCTGAATGATGGTCCAGGACCTATCGACCACTATAGTGTCTCTTTATTAAATTAATAAATTAAAGAGATTCTATATGTTACAACACTAATTGTTAAATAATATAGACAATATTACAGCATTATATGTGTGATGATATAATATTACGGCAATATTACATCAGTTAACACATTTCCTGCCACGTGTCCAATTTTTGGTACATGTCTATCCCTATGCCAACTGATGTTTTTGTCATTAAGGGGCAAAATACAGTAAAATGAATTGTCTTATCACCTACATTCATATAAAATAATTATAACACATTCGTCAAGTTTCCCCACAATATCGTTTCTGCTGTATGAGAATTGAAAGTTGTGTAAAAACGGTCTGGCAGGGAACGTGTTAACTAAGTGCCAAATATGTTTTCCTCTCCTTTCTTTCGAACACGAATTCTGCAATTGGTCCTTCTAATTCTATCTGAATGATGGCCCAGGACTTATCAATCATTATAGTATCTCTTTATTAAGTTAATAAATTAAAGAGATGCTATATATTATAATATTAATTGTTAAATAATATAGGCTTTTATCTCATGGGTAAGTATGATGTATTGTGAATAGAGAGAGTTTAAAATAGTGTACTTGTAAAGGTATTTGGCGAATTTATTCCATGATATACTTTTATTGTTTTACAGCATCTGAAATCACTTGCGAATACCTATGGAAGACTAGAGAGTGGTAGCGGTAGTGGTGATCAAGATGGTGGTCAACACGAAGATGGTGTGGACATCGCAGCGAAGAAAAGAAGAACTCGCAGGGGTAAACCCAAACATAGGAAGTTGAAGCCATATTCGAAGCAGCAGTTATCTTGCCAGCAACATATGCGCAGTAGATACATCGGACGAATTGTAAAAACTGGTAGAACACAGCCACCGGCTCCGTACAATACCACACAATTTCTCATGGACGATCACAGTGATCTACCTGATCTCGAGCAAAAATTATCGGAAGCTGCGTCGTTGGAGGTACCTGCCATGTTTCAGAAGCCACCGGCGCCGCCGCGTACTCGCGATTCAAGTTTTAGCGTTGATTCTGATGAGGATTACTTTTACTCATCTCCGGAAGACGAGGAGGAATTCTTAACGAAGGAATTCTCGAATGCGTACGAAGATCTTCACGCGGAGAGGTTGAGCAATCTGTCAAAGTCCCAGCTGATACAGGAATATTTGCAGTTAGAGACTAGAATGGACGTATTGCGGCAACGCGGTAAGAATTTCCATCAGATGGAGGAAAGGGACGCGGAAAATAAGACGACTGATTCGGAGACAGCCAAGAAGCTGAAGCTGTGTCAGCAACGGATCGATGACCTGTTGCAGCAAAACGAGCAGTTAAGACGAGAGAACGAGGTGTTGCGCACGAAAAAAATATTACGCGCCAGCAGCTCGGAGTCGAGCGTCGACAGCGAAAGCGACAGCGACAGTTCTAGTAATAGCAACAAGAGTAGATGCAGTTGCTCTCTCTCGAGTCCCGGGACGTCCCCTAAGAATGCTTACAACAACTCTAGGCTAGATAATAATTGCAAAGCGGATAGTAAGGAAGACAGTTGCGGTACCGGTCAGAGCGACGGCAGTCCCCGAGCATGCACGACACCCACCAATCTCTCCAACGGTCATGCGACTATGAGCGAAACCAAAAGTTTCCCCACCTAAGTAGATTCTGAACAGGATTTCATCACATGTGTCGTGTTCGATATCGTACCCTCATTTGTAGAAGGGTTCGAACATGCGTTTCCCAAATTTCGGAAGTCGACGTCCAACGGGAGAATTTTTTCTAATATTTTAGGCTTCCGCCGTGTTTTGACAAATATTTCGTAACGAGGGAGAATTTGCTTTTGATTAATTTTCACACGATAGGTTCTCTCATTGGATATGTCGGATATGCGTCTCGAAGTGCATGCAGAAGACAGTGTTCGAACCGTTTTGCAAACGAGTATACATAAAGCTCGGAAGTTACCGACTGCGTTTAGAAGATGTAATGATTGATTGCCCACTAGTGGGGATATTCTAAAGCCATCATGAGTGAAAAAAAATTGTATTTGAAAATATAATCTTTATTAATCTCACACAGGCGATAATAATCATTGATCATTTAATTGATGACTGTCAGTTGAACCGCGCCCCTCCTTCAAGATCTTTCCATTCGGCGGTCGCTAAACGCTGAGAATGAAGATATTGATGTAAATTGAATTGTCAGCGGTGGATTGTGTGTGTGTGCGTGTGTGTGTCAACGGGCACCCGAATGGAGAGATTGTCAACCTTACGAGACGGTAATGACCGAGCATTTGATTGTGGAGCTACCACTAGAAGCCATGCTATATGCTACTATAACGATTCTATGTATCTCTCAATAGCAAAAAAACCTCGTTTTCCGATGAATTTTGTTACAACTATGTGACATTCGAGTCTTTCTCCCGATAACTACTAAATCTCATTAGGCTATCTTTTAATATCCCGTTGCAATTAGCTGGTCTATTCTCCTTTTTTTCTTTCAAGACTGTGTCGCGTATATATATATGTGTAACGATACGATAAATATATATAGAATTAATGTTCCATAGGAAACCTACTCTCTTTCGCGTCTGTTTGTACTGTTCTGTTATCTGCTTGGCGAAGTCTATATTCACAATCATTATACGTATTTCGTGCATCGCTTCTGTCCCTCCTCTTTAATACCTAGTATTCTGCCACGATCGAATTAATCGCGTCTTTCAACTTGAGTTTCTCTCTTCTTTTTTTGCGCATTGTCAGTAACGAATGCTGAGTTTATAAATTGACGGTCTACAGACCATCAACTAACAGAAACCTATGTGCATACGTACATAGATAAAACGGAAGGTACAATTGTTTACATATTGGAAGTATTATATTAGCGGAGTAAGCTATATATATATATATATATGTATATGTATATATATATATGTATATGTGTGTATGTAACACGATGAGATTGTGATGCACTATATCGTAGAAACTTTACGATCTTTGTACAATTGTATAGTTTTAGAAAGTAAGACGAAATGTTAGTTTATGGTCTGAAAAAGTGTAAGATATATATATGATACATGTTTTACATTTCCGATTTTTAATAAATCTTAAGTTTCGTGTTCGAATACTTTCACATTTCTGCGAATAGGAATGCCGTATTTTTGTAAGTAAAACACCCATCTTTCCCTGATTTCCTAAAAATTACTCGTATATAGTTTCTTTTTAATTATTTTGAAGAATGTTACATTTCTTAAGGAAAAATGTTCTAAACCAAAGCTTTGAAAAACATATTTTATTGAGAGAAATGTTTATCAGAAAATTAGTCCAAACATATTAGTAGATTAAAAGGAGAAAAATAGAAATTTCTCTATTTGAAATATTCAAATATATATTTCAAATATTATCGACGACCGATTGGTCAATTGAAGTGTTCGACTCGATACATGAATATCAAGCTTGAAAGCGCTCATTGCGGAGCGGCTTGATAGGGTTGAACTGTGACCAACTTCATGGCGCGATAAATTGAAAAACACGGAGGCAGCGCTCGGTAGAATTTGTGATTGGGGTAACGGAGGTATTTACAGTCGTACAGAGAAATATATTATGAAAGCAATGTCCCATCATTACGTAGTGACGGCTCACAAACCGACAGCTGTCAATGCTTGCGTGACCGGTAAGTAATTAAATCTCGCATAATTATGAGGCGAAAGTTATATTGCTGCATAATTGCTTTGTCGTATTTCTGCAAGGTAATTTCACATCACCTACGGATTTGAATCTGATACTGGCCAAAAATGTGCGTTTGGAGATATATCTCGTGACGCCGGAAGGCCTAAGACCCTTGAAGGAAGTCGGGATCTACGGTAGAATAGCTGTTGTAAAATTTTTCAGACCGCCGGTAAGGTTATGCTGTACTGGACTCTGCCTGCTTGCCAGAAACTTGTATATAGTTTATATTTAGATACACGTTCTGTTTACATAGTTTCCTTATCTCCGATCACAGAAAGAGGCAATATTACTTCAATTTTCAGCAGTTTCTGTCAATTAGATCTTAATATCTTTCAATTGTATTTATCATCTCTGATGCATTATATGGATATCCCAGACAACCGACGACCAATTTTCTCAAAGATGTCTCGCAAAAAATGATTATGTACAATTCAAAATAACTTATATACAGAATCTATTGTTAAAGTTTACATGTGAACATATCTATGATATATCATTGTTCTAAATTACTAGGTCAAAGATATGCTCAAGCTATGCTGTGTTTAAGTTACATGATAATATTTGTTAACTTATCTTTACAGCATGAAAAAAAGGACCTTCTGTTTCTGTTGACAACACGGTACAACGCTATGATTCTGGAATGTATCGGCGAAGGTGAAGATATAGAAATTATAACAAAAGCACACGGCAATGTCGCAGATCGTATCGGAAAGGCTTCAGAAACTGGAATTAAAGCAGTAATCGATCCTAAAGCGCGAGTAATCGGTCTCAGATTGTACGATGGTCTCTTTAAGATCATACCGTTGGACAAAGACAATCCGGAACTCAAAGCGTCTTCGATTCGTATGGACGAACAGCAGGTGCAGGATGTCAATTTTCTACACGGATGCGCTAATCCCACCTTAATTTTAATTCATCAGGACATTAACGGTAGACACGTGAAAACACACGAGATTTCCTTGAGAGACAAGGAGTTTGTTAAAATACCATGGAGGCAGGACAACGTAGAGCGAGAAGCTATGATGGTCATTCCTGTACCCTCTCCTATCTGTGGTGCAATAATAATAGGACAGGAGAGTATTTTATATCATGACGGTACGACGTATATTGCGGTGGTACCTCCAATTATAAAGCAAAGCACCATTACTTGCTACGCCAAAGTGGATAATCAGGGGCTGAGATACTTGCTGGGCGACATGGCCGGCCACTTGTTTATGTTATTCTTGGAGCAGGAGAAGAAGCCCGACGGCACACAAGTGGTGAAGGACTTAAAAGTAGAGATGCTGGGCGAAATCAGTATACCCGAATGTATAACCTATTTGGACAATGGCGTGATATTTGTCGGCAGCCGCCTCGGTGATTCGCAGCTGATAAAATTAATAACAAAGGCGGACGAGAATGGCTCCTACTGCGTGCCGATGGAAACCTTCACTAACCTCGCACCTATCGTCGACATGGCCGTGGTGGATCTCGAGAGGCAAGGCCAGGGGCAGATGGTCACGTGTTCCGGTGCCTTCAAAGAAGGCTCTCTGAGAATCATCAGGAACGGCATAGGTATCCAGGAGCACGCGAGTATCGACTTACCGGGGATCAAAGGCATGTGGGCCCTGAAAGTCGGCGGCGGGAATTTCGACAATACGCTGGTGCTGTCGTTCGTCGGACAAACCAGAATCCTGACTCTGAACGGCGAGGAGGTCGAAGAGACCGACATACCGGGCTTCGTCGCTGACGAGCAGACGTTCCACACGGGCAACGTCACGAACGATCTCTTTATTCAAATAACCCCGACGTCCGCCAGATTGATCTCGCACGAAACCAAAGTGGTCGTCTCGGAGTGGGAGCCGGAAAATAAGCGAACCATCAGCGTGGTAGCCTGCAACGGCACGCAGGTCCTTTGCGCCACGGGTAACGATCTGTTTTACATGGAGATCATATGCAACCAAATCGTGCCCAAGGGATTCGCCACTCTGCAGCACGAGGTGGCGTGTCTGGATATTTCCCCCTTGGACGGCATCAGCGAGGCCAAGATCGTCGCTGTGGGCCTGTGGACGGACATATCAGTCCGTATCTTGACTCTACCCGGCCTGGAAGAGATCAATAAGGAGCTCCTCGGCGGGGAGATTATACCCAGGTCCATTCTGATGACCTGCTTCGAGGGTAACACGTATTTGCTTTGCGCACTGGGCGACGGTAGCATGTATTACTTCACTTTGCACAAACAAAATGGCATACTATCCGATAAGAAAAAAGTCACCCTGGGGACTCAACCTACCGTTCTGCGGACCTTCCGCTCCTTGTCCACGACGAACGTGTTCGCGTGTTCGGACAGACCTACCGTTATTTACTCCTCCAATCACAAGCTCGTCTTCAGCAATGTCAATCTGAAGGAAGTGAATCACATGTGCTCGCTGAACGCGGAATCTTATCCCGACAGTCTGGCGTTGGCGACCGACAGCACCGTCACTATCGGTACGATCGACGAGATCCAGAAGCTGCACATAAGGACCGTGCCGCTCGGAGAGTCACCGCGAAGAATCGCCTATCAAGAGAGTTCCCAGACCTTCGGTGTGATCACGATGCGCGTCGACGTTCAGGAAAGCAACGGCGTGAGCGTCGTGAGACATTCAGCGTCCACCCAGGCGGCCTCCACGTCCAGCAGCAGCCACATCACGTCGCACAACAAGCCCAGCGGGCATACGGCCAGCGAAGTTGGCCAGGAGATCGAGGTTCACAATCTTCTCATTATCGACCAGCACACCTTCGAGGTCCTGCACGCGCATACTCTGATGCCCACCGAGTACGCGCTATCATTGATCTCGACGAGGCTAGGGGAAGATCCCACCTCCTATTTCGTGGTCGGGACTGCGCTCATCAATCCGGACGAGACCGAGCCGAAGATGGGCAGGATATTGTTGTACCACTGGAGCGACGGTAAACTCACGCAGGTCGCGGAGAAGGAAATAAAGGGCTCGTGTTATTCTTTGGTTGAATTCAACGGGAAACTCCTGGCGAGCATTAACAGCACCGTACGCCTGTTCGAGTGGACCGCCGAGAAGGAGCTCAGACTCGAATGTAGTCACTTCAATAACATTATAGCGCTTTACTTGAAGACCAAAGGTGACTTCGTCTTGGTCGGTGACCTCATGAGATCTTTAACGCTCCTGCAGTATAAAACCATGGAGGGTAGTTTCGAGGAGATAGCCAGAGATTACAATCCCAATTGGATGACGTCCATCGAGATACTGGACGACGATACTTTCTTAGGCGCCGAAAATTGCTTCAATCTCTTCGTGTGTCAGAAGGACAGGTATGTCCCCGGTGTATAAAAATAGAAAGAAACTTACAAATTATTATGCGAAAAATTCTCGGTAAGCTTTGGATGTCAATGGAAACTGCTCTCTTTCCAGCGCCGCGACTTCCGAGGACGAGAGGCAGCAGATGCAGGAAGTAGGTCAGTTTCACCTGGGTGACATGGTCAATGTTTTTCGGCATGGCTCGTTGGTGATGCAGAATCTGGGGGAATCGAGCACGCCTACTCTGGGTTGCGTACTGTTTGGGACCGTCAGCGGCGCTATCGGCTTGGTCACGCAGATACCGTTCGCCTTTTACGAGTTCCTACGCAACCTCGAGGAACGACTGAACAGCGTGATCAAGAGCGTAGGCAAGATAGAACACAATTTCTGGAGAAGTTTCAACACGGAACTCAAGATCGAGCAGTGTGAGGGGTTTATAGACGGCGATCTGATAGAAAGCTTTCTCGATTTGAACCACGACAAGATGGCGGAAGTTGCGATGGGCCTTATGGTAATTCGATCACATGTGTTGTTGTTTCTTGGGGGGCTTCCTGTGATGTGTGTAAATAAAAGTATCGAAGAATCGTCATCCTTCGAAAGAGGACATATTGAAGTCAATAATGTGCTCGGCAGGAAAATTCAAATATTGTATGCAGCCTCTTAAGCGTGTGTATGCGCGCTGGGTTAACATCTTAGGCTTAATTTAAGTGTGAGTCTCGATCCATCTTGTTGTATCTTTTCCACAGATCGATGACGGCAGTGGTATGAAGAAAGAAGCGACAGTGGATGATCTTGTAAAAGTGGTCGAGGATCTTACGAGGATACACTAAACCAACGTATATCCCATAGATAAGCGGTACTTCAAACCTGTGAAAAGTTTGCGAGGATATACCAGAAGAGGATAGAAATGAGGAACGAAAGTGTTTATACAGTTGTCTTTTTGTTATCAGTGGTATGTGAGAATAATATTCGTGACGTAAGTTTCTCTCTCTCTCTCTCTCTCTCTCTCTCTCTCTCTCTCTCTCAAGAGGTTCTTTCATATATATATCTGAATATAACGCGGTATCGTTAGCAATATTGAAAGCGCAGCAAAATTAGCATACCCTTTACGCGCATCTCCGCCGCACCGTTACTTAGCACCCGTGCCGTAAGCCGTATTTTTTTAGGATTTGTGCATGTGATGTAGAAGATGCAGTGGGGGGAGGGGGCAAGATCCGCTTATAAATTAACTTCAAAACGTGCTCGCATTTGTAGTACCTTTATATCTTTGTAAGATTGAGTGTAAATAAAAGGAATTATCCATTTTGAGGTAACGTTCTTTCTCGTCATTCGCAACGACAATCGCGGCGATAATCATTTGTTGGCATTGAGAGCGGCCTTAAGCGTGTCAGGGTCGAATAACCAACTGCGCAAATCCTCCACGCCCTGGCCAGTCATTCCGCTGGTCTCTAACACAGTGATCCTCTGCGTCACCTCTCTTTGTAAACGCGCGTATTGCAACATCAGCAGAGCCTCGTTCCTCATTTGACGATACGAAACGTCCATCTTGTTCAGGATGAGCGCTACCTTGACATTTCGCAATCTCGGCTCCACGAGAAAAGAATAAAGTAACACGCCCGCCGCGCTTATTTGGCAGAGATTGCTGGTGTCCACTACGTAGATGATCTTGTGAATCTGGCGAAATAAGTTTCGCAACATTACGCGAAATTATGCGTGGTAGTTCGTTTATTTCGCCTCGGGGCGATCTTCTTGTCTCATTTACCTTGTCGAAGTAATGCTTCCATATAGGTGCCATGTTACCTCCGATTTCTTTAATTATCATATCGAATTCACCGGTAGCGTTTCTTACGGTAAACAAATTTATCCCATTGGTGGGCACAGTGTGAGTCGCGTCGTCGATGTCGTCCCCTTGGAGACTTTTCATGAGGAGAGTTTTGCCCGATTTAAACGGTCCGAGGCACAGACACATTGCTTTATGTGTTTAAAAACTAATCGATTATATTGTATTATATTGATTTTGTATCTAAAACGTGTTCGTGGATAGTGCAGCTAACATATGCCGCATTTTCTCGGGACTTACACGACTGCGGGCAAATATTGATTTAACAAAACTCGTCGCCTGAATGACGCATCCCTACCAACATTGAAACGAAACGATAGTTAAGACGTACCGTTGTCAAAAATACGTTGAATCTACAAATCTAACGGTTCTTTTGTAATCGGTGACACACGATGATTTTGTATCACAAGTTCTATATTTATTAAACATTGGATGCTATCAAAATCAGAGAAAACAATCTGGATTACAAACTTTTCTATCTTTTTTTTTTTCACATACATTCTAAAGAATATTTTTTCACGACACATTTTGCGACTGTATGCCATAATTAATGTGTTTTTCATAAAAATTTTAGCGTGAATTGTAGCTCGTCACTTCAAGAAATTAATACAGTATGGGGAGATTATCGTGAGTTCTCTCGTTACAAATTAATTATATTTACATTTACAAGGTGTATAGGTATGAACATCATATACATTTGTTATTAGGTGCGAAAAATATATTATTCAAATTGCACTTATAATTTTAACTTTCTATTGAATAATTTTGACTAACGAAACGATAACGATTTCTGCTGCTCTATAAAAAAAATTAGTTTTCTAACAAAAACCCTCTTTCGTCATACTTGAATTGAAAACTCGAGGAAATTTAACGCAATAGAGGGTCGATGTCGAATTACAATCTATATAATGGCAGTAATCTCCTAACGCTGTACATTTTTCAATTTCTTGAACAAATAGCATGCATGAAGTGTCATTCGTCTAGTATACAGAAATAACATACATAACATAGAATTGAATAAAATAATCTTTTCGTTTTAAATTCTAAATTTGCACACTTGTCATCCTNAGTATGAATGTAATAACGAAAATTGACTCCCCTTCGTATAACATATATAGACAAACACTGATACCGTTGATTCTTTTGGTATCGACTCTCTTTAAATTATATTGTCAATTATATAATGTTATGTTAATAAATAAGATTGCTTATCATACCACATAATGTACATCACAATAAAGTAAAAGTTGAAATGCAATTAGCGATGGAATCAAGTTTAACGTGTACATGTATCTCCCTCAATTCAACTTTTGCGTCTAGTTTCAGTAAAATCGAATGATTTTTGCAATCATGTACAATTTTGTACGTACTTACAAAAATTGTAATTTGTGTGTTACGTATTTGTAAAGAATTTATTGTAATCCCATTTAGATGTTCAGGAATACTTGTAAAAATTTCAGATCTTCTTTAAAAAATTCCGATCGTGTATCGTTATATTGTTATATCGCGAACTATTTATATTGAATTCGATTATATGGCACATCATTTTCACTTACAAGTGCTGTTACGCTTCAAACCAAATATAACAATTCGTATACTGCATATAGTTGATAATATATTACTTGAAATGTACTTCATTCCATTTCTAATGCATTCGTTTCTATTGTGCAGAGACTGTATAATAGCCTTAATATATATATATCGCAGTTTTATATACATGTACACAAATACATATATAATATATATGTATATATTACTGCGATATGTATCACATATTTGAACTATACATAATTATTACATGGTTATGTATAGCCAAAGATTAAGGTTATTATGCCGGCCTCTGTGTGAATATGTAATATGCTAAACATTAAAGAACATGAAGATTGATGAACATGATACAATGTTTCTTGAGAATATACAGAGTAACAGATCTTTGTGAGGTACAATAATGAACAACAACATTATGTAACAGGGATTTATGTAAATTATTAAACGTACCTATGACTGCTACTTATGCCAGTCTCATCAGTTTTAATCATTTTAACATCAGTCAAAACAAAATTCGCTTAATTTCCACGTATGAATGTCAGAATACTTTTAAGTGAATAAAGAATCGTAAAAATCTGCCGAATATTCTCGCGATCCGTAAGTGATAATCTCCGTTTTTCTTTTTTTTTTTTGTATCAGCTCAATCTAAACTTTTTACAAATATACATTTTACACATCATTTTGTGTAAATCTTTTCTATTTCATACATGATTGGTAACAAGTAATTTCGAAGTCGTTCCTTCTTCACTATAAATAGTTTTTACGTGCTATAACAATTAAAAACAGCTATTTTATTTTAGCGTCTTATACATCGCATGTCGTATTAGGCTCGAAATAAAAATTATAAATAAAATAACTTCGTAAAATATAATGAAAGTTATTAATAGTACTGATGGATAACGCTATTTATAGCGAAGAAGCTGGAATATACAGAGATACGTCTGTAGGGTAATTATAAATTTCAAAAGGATGTTTATTAATCGGTTGTTTTTGCTTTACTCGTTTCTCTGGTATCACTCGTATCTAGTATATTTTAGGGTGTAATCCACTAGACGCTTTATAGGCTTTGAAGCGTTTTCTTTATACAGGATTAATGACGTTATTTGTAATATTAGACATAGCTAGAATGCTCCGAAGTGTCTAATGGATCTTACCCATTGGTATCATTTCATACGAATTGTGCATTGACTGGCCGCTTTTCGACATTGGTTAATTCTTGAAGTAAAGATTGTTTCTTCCTAAGCGTGCTATGTTACATTACAGAGCAAGGCACGCACTTGAGGTGGCATTTGCCACGAATGCAAACGCTTGTCTTTACTGCCTGCTATAATCTGAAAAAGAAAGCGAACAGTCAGAAAACTCGACCGGTAGGTAGATCCAGTGTGCTATTCTCGAGTGAAGAACTTTAATTAAATATCTATTAATAAATGTGTAGATATGTGTGTTACAGTATTAGATATTTCTTTCATACGTACCTTATTATTTACAACCTCTATACTTAATAACATATTCCCTGGACCGGGTATACTGCACACTAGTTTGTGATTCTACAAACAGATTTAACGGATGATGTGTGTGTAAATGTGTGTGTGTGTGTGTGTGTGTATATATGTATGTATGCATTTTTGTATGCATGTATGTATGTATGTATAATCACAATTGACGACAATGTATTTTCCGATACAAAAACACATCGCTCACCTTCGTATCGAAAACATAAATATTGCCGTCATAACAGCCTGCAAACAGTAATTGTTTATAAATTCGCATGCATACGATGCCAACGCCAGCGTCATATTGAATCGTTTGTTCACCCAACTGCAATCATATTTCAGGTGTGATTCAAGGTGATACAAGCATTCCTATTTCAGAAGGTGTAACTCAGTGGCTACTACTGTCACTCACCGTGAAATCGAAAACGTTTATCGACGTGCTACTCGTGCCGCAATAGATCAAATTATGATGGCGCATTAAACTGTAAACCGTATGACTCTTCTGGCCGCTGATCGTACGAAGGAACAAGCCGGTCTGCGCATCTCGTATACTTATCGGATGATTTCGAGATGCTACAATAAGGATTCGTCGCGGACCCTCGTTCGTCGCTTTGAGTGCAAGCACTGACTTGTCCGAAAACTGTATACTAGCTCCCTTAACCGCGCCAGCCTGTAGACAAATTGTATTTATATATATATATGTATTGTATGTGTGCTAATAAAAAAATATATAGTATAAACACAAGTATTGACGTGTAATTAATTATCGTGTAAATCAAAATATTCGACGGACACGTTTATTTTACGTAGGAGCAATTCGGAGAGACAAAAGCGCTGCCAATTCAGCCATGAAAACCAAAAAGCGACCGGAAGAAAAAGTAAAAAAAAAAAAAATTACTCTTCAGACGATTCCATTTCGGACGATAGTGAATTTTTTAGCGACTCGTCAAGTGACGAAAGACGGCTGGAGTGACTGGATGGCAGCGTCGCATTAGCCGAATCAACAACTCACCTTGATATGGTATCGCGAAACGTGTCCCGATTTAGTGCCAATGAAGATCATCCCCCACGCTTCGTCCATACACTGAATCGGGCTGTGTATCTGCGCCGGATACCTTACCAATGCACCAGTCTGAAAGGCAATCCGTCAGTTCTCCGGAAGACGCAGAGAAACGGCAAGTTGTCCGGCGTCTAAAGCCCTGATGGCAGGATGAGGCTTACCTTTATGTTGTAACAACGTAGTGTGCCGTCTAAAGAGCCAGAATACATAAGCTCATCGTCCACGGCGCTCTCTTTGTACAATAGCAGACAGGTAACAGCAGATTTGTGGCCCTTATAGATATTCAGTATTCCATTGGACGTCTGGCTGTACCTGTATATCTTACCGTCCTCGCTCGCGGCCAGGAACGAGTTCTTGAAGACCTGAAAACAAGGATCGTCGCATTCAACGTTCGCCTTCTCTCTTACGTGGAATGCGACGCTTCTGCTTCGTCAGATATAATCACCTTGATGTCCAAGATAGGACCCTTGTGGACGGTGTACTGCGTTCTCACCGGTTCCTGCTCGTCGGTGTCAGTTTCGTGCGAGGTGAACGTCTCAACTTGATCGTCGTCGGTGCTCCTGGCGATCGGTTTCTCGTGCAAGATCTCGATCTCGATCTCGGGCTTGTCTTTGTCGGCCGGCTTCTCAGCGGCTTTCAACGAGGGACTCTTCTCCGGGACTGCGGCGGGAATGATCGCAATATCTGGATACACTGACGTGTACGTCTGCACGTAAGGATTCACGAGGGTTATCCCGAGTCTCTGCAGAGCCTCGGGATTGGTGTTTGGCTGAAGAAGAGTGTGTTTGCAGTCGACCAACATCACCTTGCAGTTCATCATTTCCCACCGCGTGTGCTGCTTCCTCTTCCTGCCGGTTAACGCGCCTCTCTCCCTCGGCGCCGAGGGCTCCGCGGTGAGTCCCGTTTTCCCGGCCAAATTATCCACCCTGGTCTCAGTCTCGGCTTTCCGGGCGCTCGAGTTCTGCGCCTTTTGCGCGGCACGACCCTTCCTGGCGTTCAACGTGTTCGCGGGCTTCTCGTCACGCATCGTCCAGGTGGGCGACTTGCTGCTGCGACGCGTCCCCGAGTCTCTCTCCTGAGCGTACGACTCCACGGCGCTGCTGTTCGAGTTGTCGTCCTCCCTGCCGGGTCTCTCGTTGTACCTGGAGCTCCTCCGCAGTTCCGTGGGCTCCGTCTTGCTCTTCCTCCTGCGGCTGACGGGCTTCTTGGTGGTGCTCGCCGTTTTGTCGAACGAGAGGCCGGACGACGACGAGGACGACGACGTGGTGTGGTCCGGAGTGCGTTTCCACACGGCGAGTATCTCGTTGGACTCCTCCGACTTCTCGCTGCTTGCGACTGCCAGCGAGACAGGACTGCCCGCGCGTTGCTCGCTGTTCCGGATCTCCTCGAACGTGCGCGAGTTGCTCTCGAAGTTGATCTTGTCGTCCTTCATATCCTCGCTCGCCCGGTAGTCTTGCCTCGAAGCGATCGAGTCGTTCGACAGCTGCTCGGACTCGACGACCGATTTCTTCCGCTCCGTGCTCGCTTTGGCGAAATCCGAGGAGGTCGAGTCGCGCTCCAGATCGATCGTCGGCGCTGCTTCCGCTGCCGGCTTGTCGTACGCGTTGGCAACGACGCTGTCGCCCGACTCCTCGTTCTCGGTGATGTCGGAATACTCGGGGGGCTTCGGTGCGACCTGCGGCGCGAACTCCGCACTCGCCACGCTGTCGGTCGTCTCCTGCCTCTGCAGCTCGCACGCCGGGATGCTGCGTTGGTTGTCGCTCGTGTCCACCGCCCGCTGCTCTGCCTCGGGCGTCTTCGTCCGGCTCTCCCCTCCGTCGGGGTCTCCTCCCTCCGGCTTGTCCGTCTGCGGAGCGACCTGCGGAACTTGCTCGCATTCTGGACTCGCCTTCTTGAACCTCCCAAGATCGGCCCCGAACGCATCCGTCGTAGAGCCCACCAGCTCGCTGCATCGGGCGACGACGCGCTGCGTGTCAGCGAACCTCTTCAGCAACTCCAGACTGAAGTCGTCTTTGATCAAAGTCTTAGGCACGGACACTTTGATGTCGAAGTTCCGCATTGCGGTGGGGTCCACTGAACGTGCGCCGCCCAAAAAGTGACGGGTCTCCTCGGGCGTGACGCTGCTGTCGGGCTCCACGTTACGCTCGTCCGAGAAGGTCACCTTGTTCTGATTCACGGCCGCGAAGTTAGGCTCGTCAGCCTCGGCCGTGTCGTTGCTGTCCTGCCGTTGCGACGCGATCTCTCTTCTCGTGTTTTCCTTCTCCACGCTCGGCCAGTCCGCGTTGGCGTTCGCCTCGGCGTCGACGTAGAATTGGTGCTTGTCGGGCTGCGGCGCGGCGACGGGGACGTCGGACGTCGTCGGGACGTCGTCGGCAGCCTGCGCCTCGCACTGAGCCTCGTAGAGATCCCCCACCCTGTCCTCCGCCACAGCGTTTATCACCTCTTCTATGTTGTCTAAAACGATCTTCGAGTTAGCAGCCAACGCCAACGCCGCCGCTGTTCTACATAGTAAGAAATCTTATTAAATACATATTGTGAAAAACATATTGTGAAATAATACAAATATTATTAATGACCATAATATATTAATCGACACTGACATATAAAATGTGTTATCTTAACATTTGATGTTAGATATCGACTCGACACAAAATATTGAGATAACGAAACATAATATGTTAAATTCAAGGTCGGGTAAGTTCTTTTTAATTAAGTTAAATTAAAAGTTGATCGCTATAAATTAAGTTTACGTTAAAAGTTATATAAACAAAATACTAATTCAGTTAAGAGTTAAATTAAAATAAAATTAGCTTTGTTAAAGTTAAAAGATAATTGTACAAAAGTCAATTATGCAAAGTTATATATGAGATATTTTTTAACTTAGGTAAACAAGTAAATAAGTTAAAGTTAACGCGTGAGAAGTAACGAAGTTTAAGTTAAAATTTAACTCACTTAAATTTAACCAAGTTAAAAGTTACAAAATTTTCACTAAATCATGATTAACTTAACCAACCCTGGTTAAATCAACGTACGAGTATGTTAAAAACACATATTTAACGCAGAAGTTTCGACAAGGGCCGATTTTAATACGCGTGGAAAATATTTCTTACTGTACGGTGTTCCCCTCGTCCTTCCGTTTGCTCAGCGAGTCGAGCAGATCTCGCTTCTGCTGCAACTTCCTGATGTACAACTTGGACAAGGGCAGCTCCTCCTCCTCCTGTGTCAGGTTGTTGACGCTCTTCAGGAAATCGTTCAGCTGCTTCTTCTTCCGTTTGCGCGCAATCGCCTTCAACCTTCGCGACAGGGCCTGCTCCTTCTTGAACGTCTCCTCCAGCAGAGCGAGCCCGGTCGCCTTCCTCTTCTCGTGCAGCTCGAGCACGGTGTTCTGCACCAGGGAGTCCCACGTGCTGTCGTCGGAGTAAATCGACGCAGGCTCCGGCGTGCTGTGCACGTGTGCGATCGACAACTGAGAACTCGCACGCGACGCCTCGGCCGGCGTTAAAACGTCATTCTTCTTGCCGGCGTCGTTCTCGCGAATCGAACGTTCCGCATTCCCCGTCCCGGTTTCGACGGGGTCTCGCGGCTTCGACGGCTCGTCCGGGCTCTTATCCGGCCGAGCGATGGGCTTCGGAGATTTAGCGATTTCGCTGCCGGCGCTTTTGTCAATCTTCGCTGACCGACCGATCTGCTTCTCAGGAATCACCGTAGAATTCGACTCGGGCTTCCCGGACGCGTCCACCGAAGCTTCATTCATATCAGCAGTTTTCTTATCGGTCGCACGAGGCGACGAAGCCGGAGTCGTCCGCCCCGTCGCTTTCTCCTCGTTCTCCCGATCCTCCTCATCACCGTCCTCCTGCGCGACCGTCTGTCCCAGCCACGGTATCTTCTTCCACCTGATCACGGGTGTTTTCATCCTCTGCGTGTAACGCACGATCTCCTCGTCTTCCGAGCTGTGAGACAGGGCGCGTTTTCGCTTGGCCGACGGCTGTCTCGCCGGCAACGGCTGCCTCGCCGACGACGGCTGATTCACCGGTGACGGTGGTTTGCTCGCTTTCGCGCAGCTCATGGCGTCGTTATCCTGTATCAACAGCGACTTCAGGGTAGGCGGCGTTTTAGATCGGATGAGAATCATCTGGTTCGCATCATTTTCAGTGATTCTCGGCGCCGCGTCGCTGCTCGACGCTAAACCCCCGGCCGTCGGCGCGATGTCTTTCTGCAGCATCTCGTGCAGCTTGAGCTTCTCCTTCGTCAGCTCGTGCATCTGCACGTCGATCTCCAGCATCCTCGCCAGAATGACGTCCCGGGCGCTGGTGCCGGGCCTCTCGGACTGCCTCAACCTGAGCTTCTTCACCAGGTTCTTCATGTGCGGCCACTTGGAGCGGTACTTCATGCGCCGGCTCTCCAGCTTGTGCAGGATCGCGCTCTCGCGCTTCCGGCTCTTGTAAATCGCCTCCTTCTCCGCTTTCTTCTGCGCCTTCTTCTGTATCAGCCGGTCCAGCTCCTTCATCTTCCTCAGCTCCACGACCGGGGTGCGCAGCAAGTTAATGCGAGGATTCTTCTTCTCAATATCGAGGACCGGCGTCGAGGAAACAGCGGCGGCGTTCTCGCGAACCGCCTCATCGCTCGCGCCGTATCGCACTGTCGATGATATTTCACCGGCACGTGCGAGCTCCTGCGCGACAACCGACGCATTGTTTTCGGCTCCCTGTGTTTTTGCATCGTCTACGTTTGTTGCCTGCCGCGCCTGACCGGTCGAGTCGTGCGTTTGTTGTGCTTTCCGTAACATTTCGGTCGATATCGACGTGTTATTGGGGGGTCTCGCTCGAGAGCTCTGATTGGTCACCTTCAAGGCGGCCTTGGTCGGCACGTTCAACGCTTTCGGTGCGTCGATCGCGGCCGACGGGCAGTCCGCCAACGCTCGAAAGAGATCGTTAACTTCCGGCGAGCCGACGTCGGGCGGAATGTGCTTGAAGTCGAGCTTCCTCTGGCCCGGCTTCTGAATCCCGGCGTGCGACAATTCCTCGGGGCCGGTATTCGCGATCGTGGTCTCGAAACAGACCGCCGGCACGATGTCGTAGCGAGGGCTCCGCCGGTGATCGGGGAAGTGCACCGGCGCGTCGTCCTTGTTGTCGAACGCGGTGGTGGTGCTTTGCAGACGATCGTCCAGGTAGAACATGCTGTCCAGGTGCTCGTCCGCGCCGAAGCTCGGCAGCTTGTCGATCTTCTCCTCGGATATGCTCGCCTCCAAGTAGATCTGGTTGTTGAGATGCTCCGCACCGGAGATCTCCGGTGACCTCAACGCCTCGTCTGAGGCCGGCGTGTTCAACGCGTCGGACAGGCTGGGGTCGGTCGCGCTCGTCAACTTACTCGCCAGATCCTTCGCCCGATCCTCCTCCTGGATCTCCTCCTCGTTTATAAACGCGGTCTCTTCCAATCCTCTCGCGATCGTCGCGTATCTGTGCTCTATTATCACCCGTTTCTCGATCTCGTGATCCTGCTTCGCGTCGCTTTCGCGTCGCAGCGCGAGCACCTTGCCCGGCGATCTCTCTCCGCCGCCTCGGTTTGCCTTCGAGTCTGGCTTTATATCGCCGCTCTTCTCGTCCGCCGTGAATGCTTTATCTGAAGCAAGTAACAAAACATCGCCGAGAATGACATGGCTGTTCTCGTCGGCGCGAACAGTCGTATCGTTAGCAAAATCAGTGACAGATACCAGCGTCTCGTAATTCGTAAGACGCTTCTCAATCCCAATCTCGTCGAGATTGTCGGTATCTGTTACGTAATTTGCGTTAAAGCAATCTAAGAGTAAACCGCCCTCCTTACCGGCATCCATATCGTCAATGTCGAAATCGACGAACGGAGGCTCGAAAGACATGATGGGCTCCTGAAGAAATCCTTTGAACGGACTACCTACGCTGTCGGGAGAACTGACATCTCCCTCTGCCGCTTGCGGCGGCTTGGATTTCTTTTTCGTTGGCGTCGTTGGCAGCTTAGTGCAACTTTTCGCGAGTGGAGAACCGCCTTCGTCCGCGTTACTCGCAGCATCTGGTCTCACATTGTTTTCATTAGTACCATTAATGCCAACGCTATCTATCGCACATTTATCTGCCAACAGCGGAATTTCCTTACCTTGAGCGTCGTCTAATCGAGAATTCATATCCGACTCGGGAATGCCGCGGCTTGTGTCGCGCTCCACCGCCGAGGTTGGGTTACTCGCGTTTTCTAACAGATTCTGTTCGCTCAGTGCCCCAGCCTCGGTCGTGACTTTCGCCACTTTACACCGTCGAATCTTGCCCGATAACGGCAGACTTTCCCCGTACGTTTTATCGATATCGCTCGAGGGCTCGCTTTCAGAGTGAATTTCGAGCGTCGGTTCGGTCAGGGCGTTGGAATTCCCGCAACTTTTCCTACTTTTAATCTCGACACCCGCGCTATCGCCTCTTACGTTACACGCTTCCTCATTTTGCGCTGCATGAACGAACGAACGTTCCGGCTTATCGATGACAACGTCTTCCTTAGCGGCTCTCGACTCGGTGAGCTTCGAGGAACGCTCTTCCGCCTCCTCGTCGGTGTTACGCGGTAATTCTTTATTGTTATCACCACCATCGGTGTTTCTTGAATCGAGTTTCGTCGCTGTGTTATCGTCGCTCGCTTTGCTCGCGCGAGGGCTCGCCGCTACTTTATTCGATTTGCTCGCGTCGGTATTGTCAGCCTCCCCTTCCTGCGCCGTCTTCGCGTCCTCCGCCTCCTCTACTTTCGCGTGTTGAGTCTTAGCCGGGCTCGCAGATTTCGACGCCGACTTGGGCTTCTTCGCTTTCTGCGCCTTCGCAGCTTCCTTCTTCAGCTTCAGCTCTTTGCTGCCTTCCGACCGAATGTTCTTGAATCTCTTCGGGTCGGGCGGAAGTGTGCCTTGCGCCTTCTTATCGGTCAGACTCTCCTCCACCTCCGGACGTTTCCTGGATCTCGTCGACAGGGCGGTGGGCAACGTCGCAACGTTGGACGTTGGTGCGTCCGACTTCTCATCCTTCGATCTGCGTCGGCCGGTTTTCTTAACGCCTCCGTCGGAATGTTTCACCGCCGGCGGCTCGGTAACTCGAGACCTCTCGGCCGTCTGATATCTCGGATTGCCGCGCGGAGAAACGCACTCCGCCGGCTGAGCATTCGTCACCGGCGTCACCTGCGCGCTACCGCCTTCGCTGAAGCACGAGACGACCGGTATCTTGGAGTAAATCAATCGCGGGTCCTTGATGGAACTCGACGCGAACAACGACCTGTTCATTTTCACGTCGGCCTCCGCGGCCTTCGGCGGGACTGGCGTCGCCGTGAGACCCTCCGTCGATTTCCTCGCCGGCTCGTCCGGCTGGTGTTTACGACGCTCATAGTAGGTCCTAATGTCGATCTTTTTGCTTCCGTACTTGTGAGAAGCGCTCGCCGTCGGGCTAACCGGCACCGACGTTGCTGACGCAACAACCGTCGATGGTTTACTTGATACGTCAGCGGAAGCTGAGAACTCCTTATCGCTCGGTGTGTTTGCAGGCGTTTCGATAGAAGCGCACGTCGCGTCTAATTGTATTTGATTCTCATTAGTTTCACTTGCCGGTGTTTGCACGGCGTTATCAGCAGCAGTGTCATTTCGACCTGTCACCTGATTAGTCGCCGACGGGACCGGGCTTTCACCCGGTCCGTTCTTGCTGTAGACGATGTTGGTGGATGACGCTGCCTGACGATGAAGCTTCTTCGGATTATCCGGACATTGTGACAGGCTAGTGACGTTATTGCTGTTGTCGTATATGCCGCTATCTATGCTCGGGGAAATTCTGACGTCGACCATACTCGTTATCTCCGGCATCTGTTTCAGTTGCGCCTTCGTCTTGAGTTGCGACGGCGAAGCCGTCGACGATGTGTCTTCGAGGTAAGACTGTATGGTTTCGACAGCCGTCGCTGGTATCTCCCTCACCGAGGACGCGGAATCCGGTCTGCCGTGAGACTCGGCGGGCAGCAACGTTGCTTTACTTCTCGTGATCACGCGATGACTCGTGGCGCTCGCAGCCTCGGAGACTCTGACGTTGTTCTGCTGATCCGCTTCCTCTTTAACGATTATCTGTTTAGGGGCCTCATCCTCCACGAATTCTTTCTTAATTTCGCTCTCCGTTAACAGTCTCATGCATCCCTGCTCGTTGCCGTCCTCCTCCTCCTCCTCCTCCTCTTCCTCCTCCTCTTCGTCCTCCTCCTCCTCCTCCTCCTCCTGCGAGGACGAGCCCGAGGAACTCGGGGACTTCTTCTTCTGCTTCTTACTTTTCTTGTGACGGGCTTTCTTCTCTTTCCGCGACTTGCTGTTCTTACGACTTTTCCGCGACTTCTTCAACTTCTGCTTCCGCTCCCGCTCTATCTCGGCGTTCACCTCGTCCCTTATCGTCTCGTTCAGCGACATTTTCTTGGCGACCTTCTCCTTCTCTTTTATCACCCTAAGCAGCTTCGTGACGTTCGTAGTAGTGTCGTCACCGTCGCTACTGCTGGTTTTGCTGCTGCTCTTGCTGCTGCTGCTACTGCTGCTACTGCTGGTGCTGCTACTTCTACTCTTATTATGACGATCGGCACTATTCTCCGCCGCTTGCTTCCTCTCGTCGCTGTGTCGCCTGTGCCCTTTGTGCTTGTCAGCCTTATGCTTCGCGTGCGAATGCTTGGAGGACTCGGAAGAATAACGGCGGCGCGGCAAATACACTCGGTTCGGTGAAATTCTGTCGCTGCAAAACTGGTCACCGACACCGATCTGTTTTGCAAGGGTAAACACAGCGGGAGGAATAGTAGTAGCAGTAGCAGCAGTAGTAGTAATAGTAGTAGTAGTAGCAGCAGCAGTAACGGTAGTTAGAGTGGTAGGAGGAGGAGGATTTGTAGAAGGGAATACGTAGAGTTGTTCGGCATGAGTCGCTGGCACTCCGTACTTCGCCTCCCATTCTTCTTTGGTGAGATTCCTATACGCGAGCGAATCGTCCCGCTCTTTCATCTTCCATTTGTCGCACTTTTCGATCCAACGCACGCAATGCTCCGTCCTGCGCGCTCTGTCCTCTTCCCAGCAAGGCGCTTCTTTCTGCACGTCCTTCGAAGTCACGCCGTCGTCGGACTTCCACGCACTTCGCACACCCACGCTGCAATCTTTACGCGCTGCCGCCGTCAAAGTCTGATTTTTTCTTGTCACCTCTGAAAATATATTATCTAGATCATGTTGTAAAGCCGATAACTTACTACTAGCGCTAGATTTGTTCGATTTAGTACTATGAGCGTCGTCTTTCGTAGTAAAATCGTTAATCTTAGCGTTGCATATTGCCAGTGTGTCTTTGTCGTGACTCGCTTTCGAGACGCAAGCTTTGCTTCTAGCGCATTCTTGATCGACTACGTCACTCGAAGCTACTATTTTACTCGCGGACTCGGTAATATGTGTGATAGTAGGATTGGTGACGTTACTCGTACCTTCTGAATGACTGCTTTGATTAATCGACGTTGTCGCAAACTCGTCATTATTGCCCAGCGGTATGTCCAGTTGCAATACTTCATTCAGATGGTGAATAAATTCCGTGGGCAAATCCGTGATACCCACTGTCGCTCCCGGTTCCAACATCGCGTTCAACTGTTTCACGAATTCCTGCTGATCGTACTGCTTCATCTTTTCGTCCTGCGCGTGTCGCATTTCTAAGGACAACATAGATCTCTTCTCCTTGACTAGACGCTTCATTATTACATCGAATTTCCGTAGACTAGTATTGTTCACCATGTTATAGATCTCGTTCTTGCTCATTTTCAAAAATCGATTGACGATCTTGTTTTTCCAAGAAGCTTCCGAAACGGGATTCCCATTCTTTTCTGTGCGACTCCGAAGCAATTGCTGCACTTGACAAGGCAAGATGGTAGGATGCTGAGGTATTTTCACATTTCTCTCTAGTTTCCGGGAAGATACTGTGGTATTTTGTTTCACGGGTGATACCATATTCTCCAAGTCACCTTCGTTCATCCTCGTCCTTTCTTTGTGCCGCCTTAAGGTATTTTCCACACTTTTTCTGTTTTCTGATGGAGCTGCAGGCATTTTCTCGGTTTTCGCAGTCTGTGATTCTTTCTGGAGAATTTTGTCTTTCACTTTTTCGGTGCGTGTTCTGCCACTCTTCCTCTGACTTTTTGTCCGGCTAGTTTTCGGTTCCCAATTGGTATTTACTTTTAACGTTTTATTATTCAGGTTAAATACTACTTTACGACGATCTGGGTCTTTCGTCGGCGACTCGTCGTTGGAATTCAAGCATGAATCTTGTGCCGTTTCTTCCAACGATACTGTTTGCTCCTCAGGTACTATGTCTTTAGTACAAGCGTCACCTTGTTTTTTCTTTTTTAATTTATTACTTTTGTCCTGCGGCTTTCCTGGCGGCAATGATATAGATTCTATATTAACAGGCCTAACTAATTTACATTTAGAAGTCGAGTTTTCTTCTGTCTCCTCTATCATATCCGTCATTTCTTTGGCAAACTTCATAGCTTCCTGTATATCGTCCAATCCGTCTTCTTTGTTCATATCCAAATTTGAATCAGGAAACGGTAAGACTTCCTGCAAGGAAACTGAAGGTAAGTAATCAGACACTGGTTGTTGTACATGAGGCAAAGCTGGTGGAATATTTGTTTTAATTCCAGGGTTACCGCTCGGCAGTAAAGGAGCAGTAAACATCGGGGTGAAATTCATTGTATCGAGAGGTGGTGGTAGAAAGACATTACTTTGGTTGGGCATTTCTAACGGTAACACCGGGCATGGTGCAGCTATATTTATATCCATGTGCATTTCCATATTGTTAAAAGTGCCAGGCATTTGATTTTCATTCATATTCCATGACGGAACATTTGCCATAACATTCGGCGTGAATACAGCGTGTCTCATATTTGGCGGTGGTTCCGTGACATTAAATATTGGCGGCATATTGTACATTGGAAACAAAGGCAAAGTGGGTGGCTGATCTTGCTTTAAAAGTATCGGTGGCGGAGTAGTCGGATCAAAATCAACAGGTAATTGCAGTTCGGTGTGCGGAGATAATTTTGGTGGTCCATTGGGAAAGGGATTTTTCTTTATTCGCGGCAATCGGCACTGCTTATGCAACGCAGTATTACTTGATGTTGATGTATTGGCTGAGGTAGGTTGTGACACTGGACAATCACTGTTTAAATTTTTTGTACGAACAGGGGAACTCGAAATAGTCTCTTCAATTCTTAAGTTCATAATGGATTGCTCTTCAACTGGTTCACCTATATCCTCTTGCAAAGTGTCTTGATCTGCTGAATTATACGGTAATGGCATGTCACGTAGAATGGATGTTTCAGATACGTCTTGTTCTTGTGCGGCATCTGTCTCTAGGTGTGTCTTAATTTCTTTCGAGATATTTTCCTGCTGATCACACTGATCTTGAATAATGTCATCTTCAGGTATGTCATATTGACATCGAAGGTCTGCTTGTAACAATTCATTTTCAAAATTATTAACCTCACACAGATCTGATTGTTCTAAATTGTGGGAATCAAGAATTAGATCCTGAGACTGTTCCATTCCTATACACTCAATATCATCTGGCACATTTTCAAAATCTGTCACTCGATGGCTAGATTCTTCTAGTTGAGATCCATCTGTATTTCCCCCTAATGTTACATCGTTAGTTATATTGTTCGTGACGCTAAGTTCATCCGTCACGTGTCGCGAAGCATCAAGTTCTGAATTATCATTATTTATTCTGTCAATGTCTTTTATATCATTATATACTACATTCATGAGCTCAGGTGGCTCATTGTTAAACTCAAGGATATCTTCGTTCTCTGTGTAGTCATCTTTTACAGTGTCATATGGTAATCGTACATCTTCACTCCAATCTTCATTACTGTCAAAACATGCTCTTTGCTCTAACTGACCTGCCATTTCGCTTACAATCTGCTGTTGCTCTTCTTCAGCATCAGATACAAATTCTGGCATACAATCAATTTCACTATTCTCTAAATTTTGGATGTTTGACGGTGTTAGTACTGGTGGTGGAAGTATGACATCCTCCTTAAAATCTGGATTTATAGGCAGTTTGTTTGGACCAGCAAAATTATCATCATAATTGTAAAACTTTCTTCCTCTACCACGAGGCCTAAATTGTGGATTACCGCGTAATTGATGCTGGTAAAAATTGTTTGGGATCCTGGGCATGAATAGCGCAGGAGGACATCCTGGTCTTGGTGGACCCATATGTCGGAAAGGTGGGAAAGGTCTTATAAATGGACCTTTGGCACGTACGCCTGGTCCATAACCCCTTCCCCGTCCGAAACCTCGGTAACTCATCACACTTTCTACTGTGATATCTTGATATCGTCTCGATAGATTTGTGCAAATTTAAGTTGGCACCAGATAGTCTTTGGCAATCTAACAATGCGTGCTTGCATACAATACCATCAAGAATGCACATCTCTGCATCGATTTAACCGATGAGAGTTCCCTCCCGAGTTCGCGATTGATTTCGGCGGCTTTGCGATCTCGAGACAACGAAAATCATTGTCTTTCCACGTACCTTTGATGTTGCCGCAACTTTTTAACCGATATTCGTTACAAGTGACACATTTAATGACATTCTCTCCCTAACCTCTTATCCCTCTTAAAGAAGTCGGATTTATCGAGACTTACCGGGAGAAGATCAGAGGTTTCGTTACCTGCAAAAATCACGTGTAAATAGGATGCCGAAACAATGTTTACCGATGTACTTGGAGTGCTACGACGTGGGATGAGAACACCTGAAGAACATACAAGTCTCACACCGAACGACTCGCGCCCATATTTTGTCGCGTACTCTTCACGACGTTATTTTCGTTGTGCAGCGATGTAAGTTCTTGCGCGAATGACGAATATTTTCCCACACCAAATGATCGCGATGGTTGATATTTGATATTAATCTTCTAAGCACAAGTTTATATTGTTTACGTAAAACGCAGTAGCTTTGTAAAAGTGCGCCTATGCATGCCACACGGCACCGATAAGATATACGTGCATACGTACGACGTATATATGCGTTGTCCCTATGAACTGACTGTCGCGCCTTTTTCATGTATATATACATATATTATATATATAATTCAGATAAAAAATAATAATAAAAAATAAAGAAGGGAAAGAAATTACAAGAAAGAATGCAGCAGAAGTCATACAACGTGAAGGAATAGATATATCATTAAGACTCAATTAGAATAAAATTGCATATTTATAACTTAAAATTAGATGAATTTTGTAATTGTTCCATAGATAAATAAATTGAAGATTTGAAATGACTATCTCTCTCAATTAAGTATTATCTATTCTATTTTATTAAAATAGATATTAATTTTTCGATTACTGTTGAACGTCCAATCGTATAGCATAGAAATTGTCGTCAGTAGATCTGACATTTGTTTATCGATTAGTTCAATTGCAGTTCGATAAATGTCATTCTAAGTATTAGTTGACTTCCAGTATTATAATCGAAAAACAAAGTCACATGTTACTCTAAGAGAAGAAATTCGCCTGATTCGTTGTTTGAAACATACTTCTAAATAACAAGTCTATTTAATCCATTATTGCTTTTTATCATTTAAAAAAGACAGATGCTATAACTTGCTGTCAAGCTCGACTATTTGAAAACAAGAGATACGTGTGAAATGTTGTTACTCACATACAGTATTGCGAATATTAGTGTGAGGGTACGTTCTTAAGGGGAAAGAGCAATTAGCGTTAAAATATCTTTCTAAGATATTTTAATGAATTTTCAACGCTGACAGCTCGCTTCCCGAATGCACCCGAGATCTTTTCGTCAAGCATGAGGTCTGTTCATGTTGCTTGCACTTTTGACACTTTTACACCTAAAGCCCGTTGCATATTGGCCTCTTTTTAAAAAGAAGAGCTGTCATTGGATATCGCTCATCGTATTCGGTGTGCAACGGGCATTAGATGCAAAAGTGTCAAAAGTGTAGGCAACGCGAAATCTATGATTGTTCTAAAGTTGTGTTCCAAAATTCTACGACGAATAGAATAATATTTAACTAACCAATTATGATAAAAAGAACTTTGCTCTTTCGGTTTTCATTGGTCAATTAAACGCTATTTTAGCCATCAAGTGAGGTTTTAAACGCAGTCAAGAAAATATCTAAGAAAATCCCTAACATTTTCTCTGAACATTTTAGGGTTATGTTCGAAAGCGCACACTGGGCTGAGTTTCAAAACTCTACTCGACAGGTAGGGTATAATTTAGTTAACCAATCATGATAAAGAAATCTTAGTTCTTTTTGTCCTGATTGGTCAATTAAATGCCTACCTTTAGTTTAGTGTATCCGAACGTAACGTAGAAATTCTGTATCCAACAACCAATCGATATATAGCTTCTAGGAATCGGTTGTATATCTTCAAACGTAATGAGAATTATAAAAATGAAATTATAAGTATTTCAGTAAATTCGCTTACTTTATTAATTACGAACACACATTACTGCACCACGAGGTAAGACAGTCGGTTCTGCGGGATTTAATATATACAAACAAATTTCGTTAAGAACCTTCTGTCGGTAAATTTTGTTTGAAAACAGCGTAGAGATGATAACTGTAAAAATGTAATTTCATATATCAAATATCTAATATATTTGGTTGTAATTCTGTATAAGTATCGACAAAACATCAACATGATAGTAACTTGTGAAATTAATATACTATTATATTCTAAATATCCGACGACTAAAAATAGTTTTTTTGTAGTTATAAAAATTTGCTCACAGAGGGCTATGTAACAGTTTTAACAGTACGGTCGTACCTCGTCGGTAATATTCACGATCTGTCGTTGCGATTGATACGAACACTTGTTTCGATGTACGTGCAATCTAGATCGAGGAACGATTCCCGACGATAGATGGCGGAATGTCTTTCATAAAGTTGTCGCACGTGTTACGTTGCCACGGTTTCGCGAGGCTCGTTACTTCTCCGTCGCGAGTCGTAGCGGCCGGCAGCACGGTTAGAGCTTTCACCGCGTTCGTGAAATTGTGCAGGAACATGTCGTACACCACCGTCGAGAGGGGTGCGCTCAACAGCACGGATTACAGGGTGTATTTCAGTGAGTAGACATGACACATAACCTGTTACTAACTGTGCGATCGCAGAAGTCGCCGCGTCGGAGACCGTGAACTTTGTGTTGCTAAGGTCGCGCGCGGGGTCACGTATATTCGCACGTCGTATACAATTAACATCTTCGAGTGTTTTGTTACGTGACTCTGAGTTCTCTCGAGTGACATACCCACTGCGCGATGGTTGTCGTGTGTCCCGACGTTTAACAATAAAGGGACTTCGGTCGAGCGGTTTCATCAGCCTGATCTCGATCCTGAACCAAGTTCATCCGCTCTATATTTTGAAGCAAATCCGTTTGGATGTATTGGTTTGTGCCGATGCACGCCGAGACTCGTGCATTAATAAAGCCTAGGAGTGTAAGAATGTATATATATATATATGTGTGTCTATTGTGTGACGAAATATATTCGACATAAATAATGCCGAACTTATTCACATATATGCGTTTCTATTGCCGGAACACGTACGCAGTAACCGGAAAGATGCGATACCGCGCGTACTTTCTTCTGCTTATTGATCGATCCAACTCTCCCCCCCCCTCTCTCTCTTTTTTTTTTCGATAATCACAGCTGCTCTATTCTGAATAATTCATTTAGATTTTTACAAAAATTTGAGGAAAACGGCAGATAATTTTCTCGTGTAGTTAAATCTAGCCGACCATATTGTTGCTAAAACAGAATTTTTCCTCTTCTATTGCATAATGTGGCAACATGCGCCGAGTTTTTATCCGATGTAATCATCTACCATATTTGCATATATTGCTCACATTCCTATACAAGCTTGAGTATACATTAGAGCATTCGAAGTCACTAGTTCGAAGCTCTTATCACATTGGAATGTCGATTTTAAAATAGCGCGCTTACAAACGCTTTTACGAAGCGACTTACTCTTCGTCCGCGAAAGCTACGTGTGAACATATCAACGTAAGCTAATGCTGCTGATGGCATTTAGCTCCAGTGAAAGTATGCAACAGCATTGGATTACGAGGAAGTGATTTTGATCACTTTTAGACATTTATTTTATGCGATTATATATCCTTAAATTATTTATCATATTTTCGCATATCTCAATTTATGCGAAAAATTTTGCAATATTAATAATAATTTCGCAATATTAATAATAATTTCGCAATATTAATAATAATTTCCTGCACACATGGCTTTAATATCAACAACATATTGTAAAATGCACTTGAATTTTTCTATACGCAGAAAATGACGTAGGTGTGCCAATTTCACCCATGCACGACATTCCACTTTTCGCCGACAAGGAAAACAAAATACTGAACATGGTTGTTGAAATTCCAAGATGGACCAATGCTAAAATGGAGATCTGTCTCAAGGAGGCCTTGAATCCTATCAAACAAGATGTTAAGAAGGGCAAATTGAGATTTGTCGCAAATTGCTTTCCTCATCATGGTTACATATGGAATTATGGAGCTTTGCCACAGGTAGGAATTACAAAACTTATATTTGACTATATATTATCCATATATGTTAGGCATCTATAATTTATATATTTTTGTATATATTTCTAATGTGTATATACCTTTATAACAAAATATAATACAAAATTTTTTGTCTGTACTGTATTTATACTTACAATTATAATATGAGACATTTTTTTACAAAATATGACACTCATAACACTTTTGTATACATTTATATATTACTTATCAAGATAACAACATTGCACTATAAATCAAATGCACTATTATTTTTTTACTGATAATGCTCAAAATGCTTGTCATGGAGTACTGTGCTTGCTGATTATTCTGAGATAATTCGAGGAAAAAAGGAAGTGAGCTGTCGTATTAATCATTCTATAAACTTATATCTATTTGCACAATCTCTTATCGTATATTTTTATTCTTTTACATCTTCCTGTATATATATGAACTTGTAGTTCAAGGCCAAAATGTTTATTACTTTCATTCATCTTATCACTATTCTTGATATTACTTTATTGCTAATTCTTTTTAGCTAATTCTTTTTAATTCTTTAACAACATAACATTTATAAATAGAAAGTTTTTGGAACATTATTTTTATTATCGTGACACATTAGATGTTGCTCGTAATGATAACATATTTTATCAACAGACTTGGGAAAATCCTGAAGTTTTGGATGAGGCAACTGGCTGCAAAGGTGACAACGATCCTATTGATTGTCTTGAAATAGGTCACAGAGTAAGGAATAATTATAACTATTTTATTAAAATAATTTTTTATTTATCACATTAGATATTAAAGAAGATATTTTCAACTAGATTGCAAAACGAGGCGAAATATTGAAAGTGAAAGTTCTTGGAACAGTGGCACTTATTGACGAAGGTAAATATAGGTCAGGTTTTGTTATATGAAATAGATGATGTATTAATTATTTTTATAACTAATAAAGATTTTTATTTTTAAGGTGAAACCGATTGGAAAATTATTGTGATTGACGTTAATGATCCTTTGGCAGATCATATGAATGGTAATTGTTTATCTTTCATGTATAGTTTTTTTCACTTTTGAATAATATTTCGAATATATAAAAGGTTTAAATAGAATTGTGGACTTTGATGTTACTAATCTAATCTGTTCTAATCTCTGCTGTAATAATATTGCAGATGTAAGCGATATCGAGAAGCATTGTCCTGGTTTGTTGAAGGCCACAATTGAATGGTTTAAAATATATAAAATTCCGGACGGGAAACCCGAAAATCAATTTGCATTTAACGGAGAAGCAAAGTCACGAGAATTCGCATTGAGCATTATTGATGAAGTGCACGAACATTGGCAACATCTAATTCAACAAGAAGCTGACTCCGGTGGAATAATATGGTTCGTATATCTTTGTCTCTATAAAAGTTAACTAAACTAATATATTATTATATACATATGCTATTGTTTTTGCAGTTCTAATATAACTGTGGAAGATAGTCCTTATAAGATTACCACGGAAACTGCGGAAGAGTTTTTGGAAAAAGCACCTGAGCCCGCACCTGAACTTCAACCTGTAGAATCTATAGGTAAGTTGTGCAAATCAGGTGGGATAAATAAAGATATTAGATAAAAGTAATAAAAAAACGAGTAAATAAACTATAGAAATCTAAGTATATAAATTTTCGTGTTTTTATATTAATCAGGATGCTTGTTATTTTCATATAGACTTTACGTATAATACTACTTATAATGCTAATTCACTCTTTCAGTTGACAAGTGTTATTTCGTGCGTTCTAAGTTGTAATGAAAGTTAAAATGTGCATAAGGATCTTATTATTAAATATCTGAATTGCGTCATTTGAGTTATATGTGTTTGTTACTGATGTTGACAGTTAATTAAAACTTTTACTCACACTGAATTGTTTTTACAATGTATGATTTCAGTCGATAAATGGCATTATGTACATCTTAAATGAGGATAAGCAGATATCGTACGTTGAAGCGCATACTACTTGCTCTGTTCGCACTCAACATGGATTTGTTTTTTTTATTTATCAGTTTTATACTTTTTTGCAATCTAATATCTCGTTTTCTTTACTACATTGAACCAATTATGGATAGTATTTAAACAGTTTGATTTATATATATGCGGTAACGTTACAAGGAGTCTATTGCTTGTTAATCATCTTTGCGTCTGTTACTTCTGTTTTTTATGATACTATAACTGTGACATGTTTGTAGATAAAGTGGCTACAAAATTACTCGTTGCAAGCGTCTTTAGACATATTCCGCATATATATCTCTTCTGTTGCGATACGGATACCCCTATAGCAGCATGTTCCTATCGTAAAACAAACATAGTTTCATTATGGGTTGTGAAACAGATATGAAGTCGTTCCGAACAGATTTTTTTTTTTAGACAAAAGAACGCGGTTAGGTTCCTTAACAGTATTTGTTCCGGTCTGGAGAGTTAACAATAAATAAACTGGTATGAACTGGTGTGAATTATTTCTACGAATTATCCTTAATTCTCGTGTTTTACAATTTCCTGACATTTTACAGTTTCCCGAGACATTTTATCTGTATTTTCTACATAAATCTTCGTCACGTGTCGATCGATTGAAGGCGGAAGATGCTTCCGTCATTTTCCGAGAAACTTGCGAAAATGCACTGTGTTTGGATTGAGTGGAAAAACACACTGCGACTATGGACTCATTCAGTCGTATTTCGTCGAAGCCATGTGCTTACCCGCCACATTCCGCAGGAAAAGTAGTCTCCGAGGAGACATTTGCGCTCGTTTCAAGATGTAGTTAACACATGAACCGCGGGTTATATATACGTTCTTTTCACGTGACATGCATCCACTTTAAAGCTGCGAAACGGCGCGGCCCGGCGGTGCAATAAATTCTGCGGTAAGTTTCGATAGTACGAAAAACGAGTTGCTGTTCCTACTAAAAAAATAATTTTATCATTTGGCGCGAGGCTAGGCGGTGCCGATTTCCCGGTACCTCCTGAATCCTGCTAAAAAGGCCATGGAAGAGACTGTTATTAAAGCGGGATATCCGAGCGCAATGAGATTGAAAACGAGATTCTTGAGCAATTTATGAGAATTAAGAAATTTACAGACCTTAGGCGACGCGCTACCGGAGGAGTTGTAATCGGAGAGATAGGTTCTGCTTCGTTGAATTTTATATAAACTTGCATCGGAGGAGGGGATCGCACACTGTACTAAGTGAAATTTATCATAGTAATTGAAACTCCGGCTTATGACTGGGCTCGCGATATTTCATATCGGCTGAGGGCGATAAATATCGGAAAGACGGCGGTACTGTCGCTCCGGAGGATTATGTTGCAAAAGGTGCAGCAGCGATGCAGATCATAACGAAGCATACGAAGGAGAGAAGGTAGGAGAGGAAAAAAAATCGGCCGGTCGGTGTACGATCGACCGAGACCCTCGGGACGTGTGTCTGGCACGAGACTGGATTCCTCTCCTCGGTGCCCTCCTCCGTCGCGAATTCCCCGCAGTCCTTTTCCTCCTTTTACCTGTCAACCCGCCGGCTACATCGGGCACGTAGGTAGGTGAAGCGCGCGAGCAGCTGGAGGTATTGACTGGCGCAGTGTACCACGCGCTCGCGCTAATCCCGCTTATGTCGAAACATGTACGAACAGGTAGCCGAGTCGCGGCGGAAACGGTCGAGCGGGAAAGCGACTCTCTCGGAGTCGTCACAGTATGCCCAAATGGTGCGCACCGCCGTCCCCCCACTCCCGCCGGGTACTCCAATCGGTGTGCGGCCGCGCCGAGCGCCGTCGTTCGTCGGAATCCGACCAATCAGAGCGCGCGCGTCTGCGGTAGTGCAGCAGCGGCGGCGGCGTCGTCGTCGTCGTCTACTCACTTCGCGCAGTCACAACTTGTTCGGCCATTGAGCTGCGCGCTTCCGCTCCGCGTCGAGTGTCGCGTTTACGGCGTTTGAGTTTTGCGTGCGCGTTCCGTCGTCATTCTCTGCGTCCACCACCACTACCATCACCTTCTCCTACACCACTGCCACCACCACCACCAACCACCACCATCGTCGTCGTCACCACCACCACTACCCTCCATCCCGGCGACTTTTTTTCCGTTACGTTCGGTGTACTCGCGCGCGTCTTCCGGTGGTAAGTGACGGTTTCGGGAGTAGAAGGAGAGACAGCCAGGAGCCATGCGATTCTCGTGGGTGTTCGCAGCCACGGTGCTGCTGGTTCTGGCTACGGGGGCGAGGTGCAAGAGGAAGTTTGACGGTGACTTCGAATTCGACGAGGAGGTGAGTCGCAAGTTTCACGCTAACACCCTTCGTCTCGCTTCCGTCGCTTTCGCCCTTCGGTACCTCGTCGTGCGGGGGGATTACGACGCGTCGATGAGCTTTCGATTTGTTTTCCTTCCGCTTAGTCGGAGTAAAATACGCGACGCGACAGCTATCTGTCTCTTTGTCTTCGGTCGTCGCGCGTCGTTCCGTTACGATCGTAACGCTCCGAAACGGTGAAATTCCGTGTAATGTACTCGTCGTATGCACGGCTTAGGGCCGACGATCGGACGAAGGTGGCGAAAGAAAAGCGGGTGACGAAATGGCAATAATAACAGCGGTAACTCCGCAGAATGGCGCTGCGCCGTTGCAAATTGTTACGAAACGTTCGCTCTGAAGTTGGCTCCTCGTTCGGCTTCCAAAGCAGGGAGCCGGTTTTTTCGAATTATTGCCGCGCGCGATGTACTCGCATTCGGATCTCTATGCGCGTCCCGCGATATTTTTATTCTCCACGATGAATGCAGATTTCACGTCAACTCAATTCACTATATTTTCATATCGGCCGCTTACAGTATCACGTTCATGTTTTACGGTACTGGATTATTCTGGAGTACTATATCAAATGCACTTTACATAAAGTAAAACAATATATATGTATATATATATATTCATTGTGAAATTTATCCGTGATATTTGATCGTATCGTTCGCGTTTACGTGCGTGCCAAAATCGGAAGGGCGAACTCGAAGGGCACGTTATAGGCTATTTATCGTGATGCGAATCGCCCCGTTGATTTAAATGCACCCGTATTATTTCGATCGTATTGTTCGTTATGTGCGTGCCAATTTCTGAAGAGCGATCTCGAAGGGCACAGGGTCACAGGTTATTTACGTCATGATGTTGAATCGCCACCCCGTTCATTTAAATGCACCCATATCACCTCGATCATATTGTTCGTCACGTGTACGTATGATTTTGAAGGTCGTACTTGAAGGACAAATTGCCGGTTATTTTTATATCATGAATCGGCCCATCGATTTAAACACAAAAACCGACTACAATGCCGAGGCAAATAGAGCCACGGGAGAATGAACGTTTCGCAAATAAGACGCAAAGATCAAAGGACATTTGAGGAAACAGTTGTTCTCCGAGGATTTTGCGCATCTTCGAGACATTTTTCCGACACTCTTGCTCCGTTTAACCTTACGTCCGACCTATGGTTTCTCAACGGAGCCATGCATGCTATACACAATTTCAATTCCCCAACGAATTCTCGTCGGGTCCGCGAGATCCTCCTCCGGCGTTCCCTTTCGCAAAACGCCGCGCTTTCCGCAGGAAACGGAGGCTCCCGGTTGCAACGCTTACGTAACTTCGATATCGCATTTTGAGCGCGCGATCGATCGCCGGGAGACTCCTCTTCGCCGGCGATCGCGTTACAACTTTGCTGCACACGCAATTACAATCCCCGCTCGTCGCGTTGTACACGGAGGAACGCGCGCGAGCGAGTGCTCGCTCGTTCGCGCGCACATAGAGCGACCGGCAACTCTTACTTTCACGTAACTGGATCTCGGCTGGAATACAGGTTATCGATGTAATTGTTGTTTATTTTGCTCGTGGCTCGCCCGCGCAAGCGAGTACAGCTCTCGCATTCCGCGCATTGTTGACGTCGGGTGCGACGTAAACACCGTCATTCGACAACCCTTTTCTGGCGCCGTGGCGGAGCACCCCCCATCCCCCCGGCCGCGTTCTCGATCGGCGAATTCATTCCGGGTTAATCCACCCTGCCATCGTTAGCGCGGAAAAGATCTTTTTATTTTTCTTTCTCCCCCGCGTTGTTTTTACCGCGGATGTGATTTTCCGTATTTCCGATCTCGCGCATATCGTTTCTTTCTCTCCTCTTCCGCCTCGCTTTTTTGCGAATATTCTCGCGTATCACCGATAAACGGCAAACGGTGACTTCGTCCTCGTTAGTGTTCCCCGATCCTTCGGCGGAATCCAGTTTGAGAGCTTCGCGAAGCACGGACGCACGAAGGATGTTTTCAGTTGGCAGTTCTCCCTCGCGTGCCGCCTAGCTGGTTGCTCCGGAACAGAGCGGCGGCTCGCTGCAAGTTTGTTGCTACACGAGACAAGCGCGTACAACATGATTGATTCAAAATCCGCGTGGAGATCGCAGTTGAAAAAAAAGGGAGAGAGGGAGGGATGGAAGAAAAAAAAGCGTGACCTGCAAACCGCAACGAGACCCGTTTCGGAGCTGGCGCACGCTGTAAATCTGCCGCGCGACCAACATGCGAGAAAGTCGACGCCAAAACGTAAATGCAAAACCAAAAAAAAATAGGGGGAAAAAATACGCGGAAATTAAACTTTTCTATCGTTATTCGCGATCAATCAATGTACAAACGGTCTCGTGGTCGTGTTGTTGAACGCACGTGAGCTTAATACCTCGGCTCGGTGTTGAGGGGTATAATGATAAAAAGAAGAAAGAAAGGGAGTAGCTTATTATCGTAATCGCCGTCATACGGATTCAAAGGACGCCGGGCTTTAAGCAGACACACATTGCCGACGTGTTTCGCGTGTACTTCTTTGAAACGCCCGGTTTATTTGATTTAATGCTGCGGTGAGGCGTGTCACGCGTGCAAGGATTAATTTCAACCCTGGCTAATGGCACCCGGACTATTCCGCAGTCACATCCATGCAGGAATTCGGATTTCGGTCTCGATTATTGTTAATTTCTATGACAGCTAGTTAATTACGCTCACACTATTATGCGTATCTCGGCTAACGTGTGTTAACTGCATAAAGATCACTTTTATAAATTAGCGATTTGGCGAAAAGAATGACGTGAATGTGCGCATGTGCATGTACCGTATACACTACAATTTATCGGTAAACTCACAATGTATGCTGCGGTTTCGGAGGATCTGAAAGGCCGCTGAAAATTTTCCCGAAATATACGCGTAGAAGCAGATATAACTCGTTAAAGAAGGTCTATTTCTATTATTTTTGCGCCTTCATTTAGACTTTAATTCGCTGTACACACACACACACATACACATATGCGAGGTGATCCTTTTTTATTCTTTCTCTTCTTTTCACTTTAATACCTCAATCTTAAATGATGACTTTCATTTAATAATAAGTTGGGTCTCCTTGAAATGGTTTTCATCTAAATTCTATAAAATTTTCATTTCTGGCTGTTGATCTATCTCCTTCACTATCTTGTCTACCGCCCTTACACTACACCTTCAGGGTGTACATACTGAAGCACAATCATTAAAGATACTTGGTGTATATATGAACTCATCCTAGTCGTTCTACAATCATGTAAATGTTAAATGTTGAACCGCCTTTGTTCGTCCCCGTTTACTATATCCTTTTCGATATATCGTCTTAAAAGCTTCTTGTTAGCTTCTTGTTCAGGCACTTGTTTTGTCATTGTTCGATTATGTGTTAATGTTGTTTACATCCCTTGTATCATCAAGTCCCTGCTAAGTTGCATACAGCGCATATAGAATATATGCTTTCCTTTTTAGAAAGATAGAGTCTTAAAAAATATGATCACGTGTCGCCTCTTTATCATCGTTTAGGATGGTTTAATATTCATCAGCGTTTTATATTTCATTTGTGTTGTTTTGTATATAATGTGCTCCGATCTGGAACTCCTTTTTTTACTTACGTGAATTGTTTCATTTCAACTCGAACTTCCTTCGTTGTTTAGTTTTGATATACTAAATATAATAAAAATATATAAAGATACATTTTTTATAGGCGTTTTTCTAATTTCTTTAATACCAAAGTTTATAATTTCCTTCTTGCAGTTGAAGTGTCTCCTCAAAGTCCTAAAATCTTGAGAAGTTTTCGTATAAAGTGCATTTACAGACATCTTACCGCTTATTTTCATAATTATTTTTCTCAACCTGTAAAAATTACGTTGGCGTAAAAATTACGTGAGCGGAAGTTGATCTGTCCTTCCGCTTTTTTTTTTGTGAACCACACATTACCACATTACATCCGTTACATGCCTCGCTGTAACGAAATTGAACCTCGACCCAATTTCCACGATTTCGCCTTTCGAAGGTTAAGAGTTAATCCCGCGTAATTCAAGAATGATTCGGAGTTCTGGTGCTTTTTGCGAAGGTATTAGACAGCGGTCGGAATTGAAATCGTGAAACTCACAGAAAGAGAAAGAGAGAGAGAGAGAGAGAGAGAGAGAAAGAGAAAATAGAGTCGTCGTTCGTTCTCAGCCACCGCGAAGCGTCGCTGCAATTCCGCGTAAATATCCCGAGTCTCTTAGCGACTTGTCGCTATTTACTAGCGAGTTTGAATGCGCCGTTGCTAAAAGGGAGACACCGAAAACTTGGAGTTCTTCCTTTGTGCCTTGCATGCTGCGGGGGGAGGAGGAACGGAAGAAATGTAACCGCTCGAGGAAGCTCGATAAGAATCATCGGGCCCACGAGCTGAGTGCGAATAATGCGCCACTCTTCTCGGGAGTTATTGCGGAGCATCGTTATGCATCCGTGCGATTTGTAGTTTCAATAATCGACTTCGGCTCTTATCGTACGCTTGCCGTTGCCGTCGGTAGACCGTCTTTATGTGTATACCGTCGTACGACCGGCGAATCGATTACCGGCACGTAATGCGAAAGAATTCCCGCCGTCTATCGATCGTAGGCGCGAGCGTTTGTGTGTGACCCAGTGCCTTGAAGGTAAATCGGGCTGTGTATAAGTTAAGTATAGTTGAAGAGTTAGAGACCGCGGTTAGCTATCGCGTGTTATTTTCTTTATCATTCGACGTTCTTATTGAGTCCCACAGAGCGCATCTTTCTTCCTCTTTCTATTTCTTTCACTCTTTCTGTCTCGCCCGTCGTTTAACGTTAAACGTGCGGTCGCCCGATCGTTCTGAATTTGATTTGCCTAATACGAAAATCCCATTCAACGTCAACATGACGTGGGAATCAGACAGCCACGTTTGAGCATCGAACGCGCGGCGAAAATACGGGCCGTTCTCGGCGCGACGTAGTTTAA